GAATGATGGGGGTTAAGACTTCAACACCATACGGAGGGGCAGAAGTTCCCCATCCTTGCCCTAGCTTTTTCTCTTCTTCATTTATTTTTATTACTACATTTATATATCACTTTTCCTCCAAAGATCTCAGGGTAGCACATACTGTTTTCCTTTCCCCCGTTTATCTTCACAACGACCCTGTGAGGTAGGTTAGGCTAAGAGATGGTTGGCCACAGTGAGCTTGCTTCCTGGCCAAGTGGGGACTTAAACCCTGGTCTCCCAGGTCCTAGTCCACCACTCTAACCACTACACCACACTGGCTGTTGAACAACCATAATGTTTTCCAAGCAGCAAGGATAGTCAGTCACTTGGATTCATCATGATCACAGCACAGTGGCCTTAGCATAATATACCGTATTTTTTGCTCTATAAGACTCACTTTTTCCCTCCTAAAAAGTAAGGGGAAATGTGTGTGCGTCTTATGGAGCGAATGCAGGCTGTGCAGCTATCCCAGAAGCCAGAACAGCAAGAGGGATTGCTGCTTTCGCTGCGCAGCGATCCCTCTTGCTGTTCTGGCTTCTGGGATTCAGAATTTTTTTTTCTTGTTTTCCTCCTCCAAAAACTAGGTGCGTCTTGTGGTCCGGTGCGTCTTATAGAGCGAAAAATACGGTACCTAATCTGTGCCTTGGCAAGTGTTGAGTTAGGCCAAGAAGCTGGGGTATCCTACTCTTGGCTGAGGGTACAGCAACTGGATGCTGAATTTCCTGACTGTCCTGGGTGATGTTGTAGCCTTGCTTATAGCAAATATTCATTCCCCACAGGGCACAAGGCTCTCGGGTGTTGGTGCACTGCAAGATGGGCGTGAGCCGCTCTGGCTCCACAGTGATTGCATATGCCATGAAGGAGTATGGGTGGTCACTTGAGCAGGCCCTTTCTCATGTACGGGAACGACGCCCAATTGTCCACCCCAATCCAGGATTCATGAGACAGCTGGAGCTTTATCAGGGCATTCTGGACGCAAGGTAAACCCAAGGGGAGGGAGTGCAGGTCTGGTCACTGTGTATGTATGTGGGGAGGGCAAGGGAGACTGATGGGAGCTGCAGCTGACCAGCCTGATCAGAACACAGCAGAAGGCTTGTTGTTATTGTCCAAGGGCCAAACTACATGTTACATGCAGCAGCATGATGATCCTCTTAGACTGGAAAATCTACTTTCAGTGGGGCTATTGGGATCAGAGAAGATCTCCCTTTCCTGGGATTCTAAGCACCTGTGTGCAAAGGCAAACAGGAAATATTCCGTGTGGAAAAAAATGATGGGGGTGCCAAAGAGTGGCAAGGAAAAGATCCGACATCCATGCCAACTGCTCCATTTCCAACTTCTACTCCAAAGCACTTCTTCCAGTTAAAAAGGGCTGTTTCGTACAGTGGTACCTTGGGTTAAGTACTTAATTCGTTCCAGAGGTTCGTACTTAAGCTGAAACTGCTCTTAACCTGAAGCACCACTTTAGCTAATGGGGGCCTCCCGCTGCCGCCGCACTGCCGGAGCACGATTTCTGTTCTCATCCTGAAGCAAAGTTCTTAACCTGAAGCACTATTTCTGGGTTAGCGGAGTCTGTAACCTGAAGCGTATGTAACCTGAAGCGTGTGTAACCCAAGGTACCACTGTATTGTTATGCACACGATATTTAATCTTAAACAGGGAGGCACTGATAGCAAAATTGTCCCACACTAATAGTGCAGCAAAAATTAAATAGACATTGTGATTATCTTTAATATGTGTAATTAATGCTTCTCACTGTAACTGACTGGATTCAAAGTCCATTCTTTATTTGGCTCTTTATTTAGCATTCCTTGCTGAATAATCTCTTACATTGTTCACCTCATGTTACTACGCAGCCGACACAGCAGCCTATGGGAACAAAAGGCAGGAGATGCCCACTCAGAAGGTTCTCCAGATATAAGTGATGCCAGCAGTGATCCTTCAGGAAGCCCATACTATGAGACTTTAAGCTCAGAAGAAGAACCAGAGGAGCCAGTGACAACCCCCCAGTATTGCTTTCGTCCTTTGCGGGAACCTCCTGAAGAACCTCACCATCCGGTGGACCCTCCTGATAGTCCCAGGCTCAGTCTTCAGGCCACAGAAGAACCTGGGGCATCGGATGACTCTGGAGCTGAGGAAGTGCGAAGACACCTGGCTACGATGAGAGTGCCAGAGAAGCCAGCCACGCTCAGACGGGAACGCATCAATCTCTATGCTGTCATGCGCAGCATCAGTGAAATGGACAGCCCAGAACGCCACATCTCTGTACCAGAGTGTGCTGCTGAGGAAGAGGTAAGAGGGTCATGTAAGGGCATGCTTCCAGAGAGAGGCAAGTGGAAAGAGTAAGGGAACTTATAATGGAGCCTCAAGGCATACAAGGGAAACAAAAATGGCAATGCATAAATCAGTGGATCTGAAACCTCAGCTAATGCGAAGATGAATGGTAGAGGCAGGATGAAGGAAAACCCTTTGTAATTGCTGGCCCTCATTCAATCTACCTCTTCTTCCTCCAACAGGTATTTCTTCATGATGAAAAGAAGAAGACTGTGACCTTTGAGCCATTTCCCCAAAATGAAGAAAATTCAGGGTCAGGAACAGACTCTACAGCAAAGACGCCACTGCCAGAGGAAGAGGAGGCTCAGGGTCGCAGGGCCAGGCGACGCGGGCGGAGGGCTCACCGGGGACGTCGCCATGTCTGCAAGCAGCTTTCATACTACCCGGCACCAGGCAGGGTGCGCAAAGTTGTCCAGCGCATGGAGGGCCCTGTCCCATTTGGCCGCAGGCCCGCCTTACAACACCGGCTCTCTGTGGCTCAGCTGGCTGATGCTGCCCTGGTGGTGAGCCGGGCCAAGGAGTTTGAGGGACACACAGATCCCGAAGGACCAGACAAGCTCCGGTCCCCTTCTCCTCAGGAATCCAAACCTGAGGAAAGCACTGCCCTCTGTTCTTCCTTGCCCTGCTCCCGGTCCCGGCGGATGGTTCGCCAGGCCAGTGTAGACATGGACCCCAACTCAGGGTGAAACCCTTGCTGTGGCATTTCACCCTTTCTTCTGTTCATAAGTGGAGTGATAAATGGAGCCCTGAAGGCCAAACAGGTTCACTTCCTATTGTTGGGGGCTTGTTTCCTCTGCCTGAAGCACTATTGGCAGCTGGTGTGGGAAGTGGTAATTTAAAGCTGCCTGGGAGAAGGGCAGGAAAGAGGAGGAAGGGAGACCATCCCTTTAAGAGACTATAGTGCTTCACAGGCTCTCCATCTCTTTCCATAGCTATGGAACTGCAGTGGGGGGCAACCAGCGCTCTTGTGGGGCTCTGTCCAACCACTTATTTCAGACCTCTAAATGGCTTTGAAGACTGCACAGCTCCAAGATTTATACTGCAGGGCACTTCTGCTTATTCCTTCAACTCACTTTTGATAACACTACCCTTTGTTAAAGCCGCGGGGGTCCCTGTGGCCTCCCAAGATGTCGCTGGGCTCTTAACTATCTCCAGCCGTGCCAGCATGGTGAATGGTCAGAGATGATGAGAGTAGTAGTCCAGCACATGAGGAGGGCTCTGGGCTCCCCACATCCCTGCTTTATGAGGTGGGGTAGTATCTCACTGTGATCCTAACCGGGGAAGAAACGGCCCCTGTTTACTTTTGCACACACATACACAACCACTGTGCCATTGCCAGCTTCACTCTGCTTGGGAATAAAAAAATTGGTTAACTTTCCACTTGCTGGAACTCTGGTCTTGTCCTTTTCTTTGAAATGTGTGTCCTAATGCTTGGGACCTAATCTGTGACCACAAACTCGCCTACCTGAGGGAGGGAAACGGGGGACAGTTTTTCCTCTGGCTAGGCTACTCAGTATCCACACAGCTGTGGGGCTCTGTTAAAGACAGTGTGGCTGCATGGTAATAGCTGGTCATTTTAGCCACTGGCCATTTGCGTTAGGGAACAACGGGTCAATAAAGCACCCCACAACATAGGGCTGTTTGCGGAATCAGTTTTCCGTGGGCGGTGAGCTGAGTTTTACCTATGCAGAATGAGGGCGCAGCTCACCATGTGACCAGTAGAGAGTGCAGACAGCAAAGCACATGGTCACACTCGCCCCAACTTCTCCAAGCGCTGACGAATCCTAGGGAGAATTGGCGAGCCTGGTTTCATTACATGTAAGCATCAGAACCTCTAGCGGAGGGTGGGGAGAAACTACAGTTACCAGCAACCCTTTCGGTCCGCTTCCTGCTTGCGCCATGGCGTCGTTGCGTAATTTTACGTCGCCGCCATCTCATGCCTGCTAAAAAGAACAGAGCTAGGAACTTTATAGAGTAGCTTGTCTCATCGTCAGATATGGGGAAGCTGGATGTATATTTTTTTTGTCTCCAGCTGAAAGCGAGAGCTGCCCTTGGTAATTGACGGTGAGACTCAAGATTTAAGCGTAGTTATTTACTGAGAAGCAGAACCAGAAAGTATTCAGAGAGACAGCAGCTGATGTCAGGCCTTACTTCGCGTGGAAATGAGTGCCCTGCCCCTGCTAGTACAGTCCAATATCGCAGAGGAGCACGGCTTTCAGCTGCCTTGCAATGTAGAATCACTGAATGAAGGGTGGAAGCAGGGCTTAGGCTGCCTTAAATTTCCAGGCCAAAGTCCACCAGATAAAACATGTCTCGGGTTTCAGTATCAGTGGCATGTTAATTGGATTGTGCCCCTATCAGCTGCACTCCAGAAAAGTTGCGCACAGAAGCCCTGCGTTTACTGACTTGTAGGCAGAAGAGTTGCACTGTTAAATGTTAAAGCAAGTCTAAAATACCGGAAGTAGATCCCTGTATGTCACTCTACACAGTGAAGTCTATGCTACCTAGCGAGTAACTCTCGTTCTCGCCGCTAGGTGGATGTTGAAACAAAACTACCATAACCATCATGCCCTGCGGCCACGGCAAGGAGGCGGGGACTAGGACACATGCGCCAAACGCTCTTTCCTTGTTGCTATGGGAGCCTACGGCAGGGCAGCTGCTGGGAAGAGGTAGAATCCGCGTTCTCTTTTGTTCCTCTGCCGCGACGGCGGCATTTTGGCACCTGTCGCGACTCTTTCCCGGCTGGGGTTTGCGCCGGCGGCGGCCCCTCATTGCCATGGCGGCGGCGGCGTTGCCTCTCGCGTGCTAAAGATGCCCCGGGAGACGGCGAGGGAGGCAGCGAGACCTCTGCCTGGGAGGATGTCGCGTCCGCAGATCATCCACAGCGGCCACTTCATGGTGTCGGAGCCCCACGCCGACCCGGACCCCGAGGCGGCTCTGAGCCAGCCAGGCCAAGGCGCCCCGCCGAGCGCGGCGGAGCGAGCGAGAAGGGCCGGCTCCGCGCGGAAGGCCGCGGGCGGGAAGGCTGATGACGGGGCCCAGCTGATGACCTCCGCCGCCGCCGCTTACGACTTCGACACGGTGGACGAGGCCGCGTGCCTGTGCTACCGCTACGGGCCTCGAAGCAGCGGAGCCCTCAGCATCGACCCTTCGCTCACGAAGCTCTTCAAGTGCATGACGCTGGCCTACAGGTAAGGGCGGGGCGGGCAGGGCAGCCCCCGAGCGAACGGGGCACAGCGGGAAGTGTGTGTCTGGGGGGAAATGTGGAGACACAGTAAGAAGGGATAGAGAAGGGCCCGCGCGGTGGCTTCCTTTCTTGCCTCCGGCCCTTGCCATTCAGGGAACCAGACTATGCCTTGGGATTACAGAGTGCCTGCTGTGGGAAATGCAGCACGACCAATGAGCCTGCCATTCATACGCAAGATATACTAGTATGCATGCAGATAAACGATACTCATAAGAGAATCCATCCATCTGCAGGTAACTTGGCATCGTTAAGTAAAAGCCTCGGATTCCTTGTAACTACAGACATAAAGGTCATTTTCACCCAAGAAGGCATTTCAAAGGCGCAGCTTGCCTTTGTCGTGCCTGCCATGCCAAGTTAAAATCTAAATGAGTGTATAAATCTAGATTTGTAGCTGCCAGTTAAGAAGTGCTCCCCTGCAACCTTTCCTTCCACTTTAAGAACTTTCACTTATGGTAGGGAGGTTCTCAGGCATCACGTGTGAGAACAGAGTAGTCAAGGAATGAAACTGACATTTTAGAGTCAGAAACGCATACATCTGTTGAAACCAACAAATCCGGTTTTGAAGTTAAAAAAGAAAGCAGGGGGCCTAGATATGACATAGAGTTGGGCCTGGTTCTCCAGCATTCTACTACCACTTGCTTTCTGGCACAGTATTCTTTCTTTCTTTCTTTCTTTCTTTCTTTCTTTCTTTCTTTCTTTCTTTCTTTCCTCACTCACTCTGGTTGCAGTTCTACACACAAGGGATTAGAATCAATGAATAAGTCTCATTGAACTCCGTAGGAGTTACTCCTGAGAAAAGGTGCAGAGGATTGCACTGCTACTTATTTTACTGTATTTGCAAGGTACCCAATAGCGTCTCTAGTGGCATATGGGAATATGTTCGTATAAGCACAGCATAGAGGAGGGGAATTGACACTAACTTTAGTCTTCCCAGAAAATCATGTCAGAAAAGCACATCTTGCTGCTTAGACAGTGCTTCTGACACATACATATTACTTTGGTTTTTATCTACCCCATTTTCAGTGTATCTCATACCCCAGTTGACTTTTTCATTAAGCAGTCAAGTCCTTTAATCAGCTCTCAGGTCAGACTCCTTTAATGTGTGGAAAGGAGAGAAAGTCTTAAATAATAGAAATTTCTATTTGACAGAGTGTAGCAGATAGATAGTTAGCATGAGTATTAAAGTGAGAAATGGACCCTGACCCAAGTTGTCCCTGCCAGATGCTAGAGACATAATGTCAAAAAGCTGTCTGGGTTATGTGGGATTAAATATCATAAAGTATATGCACTGTGGTAATGGTCTGTTTTGTCCCCTTTCTGATAGTAGTGTTGCTAAAGCATAAAAACTTGGCAAGTTATATAAACAGGAAGTTTTCACAGGACATGTATTTCTTCCTGTGCTCCCTTTAGCTTCCTAATAGAATTTTAATGTGAACTCTTGTGCAGAATTTTAATGATTTATGTTAAGGAACTAATCGGCTTGTTTTGCACAGTCTAGTTTTAATTATTGTTACCTGTGCTGTAGTATGTTGAAAATTAAGACATGCCCTGAATTTTTTGAATTGGTTGGCTGTCGTCCCCCCCCCCCCCCACATTTCTGTAAAGTAGGAGAGAAACTTGAGCAATGAAACAAGCTGCTTAGGGAGGTAATGAAATTTGCTTCCTTGGAAACTTTCAAAGAAAGGCTGGGTGGGCAACTCTCTGGAATGTTTTACATTACTGTGCTTCAGGGCATAACTTGGACTAGATTAGGGATCAAAAACTTGCAGTCTGCTCGCTGCATATGGCACCCAGAACACTTGATTGCTGGCTGTGTGCCTCTTAAAAGTTTAGAAATTCTAGTGTTTCTTTTTTAAAGTAACATTTGACATGATTGCATAGACCATTTTGGTCATGAGATGGTAAAACAACAACTCTCTTTTCTGGTTCTTGGTGCCAAACAGCCTATCCTGCACTGATCTTGACCTTTGGGATTTCTCCTAGTTCTAAAAATAATTAAAATAAAAAGTACCACACTGGAACAGACAGCATTTGTTTTAACCAGTATCCCGTTCCCAGGAATGTCTGGCCCTGATGTTAGCATATAGAGTTTTGAATTAAATAGATGTAGTCCTTTCATATAAAAGTTATATTCTTACCTGAGTTGCACATTCAGCGGATGCTACAGCTGTATGTTGCAGACTAGTTTCCCAACCAATATATTTGCTGCAAAATTAACTGCTTCTGCCATTTTTATGTAACACTGAATGCATTTTTCCTACATTGAGATCATCTCCTTGTAAATATATATCTATGAAGCAGCTTTAAATCAAGAAAAAAGTGTTCCGGAATTTTCAGCAACCTAGTGAACTGGAATAGATCCTCAGAACTGGGATTTTTGGGTCTGTTATTTGACTTCCAGCATTATGACATTTCAAGCGTTGACTCCTTTAGGTATTTTTTAGTTAATCTCCCACAACATTATGAGATGTCATCTTGGACTTAGCAAAAGGACAAAGGTAGTTTGAGGAGTTTGAATGCCTGAAGAAATCCCCTCAACAAGAGTCCTTTTTGACATTAACATTGTCAAAAACTCAGTTTACCATATACCTGAGCCCACTGGTTTCAGTGGCAAAGCAAGCCTCTGCCTCCAGCCAGTGAAATAGACATTATATTTTGCTCACGCGGGTGGCGCTGTGGGTAAAACCTCAGTGCCTAGGACTTGCTGATCGTAAGGTCGGCGGTTCGAATCCCCGCGGCGGGGTGAGCTCCCGTCGTTCGGTCCCAGCTCCTGCACACCTAGCAGTTCGAAAGCACCCCTAAGTGCAAGTAGATAAATAGGTACTGCTTTATAGCGGGAAGGTAAACGGCGTTTCCATGTGCGGCACTGGTGCTGGCTCGCCAGTTGCAGCTTCGTCACGCTGGCCACGTGACCCGGAAGTCTCTTCGGACAGCGCCGGCTCCCGGCCTCTTGAGCGAGATGAGCGTGCAACCCTAGAGTCGGTCACGACTGGCCCGTACAGGCAGGGGTACCTTTACCTTTAACAGAGAATCATATATTGAATCTTTGCACAGCTATGCATTAGAACTGTGACTGATCTATCTGCCTGGGATTATTCATTATTCATTCTGTCTCAAGCAGGTGCAATTTTGAATAAGAAGCTGTTGTGGCAGAACAGCAAAGGGGCATGGGTTCTGAACAGTATCTTGTTTTCTTTTACACAACTGTTCAGTGAAACAGCTGCCAGGTTTGAAATGTAATGGGGCAGAGTGCAATAGGGTGGCCTGAGAATGTGGTCCAATACGCTTAGTGTGAGGATTTTCATGTGGGATGTTTGTGCACCTTCACGTGAACTTCTGAAGGGCAGAATATGAGTGTGTGTTGCTACTGATTAAACAGAGTGTGTGAGTGGAATGCAAGCTGCCAGTGTCTGCCTGTATTCCTAAGGAGATGCTGGCTCATTATAATTTCTTCTCCTTCGTAAGAACATACAGATGAGGCACAGTTTTACTTTAACAGTGGAAGAAATAAACCACTGAATTAACCTTCCAAGATGTTTTTAATCATTTGGATTACTGAAGTCAATACTATATTTCTCTGTTGTAGAGAGATACACTCACTAACAAATTGGTTACTAATAGCAAAACACAAATCATTTAACTGGATGTGTTTTAAATTATGCTGCATTTCTTCAGAATAATTGAATTACCATAGGTTCTGTCCTGGAAATAGTTGTCCAGCACTCACTGACTCTTCGTAGATGGGGTTCTGCAACAATAATGAATGGGGAAGACCCCTTATAGTAAGGCTGGGAGTGGGGGGTATTTCCAGATCTGCCACCTAAAGTCAGGGCTATTTTTTCTTCTGTCATAATTGCCACATGGAATTCCACCCCAAGGCTTGTATCTATAGCATACTTTTTAAAAGCAAGATTTTGTCCTTTGTTGAGGAGCTTCATCAGAAAAACAGGAAGGCAGTATACATAGAGGGCCATGTAGTTCTGTGGGCAGAGCTTCTGTAATCAACACAGCTTCTTATCCCTATATATGATCTATAATTATGTTCTACACTTATCAGCATATGCTACTTCTAACCTGTTCATTTTTCTCCTTCTCCCACAGTTTGCTTTAAAAAGTTGAGGAGGAATCAACATCCAGTGAGAGGTTTAGAATAAAGCAGGCGTATTGGGTCAATCTGTGCAAAAGGTGAACATTTGTAGACATCTGAGTAGTTTACAGTTTATAGTTTTGAGTGCAGAATTTAGTTTTATTGGCAGATTAGTAATAAACTGTGGCTATAGAATAGTCAAGCTTATTAAAGAGATGTTCCTGTTCAGTGTGTTTTGAGCTGCCGCCTTCTTCTTTGGGTTGTTGCCTGGCCCTGTTTCCCCTTGAAAGCCAGATATACTTGGTATTACAAGAGGTGGTTTTTTTTGGCTTTCTCATTTGTAGTGAGAAACTTGTCTCTCCCAAATGGAAAACCTTCAAAGGGCTGAAACTGCTACAGCGTGACAAGATTCGACTCAATAATGCCATCTGGAGGGCCTGGTATCTGCAGTGTAAGTAGCCTGGAAGAAGGTATTTAAAAACAACAACAACCAAAAAAAACACCCCAACCATATAAAAGGTGATCCGATATGGGCAGATTAGGTGGGAACCACCAAATTCTGTGTATAAATCCACAAAAAATGGGTTCTTCCTCCATCCCTGCACATGTTTTCCATGACTTCCTCAACCAAGGAGATAGTTTCACACAGAATTATGTATTGCAAGTTTGCAAAGCTTTATGCTAGCAAAAGTCACATATTAATTGCTTATGGATTTAAGCAATTAAATCAGCTCTACTGCCCTATTTAGTGGATGCTGAAATGGGAGCGACTGCCAGCCAGCAAGTATTTTCTCTGTTTGGTCCTGTTTGAAGCTATACTGCAGATTACAGCCCCTTTTCTGCTATTTCATTCTGGATGCAGATGTGGAGAAGCGGCAGAACCCAGTGTGCAGTTTTGTGACCCCACTAGAGTGCAGTGATGTAGATGTGCACCGCAAGCCCGAGGTGAGCAAAGGTTATTTGGGCCTTTCTTACTTAAGAACGTACAAAGAAGACAGACTATGCATTTCTGTATGTGACCCCTGGCTGCACCTTTGTTTGGCAGGCTGTCATCATGGAAGGAAAGTACTGGAAACGCCAAGTTGGGGTTGTCATCAGGGAATATCACAAATGGAGGTTGTTTTCCTATACCCAGGTCAGTGTCTTCTCCAGCAAGATGTGTTGTACTTCATATAGCTCTCCTTCACCCCTAGATGACATGTTCCACCCAAGCTCATACAGTCCTTTTTAGTGTCAACCAAGGAAATCAGGTAGCCAATCCAGAAGCACCTTGGAACTCCATTGTAAGAAGGTGGATTTTCTAGATGCTTCTTGCCAGGCTACCATAGACTGCATCTGGTGGTTATGAGGTGATCTGGTACTAGACTGGCAAGGCTATGTTTCCATCTTACTCTGATGGGTGCCTTGGCCTATAGACTCATTTCCGCAGCTGCCAAAGGCTCTCATTCTCTTGCCCTCTCTCTCATTTCCACAAAGACACACACTGGTCACCCAGCTATCCCTGTGTGATTATTGTGGTCTGCAATGGCTTGGCTGAGGCCTCATGTGTTCATTGTTGTTGTAGCCGTAGTAGTAATAATAATAGTACATTATACCTAGCCCTTCCTCCCAAATGTGTCCAGGGCAGCAATAAGCCAGATAGGATTTTATTTAGCTACCTATGGTTTTCCTCTAGCTAAGTATTGTAATTGTAGTACTTTCAGTGGCCTAATCCTAAACATTCTGTGCATTTTGTTATAGGCTTCAAAGAAGATGGATAAACCCGTCTATGGTTCTGCTCAGGTGCTATTTTAATGCCTTGTTCCTATACTGCACCCTCCAGATTCCCCTTTCCCCATGGCAGAGGGTGGAATTAAAAAAGCTTGGGGGTTGTCTGCAGCCATTCAGTATTCCAGCCCCTCATTTGAGTTTGCCTAAAGTTGGAGTTCACAGCTCTTTCTCTTCCATTCTGGACAGGAAGCAGCTGATGATGTTCCAAGGGCAGAGCTGAAAACGGATGGAACAGATGCATGCCCCATGGACCTTGACCCCTTGCATGACCTGGATGCACTTCTGGACACCTTCATTTCTAGCCGCAACCCTTATGGTGGCCCCAACCTCCGTGGCCTTGGTGAGAGGCCTTGCTTTGTGCTCATTCCATCTATCTCTGGATCTGTCCCTTTCTACCAAGAAACCCTTTAAGTTTTCTCCACTGTCCCCAGAGGCTGGTACAGATGCCTCTAAAGGGTGGAGAGAGCTTTTGAAGTATCTCCATGTGAGAGCCAGTCCCTTGCTTGTGAACCAGAGAACAATTGCTATGTAACAAAGTAGCGAGCGAGTGATATTATTTCTCATTTTGTGTCTTCAGCTCACCAGGGAAATGCGGATATGATCCAGCCCACCCTGACCCAACTGCACCCCATCTTTGGGGAGGAGTTTATGGACTTGGACCCCATTCAAGGTAACAGCAGAGGTTTTATGGCTGTACTTAGTGGTAAGGTGGTGCATCTCAAAGCTGAAAGACATCCTCTGAAGCACTTTGTATGGCTTCTTAAGACCACTTCAGACTGTGTTTAAATTATGTATCCATACTGTACACACTTAAGAGAAATGTGTTTGTTTATAGATGCTACTGGGTACATGCTGCTAGGATCTCCTGATCAGCAGCAATTCCCTTCAATGCTTATCTGTAAAAGAGCCCTTGGATTCCTCAGAATTGCAGCTTGCATATTTACTAAACTCACTGTTAGGGAGAAAACAGAACAAAATATGAAAAGCATGTCATCAAGGCCCCAAAATCAAATAGAAACATGTATTATTATTATTTTAAGCCCACAAGTTAATCACCAGTTTTGAAAGATTAACTTGTGACCTCAAGAGTAAATAACATCTGAGTCTGGGTCACCAAAGTGGGCTGAAAGCTATCACTGGTGAGAGGAGACTATTTCCAACCTGACATTGATGAAATTCTAGTTCACCCAAGGCCAGAGCAGAATGTTGCTGAGCAAACATGATACGTCCTGGTAAGACTAGACATTATTTAAATCAGTCAGCATGCACATAAAAATCCTCTTTTGGGAATCCAATGCTCTAATAGAAGACTCATTCTCCATATAATCACATGCATACTGTGCTTTATATATTGTTTGTCCCCTATCCCATTTTCTGAATCAGCCAGGACAAATTCTTCAGAGCCACTGTATATCTCCTTTTCACAGGAAGAATAAAGTAGGCAAATTAATCTTGTATGAATTCTTAATTTGAAAAATCTTGAACTTACGAGTTTGTCATCTCAAAATTTCTACTTGCAAGTATAGCATCTACATATAGAGCCTATTTCAGTCTCATTCCTGCCACTCCGTCACATAACTCTGAAATCAGCAGTCCCCACCTCCAAATTGCTCCTGTTCTTGACTTGAGTTTCTCTACCAGTTGACATATCCTGGATTTTAGGTCTCATCTTTCTTCAAAACCACTAATTGATGTCTGCTTGTATGGTGGATGTGAATGAATGAATGTTTATTATTACGACCAAACAGCCAGCATGCTACCTGTATGGTGAAATCCTGATGATTCCTTGCTTAATTGATTCAGACACACCAGCCAGTTATCTTCTACCAGTTGCTCTTTATCTCCTCCCAGCCTTTTAAATCTTTGCTTTCTTTTCACAGAATTCATCACTTCCTGTCGTTCTCAGCCCACGATCCAGGTAAGGATAATAAATTTATCTGATAGCTTACAAACTCCTTGGGCTTCTGCAGCCCCTGATGCTTATTGCAGATACTGGTCTGTGCTTGATTTTGATTTTGGAAAGGCAATAGCCTTTTCTCAGCATTGCAAAAAAACTGAGCAGTGGGAGTTCTCCCACTTGTATGATTTTCAGTGCAGCCATCTCCAGCCTGGACTCAGGAGTTGTGTTTGATTTGCACTCTCTTCTCCCCCCTCTTAGGCTCCTGCAGTAACAGATGCTAGTGCTTTGAACCAGTGCAACCCAGATACACCTCTCATTGCCCCTGGGACCAAGGATCTCCCACCGCCTGGAGACTCTCTCAATCCCATTCCCATCTCACTGGATGTGGAGCCGCCTGTACCTTTGAATGGACAGCAGACCTTCCTGCCATTCTTCCCCACCTCCCCACTGAGGATCAGCCCGCCGCCTGTCTCTCCCATCTTGCGCATGCAGCCTCAAACCACTTTGGTCTTCTCTGTCATCACGCACACAGGATCAGAAACAAATTCTCCGTCTGTATTTCGGGACACTTTTGCTGTGCCAGTCTCTGCTCCTCCACCCAAGGATGGGAAATGCAGACACCTGCAACGGATTGCTCCAGCACCCTCCTCTAGCCAGCAGCCAGCCCTTCCCGGTGCTCCGCTCCCTTGCCTGCTTGCAACTGGTATGTCCCTGCAAGGACAGGCTCTCTGCAGGGGAAATTGAGGCATTGCTGACCTAGACTACAATGCTTCTCTAGATCCATTTGGAGTTTTAAGTCATACTGCAGAATTCTCCTTTCTTTTTGGTTGTTGTTTTCTGAAGCAAATCTCACCAGGGTCAACTTTTGGAATCCCTAATTTAAACAACTGCATGCATTATTAGTGTTTATTTTGATATAATTATCTGAAGCTGGAGTTTAGCTTCATACTTGGGAATCACTGGAAGCAAAAGCATTTTTCTGCACTGGAAAAATAAAATATGTGGTCCAGGGAGATAGTTTCTTGTGTTACTGCAGAATTTTAAAATTATATACAGTGGTACCTCGATTTTCGAATGTAATCCGTTCCAGAAGACCGTTCGAGTTCTGAAACGTTCGAAAACTGAAAACTCAGTATGGAACTAAGTATGGAAAATTCAATACGGAAGCCGCGTGGCATGTTCGACTTCTGAGGCGTGTTTGAAAACCGAAGCATTTATTTTCGGGGTTCCGGCATTCAAAAACTGACATGTTTGTCAACGGAGACGTTCAAAAACCAAGGTACCACTGTATCTAACTTGAGCTGATAGGCATTACGTAACAGTGCCTGCATCTCCTTCAGTGGATTTAGGGTTTAGCCTTGCAGAAATTGTGTGTCAAAACTATGTACTGACTAGTCTGTAGAATAGCAAAATGGTTCAGTTAGTCTACAGGTATTGGAGACAGATTTAAGGTGGCAATCTTACTTGCAACTATACATATGTGTAAAGATGTCTGGGAGCTGCTGTTTGGAAAGGGAAAGAAAAAGTCCTCTATGCCCAGATTCCTGCTTTGATCCCGTTCTTGCTTCTCTGGAGTGTAGTTAAGCTTTTTGTTTCGATGCAGCCAGCAGTTTGAACCAGGTAAATCAAGCAAAACTACAAATGTTAACGTTTGTCCAAATGCTTCATAGTTAAACAGAAAACCTTCAACTCATTAGTAGAAGTGAAATGACAGCTCATTAATATAACTATGCATATTTACTAGCTTTTTAAAGTTATATTTTAATTTCTCTTAAATCTACAAGTGAGCACAGATTTTCTTGACCCAATTCAGAAGAAGGCTCTTGTGCCTTGTAGCTTTTTTGAACAGGGAAAGTTGTCAAGAACTGTAGAGTCTTCTAATGTGCAAGCATTATGAAGAAAGAATCTGTAACTATGAAACTTTCCTCTCTACCCCATTTAGAGAGGTCCAGAATTCCTATCCTTTGTCTGATGGCAAAGTGGGTACCAAACAGTTGATGTCAGATTGGCTGGTACCTGCAGGAATTTTATGAGACGCTAATGGTTATGAGGAAACCAGGCCTAGGTGTGTTTTGGAAGGGATCCCTGAGGCAAGGATGCTCATTGGCCTCTCTGTTGGGTAGGGTGCCATGCATTTAAGTAGAGATCATTGGCCTGAATTGTATTTTCAGTTGTGGTGGGTGGGATTTCATAAAGCAGCAGACTCCTTTTCATTAAATAAATTGTGCCACATTCAAAAACTTGGTCTACTGGTGAGCAGCTAAACTGAAGCTGTGTAGTTACAAGGAGTGAGTGATGCTGCTTCAGCCAGCCAAGTTTTGTACATGCATTGGGGGTTAATACATAGAGGCTGGGAAAATAAGAACATCTCTTTCATCTCTAGGTCCTGCCCCACTGCCCCTCACTCCAGTCATGAACTCTGTACAGGTAAGGATGCTCTCCTCTGCCACCTTTCTTCTGCGAGGCCTCCTATCTGTGTTCTGCTTTCTGCCTCCTTGGAGTTGACAGGCGGCGTATTTTTCTATCTTTCTGTTTGGCTGCTCTCTCTTTCTCTCAACCCTGCTTTTCGTCTCCCACAGGTGTGTGGCGTCCCAAAGCCCCCTGCGAATATGCTGAACTCATTCTCGGCAACGGTGAAGTCTCTTCCACTAGCCTCTGCTGCTGCTTCCCCTGACACTGGTAAGCTGGCTCAGGAGGGTACAAAGTCACTCGGCCTCTCTTCTTAGCAATATCTCATCCGCTTTCACTGCATTGGTCTATATGCCGTGCCAAAGTAGAAATTGAATACAGTATTTTTGGGATTATTTCAGGTACCAAAACCAAGGAGAGAGCTGAGGACAACACTCTCTGCAAACCCCAGGAAGTGGACAAATGCTGTACTGCCAAGGTAATAAGGATACCCACACCACTGTACCTCATCTTGTTGGCTTGAGTATTGTGGGAGAATACATCTTTTCTCAAAGACGATAGCCAAAGGGGTAGGTGCCTGGCAGTGTCTCAAATCATGGCTTGATTGGCTCTTGCAGGGAAGTCGCAGATCAACACTTACCTCGGCTGACTATGCCCGCCGTAGGGTCATCAGCTCCGGCTTCAACACTCTTGCCACTCTGGTGTTGACAGGACCTGATCAAAGCAGCACTAAGGTACGCATCCCCCACTGTACCAGAGGGTGGAAGGGCACATATTCTCTGCTGTTTGTCCAGTCCCCCCAATTTGCTTTGTGTACCTGCTGGAGCCATTCTTGTGGTCTTTGCCCTCCCAATCCATTTTACGCCTTTACTCCACCCCCTCACCTCCCCAGTTCAGCAAAGCGATGCTTCTGCAGAAAAGTGCGGCACATGTGGAAAGATTGCAGCAAGAGCGCCGACAAGCTCAGGAGACAGTTGAAAGACTACGTGGGGAAATCAAAGAGCTGAGCACTGCCATTGAGTGAGTTGCGGGGCTGGCTTAAGGGGTTTTCATTGGATCAGGGATAAAAGTTAAAAGGTGAGAGGGGAACTCCTGTCAACAAGTTGTGACTTTTCTCTTCCTTGCAGTGACTTTCAGCGCCAGCTTCCACCTACGGGAGCTCCTGTGCTGCCACCACAGTCAGATCAGGCTTCTCAACTCTATGAAGAGTATGTGCGCAAGCGCACCCTCCAGGACTGGCGCTTCTGGCTTGTATCCATCACTGAGCATGTGGGATGGGATGGGACAGGTTAGGGTGCAAGAAAGAAAGCAAGGGGAGGTATTTGGCATGGCATCAGTGGCCTGCTGGGTGCTTAAGGGGAGCTGGGAGACTTGGCTGCATAGGCTCCTTAACCTCTTCCAACCTGCAGTTCAGCATGGTGATTAAGCCACTCTTTGAGAGCTACACCAGGACAGTGAGCACAGGCAACGTCAAGGAATTCTGCGACTCAGTGTTGAGCTGGTTGGAGCAGCACTGCACCCTGCCCATCTTGCGCCCTGGTATGGATCAACAGGGAAATCTAGAAATGTCTTTCCCTTCACTGACCCATCTCTTTCCCCCCCATGGCTTTCAATGATCCTTGCCTACCTTCTGCTCTGAAATCTAGCATGTGTTTGTGTATCATTCACCCATCCTACTCCTGCTTGAAGTACTCTTACATTCACACATAACTAAGAGAGTGGAACCATGGCTTACCAATTATACTCCACATTCCCGATTCCCTTTTCATGCCTTGCTAAGTTACTAGACACAATTGCCCATCACTATGATCCTTTCCTTGCCCTGAAGCAAGATTATTGGGCACTGCCTTAAAGCAAGGCCCAGATGTGACCTTAGGAGTTACCTGGCTTTGTGGTGTTTAGGAAAAAATCTAGCTGGAGATGCCAGCTGTTCTCACAAGTCTTCTATTCCTGATACTTCCAGAAGACTTGAAAGGATTCTCTTTCTAGGAATTAGGAGAAAGTGTCTGCATTGAGTTCATTGTTACTGTTTTGGTTTTTTGTCCCACAGCTATCTCTGGCTCCCTCCTGCAGCTAAGCAAGATCACATCCATACTGACTCGGCCAACCCAGTTGCGTGAACAAGCCCTGCAAGCGGTAGCTGGCCCTCCACACTACAGGAGCAACAGCTAGGATGAAGACCAGGTCCAGTGCTATATGGACATCCTCACACACTACCAGGAAAGCCAGCAGCAGGGACCTCTATCTCAGGAATTCATTTGCCATGCAACAAAGAAGCTTATGTTAGACAGTATTGGGGTTTAGATTGCCAGAGCAGAGAATCTCTTGAGTATTCATTTTGGTGCTGGACACCTCTTAATACTCTCTTTCTTTTTGCAGAACTTCAGGTAGTAGAGTGGGGGATGTGGGGAATAAGGCCAGAATGCAGATTTAATTGCCAGATGTAGGATGCCAGCCATGGCTTTAGCCTCTTTCAGAACTGGGGTGAAAGATTAGCCGCATAAGAATTAGTGTGGCCTCCATTTCCTGTGTTTTCCCACCAGAGGGCAGTGAAAGTGATTCTTGCAGGCCTTCTCAATACATAGAGAGATACTTCTTCTGTATGATTCATGGCTTTGTTCCTCACTAAATTTGAGTGTTTGTGGCTAAGTGTTGTCGCCCCCCCCCCATATGCAGTATATGTTGATGGCAGATTTTACCTATGCAACCATACCCATGAACCCTTTCAGGGGTATAGAGGATCAATTTCTCCCATCTTTCATTTTAGCTCGGAGAAGAGACCTTTTGTAGGACTGTGTATTTTCTGCTAGATCTGCTGAATTTTTACAGGGGGTGGAATCTGACTTCAGCTCAGTATTTGATGGTACAATCCTCAGAGCAAAGAGTATCATCACACCTTCAGTCTACAGCACAGCCTATGCCTGCCATTCTCCATCCCCTATGCTCATGTTTCTTTTCTCAAGTTACATATTAGCTTGGCGTGGAATCTGGAGTTTATTTATGCACAACACATCCTGTACTATGTTTGCCAAACTTTGTTCTAGGCTCCCAGCTAATGTACAACAACTCTTGACATCTGACCACAAGGAGGTTGTGTGATGGGGAAGACACCACCTTACCACTGATAGGCAACCTGTTCTGTCTCCAATACTGTAACTGTATGATTGCATAACCTTCGGCAAATAGCAATACCTCATTCCAAACTCCCAAGTTAGTCATAAAGCTAATGTCAACAGGAACAGGAGCCTAGCTGATTAAACTAGGGAAAAGGCTTTTTTACCCTTTCCAGAGTTTTGAGTAATATCTGAAGTAGCTCTGGACATTTTGGCACCTGATAACAGAGAATCCAAATGTCACACCTCTATCCCCCCACCCCACCCTCCCCCAGTTAACAGGTACAACCATTGAAACTAGCAGGAACTGTGGTGGTGCATAGATCCTTTTCATTCCTGATGGGTAAGCTCTATAGCTTTATCTTTCATTACCAGATGAAAGCCTTTGATGATTGGAAATTGTTCTAGCTGCTTGCGTACAAGATACTCTAATACTTATGTGTCCAGAAATACATGAGAGAAAGAGTTGGAAGGGACCACGAGGATCATCTAGTCCAACCCCTTGCAATGCAGGAATCTCTCACCCAACATGGGGCTCGTTGTTGAGATCTGACCTAGGTGTGCGTGGTTTTCTTTTCTTTTTACTGATTTATTATTTCTTCATTCTGCTACAGGCCCAAAACTTTCAGCAACAAAACCAAAAAAGCTATTCTATTATCCTATAGGAATATAGTAATAGTATGGCAGTTTTCCATCAGCCACTTTAACCAAGGAATGGGCAACTGATTGATTCCCATGGGAGACTCACCTCAATATACAAAATCTACTTCAAGCCCAGGTGTGCTGTCAGTCTGTGGGATGTTCTATGTCCCTTTTCTGTACCTTTTTTACTCATGAATGATGGTGGTGCTTTTTAAGAGTCTGCATTAGCTGAAGGTAACCACTCTGCATTTATGTGAAGCTAATGCACAATACAGCTGACCCTTTCACTGTTCAGCATGGGAGGTTTACTGCAGAAAAGACTTCCAGTGCTTGCTCACCTAGATGTAGTTACTGATAGCACTTTACTTCCTCCAGTCCTGTAGGATTTCTTCAGTTAACGTGTATTAAAAAAAGAATGAGAGCACACATGAATTATGAATTCTTTCTTGAAAAATATTCAGTGGACCATTTGAGATTTCTTGTGTTTCTATATCATTTTGTAATTTTAGCACTATTTCTGTATGTTCCACAAATGTCACTAAAATACATTTGAGTAATCTTTAAGCGTTGTTTTCCTTTTTCACAATTCAGCAACTCCACTCTTTTCATACATGTAGGCAGCTGCCAGCCTTTGGCCAAACTGTAAAAGCACCTGCTGGGCTTTGCAGTTCCATCTTTCAAAAGCATCCCACAACCAACTTCTGCCCAGCCATCCCCACTGCTCAGCTGCTAAGGCCTAGGAATAGCCAAATAGCACTTCAGTTGGGGGGGCACACTATTCAGTTATTCATAGTGCTACTCAGCTGGGCAGCAGGCAGGGAGGTATGCAATAGATCTCTCTGTTGGTGATGGAGTTGAAGAGTCTGTACATCTTCCTTGAGCAGGGTGGGGAGAATAATGTGTCACAAACTATTCAGATGTGGCCCCATTGACACATGTAGCTGTTAGATGTGCAAGTGTTTTATTTCTCAGTCAATTAACTTGAAAGCCAATTCAACAAACCAAGCAAGTTTGCAAAGAGCACACAACAGTAAAATAAACAGGATGCAGTGCTATACTAAGCTTGGCTTCCAAGAACTAGTCACTCAGTTTTGGGGATTCTTTTCCCCAGCACAGCATATTGATCCAAATCAATCCTCACCTTCATTTGACCTCAGCCATCTAAGTACTCCCTAAGAAGCTTTGATTAGGGCCAGAACCCATAAGTGGAGACCAGCTAGTAGACTTTGGCATCTTTTTAGGGCTGTTACATCCAAGCACAGAATCTCCATGATAGGAATGAAGAAGTTATCCAATAATGTCAAAACTCAGGGACTTCTCAGGCTGAGATACCATCACATTTTCCTCTCAGAGGCAATATCCATGCCACAGGCTGCAAGGGAAGCATATGGAACATGGTTACTGTCTGAAAGAATCCTGACTTTGCATCTTACATGCCTCCTCCACCTACTGTGCCAAACAGCAGGCATGGGCAGCACAACAGCAGCAATGGTGCGTGTTTTACAGTCAGTATAAGCAAATGATCTGTGGGGAGGCCGCAGCTCTCAGCTTTCAATTCTAGGAAGTCATTGGCCAGAGAGAAGGTGGCGAGTAGGAAAAGGAATACATAGGAAGGAAGTGGGGGAAAGGATAAGTGGGAATACCTGCTACTGAATGTGTCCACATTTCTTACATGTAAGCCTTTTTAACCCTTTAAAAATTTTGTTGGGCCCTGAGCTGCTTTCAGAGACTCTAGTGAGCATAAGAATGATGGACCAAAGTCATGTCTGGATGTGAGACAAGGAAGCCCCATGTAAGCTACTCGGTGCTTCCTAAAGCAAGTAAACTGTAAATACATACTAAGGCTTCAGTGCTCAATGCTTCAAATGGAGTCATAGTAAATGCTGTGGGTTGGAAGTACAGCAAAGGTGAAGCAAAAATCTCATTCTTCAGCAAGGTTCTCAGACAACATGCAAGCTGATGCCAAATGTCAACTTCGTAAGCGCCTCTGCTTCATGACAATCTCAGCCACTAGGACTTCCTACCATGAAATGGCCAGGACAGTCTACCAAACACCCTGGCGGAAGCTGCAAATAAAGGAGAACTGCTTGTTCTTGGCTACTGATCCCTTTCCTATTCTAATCCCCAATAGGTGAGTTATGGATTTTACTTGACCTTTGCTGAGCTCATACTTCCATTTGCCCAGTTCATTTTGTGTATTACCTCTTGCAATAGAGTTACTCCTCATTCATACAGTTGTGAATAAAAGATGCCCAGAGCTTAGCCAAATTATCATGTGACCTGCTTAGCACTGCCATGGCCTTGCACCACCAAGCCCAACCTCAATAGTCTTCCTCTTCCAGATCTCATTACCCTAGAATAGATGCTTCCATCCAGTGCCTGAGAAGGACAGAGCAGCTTTTCCATACTAACCTGTATGTAACGAGAGGGTCCTTGTTGTGCTTCTCTAGCAATTCCCGCACCATAGCAGGGGGGTTGAGACCCAGTAACTCTGCCCTCTCCCAGCGCTGCAAACGGGTGATTCCTGTCAGGGAAAAAAAGGTCTCTCAAAGTGGCCTCTTCAACACCAGCGATCTTCAACCACCTTCCTTGCAAGTCTATTGCCGCTAGATGAACTTGAGAATTAACTAGGAGTCCCCTTTTCCTGGTATGCTGCCACTAATTATAATGTAACACTTTAACAGAGCATAGGGAGACTGGTCCCTGCCCCATGGAGGTATATCTAAAATTGTGCATGGAGGGAGGCAGGGAAAACCTATGCTTTCATTGCAGTGATGTGTACTTTGGCTCAGTTGTAGTAGCAGCATGATTGGAAGTTCTTACCTGTACAGGGGCCGTACTGCCAGCTGAGGTCAAATTGCTTTAGTGTCTCCAGCTGGTCTGGATGTGCAGTATCTTGGACTGCCTGGACTGTCACTGCGTCTGATCAGAGAGAAATGGATGATTATCACCGCATTATGGAGAGCCCTTGTATGAAATGAGTGTGCAGGAAAGGGTTAACATAATTCTTTAGCCAACACCATTACATTAGTTATCTCTCGTTTGCTCTACAACCCGTATAACTCTGCCTGTGTTTTTTTAGCATCTCTTCACCCACACTTCGATCTCATGTAAATATGAACACACACAACATGTGCTGACTGAAGGAAACAACACTAACATAATTAATCCATTGCTCATTGAGAATGCTCCTCTTCTGTGGAGGGTTCCCCACCTTTTGGGAGTATATGTTTCATATAATTTTACTTCCTGCTAAATGATTTTTCAAATACTTCACTTTCACAGCAATCCTGTGCAACAGTTCATCACCACTGTACTATAGCAACTTGCTAGCTAAGCAAGTGGCAAGCCTATGACTGATTAACCCTCACTTGCATAACCGTGGTATTGAGTTATGTGCAGATCCAACAAACAACCTAGGAGACGACCAAAGCAAGACCATGCAGGGAAAGAGTTTGCAAGAACTGATGTCTTGCAAATCTCAAGGGCCACTCCAATGGGCATCCATCTACTCCCCACCTAAAGCTGCTGGATTTTCACCCTTCCCCCCCCCCCGTTCAGATTATCTACCTATTGGTAGCAGAGGTACCACCTTGCCGTGGTGAGTGGGCTTGCACATGCCTATGACCCTTGTGAGCAAAGCCGACGGGAGTCTCGTACTCCCAACAGGGTCACCCAAGGTGGCAGGGTCAAAGGGAGGAGCTAGACAAAGAAAGATCCAAGAAGTCCTCAACAACAGAGCAGGCGGCAGATAACAAGTGACATGTTACATCGGCTGTGAAGGCAGATGAAGGCTGCAGCAGATAAGATAGAGCCTTACTGCGAAGACTGCTTTGGTCAGCGTGCACTGATCTACACACATGAAACAAATTCACGCACAAGCATCTTCCAAAAACCCATACCAAACCCAAACCCATAAAACTCCCATGGTGATTGGCAAATGGTAACGGTGTTTCCAAAAACTTTTACACATCACTTGGGAAGACAGGTGAACTAATGCTGGTGTACTGGATGAAGCAAAGATCACCAGTGTTGAAGCAATGATTCTTCAGCATCAACTACATTGGACTGGTCATGTGCGGATGCCTGATTATCGTCTTCCAAAGCAACTACCCTATTCCAAACTTAAAAATGGAAAGCGTAATGCTGGTGGTCAACAAAAGAGGTTTAAAGACTCCCTCAAGGCAAATTTTTAAAAACGTAGTATAAAAACTGACAATTGGGAAACACTGGCCTGTGAGCGCTCCAACTGGAGAACAGCCTTTAGCAAAGGTGCTTGAATTCAGGATGAAAGAGAGAAACACAGTAAGAGGAAGACACATTTGGCAAACCCTCACCATGATCAACTCCCACCTAGAAACCTATGTTTCCATTGTGGAAGGATGTGTGGATCCAGAATTGGCCTCACAGTCACTTACGGACTCACTGTTAAGATTGTGTTCATGGAAGACAATCTTACTCGGCTACGCCAAAGAAGAAAAAGGATTTACGGGAGCATGACCAAATCGGTTGCACTGGGCACGGAGACTTGGGGGTGCCACAGGGAACGCTGAAAGTATGATTTAAAATGAAGCGAGAGAGGTGAGGGGCGCTGAATTTTGGTGTTGCACCAGGTGCTGCTGAAATTCACGCATCCCTTCCTAGCAATACTCACCATGGAGTGGGCTCTGAGCCTTCTTTGTTTCCTTACTGTCTCTTTTCCTCTTCTTCACCACTTGGAAGGAGTCTGTGATTAGCCGTTTCCTGCCCATGGTTCCATGTGGCAAGGCTCACAGAGCATTAACAGGTTGCTCTAAACAAGGAGCTGAGGAGAAGCAGAGACTGTTAGACAAGCTGCTGACTAGGACCTTCAATCTCCAAACCTACTGTCCTAATACCAGCTACCAGTCAAAACGACTTTATTTCTGGGAGAAAAAACTACGCAAAAAGATGTTTGGACTCTCCTAGCTGGTGGCCTTCTCCCATGTGGAAGTTCTTTGCCTCCAAACACATTAAAGAGCCTAAGTTTATGTAAAGGAGAAGGAAGTATATTCTGTGCATGGTCAGAGGACCCTACACCTTGTTGGAATTCTGCCTTGGGTCAGAGGAATGTGCCAACAGGCGTAGGCACCGGCAGATATTCCTGTCGACCTCCCCGCGTCTCCGCTCTGCTGATAAGCAGGCGAGGTCTCGGCGATTCTTCTCAGACATGTGAGAGGAACACACGATCTTCGTCTCTCCCCTTTGGTGTTCCCCAGGAGGGGAAAGAAGCAGACAGAAAACTATTTACATCCTTTATTTCTGTCTCTCATATCGAGTACAGGAGAAACATGTCTGCACTCGACAACAGCTAGAAGAAACTCCCACCCAAGTACTTCCAGTACGGGTCATATGACACACACACTGAGCTAACATCCGGTGCTCAGTACAGAATGAACTGCCCCTTTGTTTCCATGGCAACAGTCACAAACATCCTGTCTGGCTTTCCAGCCACAAGCAGCAGACTGAGCTGCTGGAGCCTTTGCTTGCTGCAGCATTGGTGCTTTAGAATAACATCCTCCCCCTAAAGTATCAATGCTTGCTGCGAGCAAAGCGTCATCCAGAGAAGAAAACAAACAGTTGTTATACTTATAACATTCCCCTGTTGTTTCAGTTCCACCCTTGGAACTACCCGCCACTGGTTTTACCAATGTACCTCTCTGGTTGTGTGACTTCGCATTACCTTGGTTAACAACTCTCTGTTGTGCCTTTGTCTCTGACTCAGACACATCTTCAATCTGTCCTTGATCATTTACAACAGCAACATATGCAAGGTTAGCAAACTCCTTTGAATACCTCTTGGGTGGTACACCCTTCGTTGCTCTCTCAGACCTACGTAAGTGTTGCTTCTCTTCTCTGCTTTCTGGTTCAGCCTCTGAACTCTCTGGAGAACCAGTACTAAGCTTAATCAGTGGTTCATCCTCCTTTTCTGAGGGTCTAGTCATTATTTGAGATTTCCTCTCAATGATTGTGACAACTGAACTGTCTGAGCTATCGGTGTCATCATCAGTACCACTGTAATCTGTGACATCAGAAAAATCATCATCATCTGAATCGTCACCTGTGGGAAATGTGTGTTCTACTCGCTCTTGCTCTGGAGCACTCTCTAGAAACTTTGTGAGAATCACCTGACCAGATTCAGACAAAATTACTCTATAGAGACCTTTTTCATAACCCACGAAGATGCCTCTGGCATTCTTTACCCCACTTGGAGTTTCTGTTCTCACATGAGACCCGAAAACCTTGAAATAGGCAACAGAAGGTTTTCTGTTAAACAGCTTCTCAAAAGGAGAACATCCCAACTCTGTTGAGACTTTTCTCAACCACACATGAAGTCAGGACTGTGTGTCGATACTGAAAAATTCTCAGCCCGACTCCAAGGCAGGGCAAAGTCCTTTCCCTGAGCGGGAGGCTATTCCTCTGTCAAGAAGTGCGTCAGAATCCCTTGCGGTCCCCATCCTGGACTCTGCTTCCTCCTGAAGCCTTCAAAGCAATGCACGACTCGTTCCTCTCTTCATCCAGACCTCGAAAACAGACTCCCCGGTTCCTGCTCTAACCACTGGTTACTCTCCCCCACACCCAAGAGGCCTGGGGATCAAAACGATCCCCTCCCTCTCACCCCCTGAACAGATAGATCCCTCTTGTTCCTTCTATAGCAGCCGCGTTCCAGCCTTTCCGAGTCGCCCCCTGGAGTTCCCTCCCCTAATGCCCAAACGCGGAAGGGCAGGGAGGATCTCTCTCCTCCTGTCACCCCGGAAAAAAGGCTCCGCGACATCTCTAGAAGCAGCTGAGTCCTTACCAGCAGCTGCGCCGGGGGCTGTCGGTGCTCCCCCCCCCAATGTCTCTTGGGGGCGATGCGAGGACTGCGGGGTGGGAGCTGCTGGCACAAACCGCTCCCGATTCTCCCTCCACCCCCGGAGCCGTTCTGGGTCTCCCCGGAGCAGCCGCTTGTTGTTTTTGCACGGATCGGCCAATGGCAGCGCTGCTTTCGCTTTGCGTTCAAGGCGGCAGCAGCGGAGGCAGCGCCCCTGGCGGCCGACCCGAGGAAGGACGGCGGCTTAAGGCGTCGCAGGTGGCGCCTCTTGCTCTTCGGGGCCCCGCTATTCTCCCGGCTGTTTCCTGCGCTCCCCGCACTCCATCCCCCAGTTCCGCATCTATGCGCTCTCTTCCTTTTGCTCGAGAGATTTTGCCGCGATCAGAGGAGCAGAAGCCACAGAACCGCCAGAGGTAGCAACGAGACGCCTGCCGATTAATAGTAAGGCATGGGACATGTCCGGGCCAAAACTCTGATCCGGAGACGGACCAAGAAAGGAGCGGGGCGTCCAAACGAGGAAACGCCGCCATAGCAACTTGCCTGCTGCGCTAGCTTAGCCGCTGTTTGGGCAAGGAGTGGGGAACCGGAGCAGAAAATAAATGCTTTACCTGGAGACTGTTTTTCCCAAAATCACTGAACTAGAGAGCAGCTTCGTCTTCTCCAGCAGCAGTGGCCCTCTTCCTGACAGCTCCCTCGATCCCTGCTCCTCCGCGATCTCCTTCAGCACCACCTGGTGGGAGAGGCTTGCAGCCGGCAGAAGCTTCCCCTGAAGCAAGCACTCGTCTCTCGTTCTATGGAAGCAGACTCGCCTCTTTTTCATTCGGAGAATCGGCCGATTACTCTGGATTATGCGGATCACATCCCACTGGGCCCGCGGTTGCAACCCAAGAAACAATTTTGTGGAGTGAATGAACCATTTAGTATAACATATACATAACACTACCATCTCTCACTCCCCGAAGCAAAGCACCCCGACACACCAAGCTGGACACGACACACACAGTGGGTGGGTGTTCAGCTTTAGTTTCTCATTCCTAATCTGCTTTTATCAACAGGAAGACCACAACAGAGTAGCTGAAAGCATGGTGGAGCATCAGTAGCTCATATAAGACCATGTTTTCTTGTCTATCTGCACTGAGCACTCCTATAAGCTCAGGAGCTGTGCCTTCTTGCACCTGTGTTGAAAATAAATCCCTAATTTCAGGTTGTGTAGACACACCAACATTTAAAGCCTATTCACACATACCAAGAATCCTGGGAACTTTAGTTTACCCATTGCAAAATTTGCTCAATATATTGTTGTGCATAGCATATAACTTTTGAGCAGAATAATAAAATACAAAGTTGATTGGAAAACAGAAGAATGCATAGCTTCGCAAGCTGCTGTGCATAAACAACAGTTTAAGCTGCCAAATATGTTTTGTCTGGTTCTTCAACAGTGGCAAATACTGATAAATTAGTGTAGAATACACAGTGAACTAGTTCACACATAACTTTAAACCACAGTTATGGTTCCTAAGAGTGGAAGCAGACCTGAGTAACAGCTTTCAAAGATAAGGAAGCTTCTACTGGCTTCTTTCAAAATCAATTGCATTAAGCAAAGGATGAGTTCAGGAGTCACAACTGGGAAGCGTTAACCCCCCACACACACACACACACGTTAGCTGAAAATTTCCTCCATGCTGCTAGGCTTCAAAAAAGTGTCTATTGGTTGCAGTAGAAGGTATGAGGATTTTACGATCCTGTGCCAGGGTTTGGAATTTGTGTTTCAAACGTGAGTGCGGGTTCTGGGTCAAATTCTGGTTCATTTAAAAATCTTGGACTTTGGGGGACAGCCTGGAGCAGGAGTTCATTTCTACAGATAAATGTAGTGACTGTTTCACAGAACAACAATTACAAACAGCATACAGGCGTCTTTTATTTTTATGTTTCCTTAAATTATTATTATTATTATTATTATTATTATTATTATTATTTACTGAATTTCTTAGTCACTTTATCTTACACAGGGCAACCCAAAGCAACTTAAAAATAAAAGAACAAGAGTGAGAACTGGTGCTTTAATGAAAAATTATACATAATATATATGGGACAGCAAAGGATATAATAGATTCTTATAGAATAGTAATATATTGTAACCAGAATAGAAATTTAAAAGGGGAAGTAAATGAATTTTTACTATTTTTATTATTGTAATAGTTGTTATTATTTCTTATTGGTAGGAGGCAATGTTAATTTAGGCTTCTTCGTTTTGCTGTCTGTATAATTTTCTTAAGACAATAAAAAAAATATGCAAAGTTTTTTTTTTTTTTAAGAATTGAAGTTGCTGAGCTTTTTTAAGGGTGGAAGTTGCTGAGCTTTTTTGAGGATTTTACCCCAGGAAATAAACTGCCACGGGGGCCGGATTAAACCGATTGGTGGGCCAAATTAGACCCCAAAGCAGACTTTGGATATGCCTGCATTAGGCCAACCAAAATATCACATTATATTGCGCATGTTTTTGAGTTCTCCCCAAAGTCACAGGTTGGCAATGATTGCCAATCTTTTTTGGGACCATGGGCATATTTGCAAACCTGATAAAATGTCATTGACAACCGCTCAAATTTGCAATGCAGCTACACACTCACTCTAAACCCTACCCACCCGCAGTCCCACCAGGAATTGCACTTGAAAAAGGGCATTTTCTGTTTTTTTAAAAAAATAATACCAGGGGCGCACTTTGTGGAGAGTGCACCAGCGGAAGAGTTAACCTTTCATCTTCCTGCAATTTCCAGGAAGATCATCCCACAACAATTACATTGGAGCCAGTAGCAATGGCGTGGCGTGGGTTGTCAGCACCCAGGGCAAGGCAAGTAATTTGCGCCCCCTAACCCGTGGATTTTAGCACTCGAGTGCGAGCGTGCCCCCCCCAGATGTTGTGCCCGGTGCAGCAGGCCCCCCCCTGCACCCCCCATGCTACGCCACTGGCCAGTAGTATGCTTTGTTTCCAAATCTAGTTGTAACAGAAGAGGGGCAATTTTGGAAATCGCTTCTGGAGAGGGAAGAGTTAACCTTTTCTTCCTCAGCTATGCCCCCCCAACACCTCTTCCCATACCAGGTCAGCTTAATCACCTACTACGGAAGGCTTTCTCATCTCTAAAAGGGAAGGACTGGTTGTTACTCAGGTCTGCTTCCATCCTTAGGTGAACATTAAATCATAGTTGAGTTTTAACTGTGGTTTAAAGTTACCGGTATGTATGAACCAGCTCACTGTGTACTCTGGATCGACTTATCAAAATTTGGCACCAAGACATAAGATATATACAGTGGTACCTCGGGTTACATACGCTTCAGGTTACATACCCTTCAGGTTACACACTCCGCTAACCCAGAAATAGTGCTTCAGGTTAAGAGAAACAGAAATCGGGCTCCAGCAGCACAGTGGCAGCAGGAGCCCCATTAGCTAAAGTGGTGCTTCAGGTTAAGAACAGTTTCAGGTTAAGAACGGACCTCCATAACAAATTGAGAACTTAACCTGGGGTACCACTGTATATATACCCCTGGTGTATAACTTGGAGTGCATTTTCTTGGATTCTTACTGAAACAGATTGAAAGGGAGCTTTTACCTCAATGGGGAGGTTGGGCATCCTGACTTTTGCATGTTGTCAGAGCTCATCCCATTACCACATTGCAGTGAAATGAGAAAGGGACCCTTGTGAATGAATACCTAGCTGTCCTGCTCTGAACTTGAAACAAAGTAGATCTGTGCAGGGTTGAGAAGACTTGGCCAAGTGTAAGCAGGGGTGTACCTAGGGATTGGTTAGATTGGCCCCCGCTCCTAGGGGGGCGTCACGCCCCTCGGCTTGGAGGGATGGAGCGCCCAGCAGGGCGGCTTCAGAGTTGATGATACAGCTCCTTGCCAAGGGCGCATGGAAGCCTGGACATAAGTCATAGTATATGCCGAATCTCTCATGTTCTCTGGACTTGTGACCATCTGAGTCAAGCAAAAGCATTTTGCAGCCAAACTTCCTTCTCTGTTGAGACACTGGGAAAAGGGCCAAGGCACCAGCCTGTTAATGGCTTATTGCTTCAGGAATTAAAAAAAAAATGCTTAAGTGGATAAATTGTCTCAGCAAGGATGGCATTCCATATCATGCCAGTGGCCCAGCAATAGGCTGCTACCTTCTTCTCAAAGGCAGACGTGTCCCTTCAGGTAAGCACTGCAGCTGTCATTGTGGACCTCGGAAGGGGACAATCTAATCCCCCTAAATAAGTGTGACTCAAATCTTCTTGCCTACCAATTCAGCTCTGCCTCCGTGCTAGAAAAATGAAATGGTTTGACGAGCTGCAAAGGGGAGTTGGGGACTGTCTGAATGAGGGGCAGCCAGTGTCAATCTCCTCAGCCGGAATAGGAGTCAACTCCATATATCCCTGATCTACAGACATAATTAGTGAAGTAATTTGAGTACTAGAGATTTCGTGAGAAATGGCAAGTCATTCTGGTTGTGGGTTGTCCAGTAGCACTGAGTGTAAGGGTCTGATGCATTTCTTTCTGCGTTTTGTCCCCTTCAAGGGCTTCCTTCCCCCCCACGTTATCTTGACTGGAACCTGACGTAGCCCCCAGCCCCTCTTTGGCCAGCCATGCAGATCCTGACCTGCCCCTCCAAGTTGAAGCTGCTTGAGACTGTGCTGCAACGGCACCTGCCCCAGGCTCTTCCGGTAATCCTCGCTCCTCTACTGCCGCCCCCTTTCCCCATCAATTTAACAATTCCTACCATTTTCTCATGGAGCAACATGGATTTTTGCTCTAGCTAACTCCCCTCCTTTCCTTGGCAGGCCAACGGAGCTGTGATGCACATCAACCGTAGAAATCCAGCTCAGCACGAAGTGGTGGTGGACTCTTGGCCAGAGTTTAAAGTTGTCCTTACCCGCCCACGTAAGGAGGTGAGAATTCTCCCATAACCCGTCACCTGAACCTGTGAGAAAAAGCCCAAGAGACGGTAGCTTCTGAGGCTGGAAAGCCATTGGAGACGCACTCCATGGTGGTGCCGGGCCTGTTCCTGCCTCCTTTGCCTTTTCTTGCTCCTGCTCTTAATAAGACCCAACCAACCCCCACTACCTGCGTCCTGTCAATAGCCAAATGACTGTGCCACGTTCTGCAGGTAGTGAAAGACAAGCAGGATTGCTACTCCAACTTTCATACTGCTTTCTACTGGGATGTAGACGCCTGGCGAACACTCTTGGAAAATGCAGAAGCCATTGACTGGGGAAAGGCCTTCCAGCTTAAAGGTAAAGCTCCTCACCCTCTACTTATTCCATTCCTGGAATAGCAAAACTAGCTTCCTGGTAAGGTGATGAGACATTGAGAGGTACAAAGGAAGTGGCCAAATTATGATCTAAGAAAGTAATCAATGCTCGTACCGAGCAATCATCTTGATGTAGATACTCTATAGCGGCTATGTCAGTTGCTTTTACTACCCCCGGTAAAATGACAAAGGAAGTGGCTCTGTGTGAGATGGAAAATGGGTGGGTAGTTTGAAGGGCAAAGGCTGAGTTAAGAGCAGAGGATTGGAGTGATGTGAGCTAGAAGCACATTAGCAAGCTGGGAAGAGAGAAAGAGAGCAATGTTTGATTTCTGTTTAAATAGAAGGCTGTGAGCATGGGAGAAGCGAGTCCCTCTTGGGGTGTTAATACTGCTCAGGTTGTGTATATGTGTAAATAAACCACATGCCACAGAGACACCACAGTCTCTGCTGTACCTCATTCCAAAGGAAACACCAACCCTGGGTAATCGCCTGGAATCCTGGAATTTCGCACTGCTCAAAGACTGGCTGGCACACAACACTATAATCATACAATACTGAGGCATCTGAATATAGACTGTATTTTTAATCAAGGCTTATATTGGCTTATATCTTGATCAGGTTCCTAAATTCTAAAAATGGGCTTAAATTCACAAATGTTTCATGCCAGGCAGAAGACCAGCTGCCTAAGTACTTTGGCAAGATGTTTATCCTCCTGGACAAGGGGCCCCCCTGATTTATAGCAGAAAACAATTCTCAAAGTCGTAAAAAGGGAATTACAGGCTGAGAGCAAGGTTACACTGACTCTACATAATTAAGAGTTGGTAAATAGTAAAATAAAACCATTAAACTTGAGCCATATCTTCCTAAGGTTAAAGGCCAAGAGCAAATGGAAAAGAAAGCAACTGGCTGGAGAAGGGGAAGAGGCTTTTTTCCTATTTTATTTTGAGGCTGTAAACTATTCCTTCCTTTTACTTTAAGGAGGTTTATTCTCCTAAAAAGCTATCTATGATAATGTATGAAATATGCTGGCTTAAATGTAATTATGCAAAGGATCTAGAAAGAAAGAAATGTTAAATTCTTATTTCATAGAGTCATATTGCTGTAGGAGACCAGAGGGGCAAAACGAGCCCAGCCCCCTGCCAGACAGGAGACGCCATCGAGCACTCCTGACAAATGGTTGTCAGGCCTTTGCTTAAAGACCTCCAAAAAGGAGATCTTTCATTGATGATGCATGAGAATGTGAACCCAAGGTCTCTGACATCTGTTCAAGATAAAAAATTTAAAATTATTAACCATCTGTTTTGGAGGGCAATAGGGCAAGGAGGGCAAGAGGTGAGCTGGTAATTAAGGATCCTTGTTGAGACAAATGTAAGATATATGACTACTTATTTGTCATTTATAGATAGAAGAATATATAGCTTTTTGTATCCCATAAAAGGCAATAGGAAATGGGTGTATCTTTTACGATTGGTTCTAGCAGGCAGCCAATAGGAAATTCAACCAGGCTGATTGGACAGAGGCAGCCAAAGGAGGAGCAAGGGAGCTGGGCTGAGGGAATATAAGTGCTGGCCATAATGGCAGGAGGCCAGGCCAGAGCTTGGTAACCATATACCACTGTGCCTCTCATTTATTTGTCTGACAAATAAATTATTATTTTAATTTCTCTATTGCTGCGTTGAATGTTTCATTCCAGCTAAGCGTTAACCACAAGCAGGGTGCTACAATACCAAGAGAGGTGCAGACACCGAGCATTAGAAAATATAATTCCTCACCCCCAGGTTGACATCTCATTTTCATTGTGTGCAGGGCTCCAAGATGGCTTATATGAAGCTGCCAGAGAGATTGCAGCGTCCAGACGTGTCAGTCTTAAGCCATACTTCTACCAAACAACCCTGCATCCTGACCCATCTGCCTACTGTCAGAGCCGGTTAGTGAGTGCATATTATTTGTGGACTGAAAATAACAACAGCAAATATTCAGTATTCATTGGACTGTTTTCTGTTCTGGAAAAGGGCTGATTAGCTCAACACCAGCAATTTCTGCTTCTGTTTTCATCAGAATTCTCAGATGTTCCTCCTCATAATCAGTAAGCAGTGAATTGTAACCCAACACCAAGTTCCACATCTGATTGCTATGTCCTGGCTTAGTTCTGCCCACAAAACAGGAGGAGAAAGTCACAGAGTCACTTCCTGAGCTTTCTCTTGCAACTTCCTGTTCATTTGTTCCAGTTGATGGTGATGAAATACTTTTTAAGCTTTCAGTCTGCTCAACCGCCATCACTGTCGTGCAGCGGTAAATTAATCATAGCAGAGTCTTCTTTATAAACAGAATAAAACTTTACTGAAGAAAATAAATTTGTTCAGAAACAGCATAGTTAAAGAGCATACACAGAGTGCTCATAGCAGCTATCTGACTCTTCACAGAGGTCCTGGAGCCACTGTGTCTACCTCAGCTTTACATGGCAACAACAACAGCACTGTTCACAGACTACTCCATACACAATCCATACAGCTCTCTGACTGAGGCCCATAGAGAGGCTGGCTACTTTTACAGAGAGAATGAGTCTTCACCCAAGATGAGTCACGAGTCACAGTGACTTAGCAGTTTGCTGTTAGCAGGCTTATGCTTGAATGATTGTGTAGGCCTTACCAGTGGTGTAGCGTGGGTTGTCAGCACCTGGGGCAAGGCAAGTAATTTGTGCCCCCTAACCTGTGGATTTGCGCCCCTAACCCATGGATTTGCCCTAACCCCAGATGTTGCGCCCGGTGCGGCCGGCCCCCCCTGCACCCCCCACGCTACGCCACTGGGCCTTACTGCTTCTTCTGCTCTCAAGAACCTTTGTCTCATGACAATCACTGCCTCTCTTTGTATTTCAGGTACAGAAGTGACCTCTTCCACTTCGGCAGCCTAAACTCCTCCCATTCAGCTCTGCTCAATGAAAACTGGAGTGTTGGGCGCAATGATTGGAGCCTACGCTATCTGGACAGCCTGATCCACAACTTCCCTAGCGCTTGCCTCCTGGACAAAGAAGACCAGCTGGTTTCCTGGTGCCTTAGTGATCCAATGGGTTGTTTGACGCATGGCTACACCCTCCCTCAGTACCGAGGTCAAGGCTGTGTGGCAGCTGTGACAAGGGCAACAGCTGTGAAGTTGCACGCATGTGGGTTCCCCCTGTATGGTGGGGTTTTGGCAGACAACCAGCCTAGCAAACAGGCATTGAAGCGGCAAGGATTCCACATCTTGCCCTTGACGAATTATGCGCTTTTCTTTACACCAAGCCTCCAGCCCACAAGATAATACACTGCAACCTTTGCTCCCAGAACTGTGCACTTCAGGGTTAGTTAACATCATGGCCAGATTTAGTAGCCTGCTCTGGACATATTTAAAATTAAATTGAAATACATAGCAAAGCAGCTATTGCAGCTACTTTTCATACCCAATACAAATTAAGTTAAAGTTAGTCCTGATGTATATTCAGTTAGTCTAAAACACATTTCCCCTTCTGTCTCTTTTAAGTCAATCTTAAGTGTTTTTTTAAGTCTCTTTGAGTCAATCCGACTAATATTCTGTACCACAGCATGTCAGGCAGAGCCCAACACTTTGGACACAAATATATCTTGTTTGGATGCCTTCACAAGAGGCACCTTTAGGCAGGGATCGTCATATTTATCTGTCCCACAGAGGTGCCCAGTTTCAGCAAACACATACAATGCATTTGAGACAGACATATATCAGTGACACAGAGGCTGGTTGAGTTGTCTGTCGCCCCCTGCCCAATGCTGCAGGTATTATTATTTACTAAAGCACCACATACTGTACATTTAATCATTCATTCACTTGCCTCACGTAAAGAGGGTAAATACCTTGTAAAGCATTGTAACATTACTAGGGATCTTTCATTCGGAGAATCAGCCGATTACTCTGTATCACCTGGATTACATCCCACTGGGCCTGCGGCTGCAACCCAAGAAACAATTTTGTGGAGTGAACCATTCAGTATAACTCAGGGGTCTGCAACCTTTAAGACAAAAAGAGCCACTTGGACCTGTTTCCGAAGAAAAAAAAACCTGGGAGCCGCAAAACCACTGCGACATTTAAAGCATGTGCGCCGCTGCCCTCCGATCTGACAGCGGGTGGGAAGGTGACGTCGGGACGGTGCGTGACTAACGCACGCACTGCCCCCATGCGACGTCACAGCCAGTACAGCGCCCGCCACAGTGGGGAGTGTCGGGGCGCACAATGCGCCTCCTCCCCTCGCTAGTATCCGCCCCGGAGCCACGGCAAAGGTGTAAAAGAGCCACATGCGGCTCCGGAGCCGCGAGTTGCAGACCCCTGGTATAACATATACATAACACCACCATCCCTTGTTCCCCGAAGCAAAGCACCACTTAGACACACCAAGCTGGACAAGACACACACAGTGGGTGGGTGTTCAGCTTTGGTTTCTCATTCCTAATCGGCTTTTATCAACAAGAAGACAACTGAGTAGCTGAAAGCATGGTGACTGTTTCACCGAACACAACTTACATACAGGAGTCTTTTATTATTTTTATGTTTCCTTAAATTGGAAATTATTATTTTATTTACTGGATTTGTTAGTCACTTTATCTTACATAGGGCAACCCAAAGCAACTTACAAAGAAAAGAACAAGAGTGAGAACTGGTGCTTTAATAAAAAATTACACTGCATTTTCCCCCATTCTCCATTAGTGATAAAACAAATTGCATTCAAAAATTGCAAAAAAAGAGAAAAAAGTCAGAGAAATCCTCATGGGTTGGATGCATTGTTTTTCTCTCCAATTGTTTTTTCCATTTAGTTTACTCTCTGTAGACCTTTCCTAATAAATATAAGAATTCTCTCATTATTCACCTTTACCACATTTTAAAATTTATCCCTCCAGAAATTGGAAGATCATAAAGATATCTAGTTTAATTATGCTTCACATAGAAACTAGAACATAAGAGCCCTCTGGATTGGTCAATCAAGTCCAGCATCCTGTTCTTATCATGGCCAACCAGATTATTTATATACATTTACCAAACAAAATATCTAAGATAATTCATTCTATGTTAATATGTAACTACAAGTCCATTCAATTTATCCACATATATTTCCTCACAAAATATCTTAGATACATCCTACAGACATAAAAATAAATTATTTCTCCAAGACAAAAAGGCAGCCCAACATTGCGATTTGCTGGTCATTTCGCAATTGTTGGGTGTAGCCCCAATATTCTTCAAACCTGGTACAAGTACAGGTTTTTCCCCTGGCCTGCCAAAAGTTGATTTATTTAAAATTTGACATATTCTTAGAGTGTCAGTATCAGATTTGCTTTCCAATACTTTATGGAAACAATTCTAGCTGCCAATTCTAGCTGATGGAAGAGAAACGTATCTTTATCAGAGAAGCAAGTTGTTGGAAGTTTTGTAGCCATGGAGGGAAAAGCAGCTTACTTCAATCCCAACCCCTACCAATACCCTCCCCAATGGTTCACTAATTGTAATTGACAACAGAACTATTTAAATAATCCCTGTAGTTCTGTTAGACTTGTTGCAGAATGATTAAACCAATGACTGAACCCTCTTCTGAGTCCAACCTTCATGCCAACGCACAAGCACGCTAATAGTCAAGATCCGTTTTACGGATCATTTGAACAGCATGACAGGGACTGTCAGTAAATCATATATTGCTCAGGTGATCATTAGCTGTTTACAGTGGACCCTCTGGTTACAAATTTAATTTGTTTTGGGGGCCCGTGCAGACCCCAAAGAATCCGTAACCAGAGGCGCCGCTTCTGCAGACGCAGAAAGCACGATAGAGCATATACACCCAGCGTGCAGAGTGCTTCTGCGCATGCGCAAGCAGCAAAAACTGGAAGAATACAAAAGGTCTGTGTTGCTATTTTGGACAGCAGGTGAGCAGTATGACAGGGACTGACAGTAAACCATATATTGCTCAGGTGATCATTAACTGTTTACAGTGGACCCTCTGGTTACGGATTTAATTTGTTTCGGTGGTCCGTGTGGACCCCAAAAAATCCGCAACCAGAAGCGCCGCTTCTGCGGACACACACAGCATGATAGAGCGTTTCTGCCTATGCACCCGGCGTGCAGAGCGCTTCTGCGCATGCGAAAGCAGCAAGAACTGGAAGAATACACTTCCGAGTTTGCCGCTTTCGCAACCCGAAGATTACATATTCAGAGCTGTATGTAACCGAAGGGTCTACCGTAGTTTAAGTTGCCATTCTTCTTTAGCTGGGAGTTTGCTTGCTTTCCAAATCCTCCATTATTTCCTTCAACTCATCCTGGTGAAAGAAGCTGCAGCTAGCACTTCTCTCCCGATCTTTTGAAGCAAACCCACCTCATTCTTATCCAGGAACACAGCCAATTCCTCTGCATCCGTGGGATCCAATCCCACAAGGCCTGTGGCTACAATCGCAAGGAACAGTTCTGTTAACGGTTCACTCACTCTAGTATAAATTTATGTAAATTACCCCTCCTAATCAAAGGGGTAAAGTTACCAAGTTACCAAGTTACCAAGCTGGAAAGAGGACTCCAACTGCAAAGGTCCGTGTTGCTGTTTTGGACAGCAGGTGAGCAGTATAAGAGAGCTTCTTCCTGTAGTTCACAAGAGAAGGTTTTTGTTTATCAGAGTTGAGCTGGAAGGAAGGTGAGGGCTTTCCTGTTATAGTTAGAAGCTCAGGGGGAGCTGTGCCATCTGACACTGGGATGTAAACATAGGGGTTAAATAAGTAATAATAAAAATAATGCCCATCTGACTGGGTTGCCCCAGCCACTTCAATGACAAAAGACTTCTCAGTTTGGGGATTCTGGTGAGCAGCAAAGACCTTATCTCTCTCCCAGGTGCTCATCACAGGCATTGTTTCTGCTGGTACCTGCCCATCGGCTTTCACCTCCTAAGCTATGTTGATCCTATCCTGTGCGTCCAAGTTGCAGTTGCTGGAGACGCTGCTGAAGAGAAACCTCCCTCAGACAGTTGCGGTAATCTTGAGTTTTGTAATCTGGTTTAAGAGCTAGGAATGGGGGCAGGTTCCTGTCAACATCTCTTGATCTTTCCAAAACTCCACATTTTGAAGCTGAGAACACCATTATATGTTACATTTTTAGGTGCATGCCTTAAGAGTTTACGTTCAAAACGAAGGTGCTTGAAAATGTGTCTATCATGTTGATATGCTCAGCAGAGAGTTAGGATTTGTGAGAAATATGTGTAATATGTGACACGGCCTTGTGGGCTCCTAGATTTTGTTAACCAGCTGGTTAACAGGAAGTCCTCAGTCAAGGTAATACCATTCAAGGGCTAGTCACAAACAGTGGGGATTCATGCAGCAGATTAAATTCTGAATTAGGGGCCACACCACCGATTCTCTCCTCAAATGTTTGTCCCAGGCTGCTTCTTTCAGCTGGAACACCAAGGGAAATTGACAGATTCTCCTGTCCCTTGTGCTCACTCAGATCAGGACACCCCACTCAAGGCATGCAGCAGATACAAGCCTGACACACCACACCACTTTTTCTCTCCCCGACCCCACACATTTCTCCCAGCCTGCCTCCTTCAACTGCAGCACCAACATCCTCTGACTTTTGACAGGTCTATGGTGCAGTCGTGAATATAAACCGTGGGAACCCAGTGGGCCATGAGGTGATTGTGGATTCTTGGCCAGATTGCAAAGTGGTCCTGACTCGTCCACGGACAGAGGTAGTAGCCTTTGGGGATTTTGTGGGAGGTGCTTTGTGGGATGTCAGCAGGAAATGCTGCGTGTTCTGTGCTGGGACTCTGAGCCAGGCTCAAAATGAAGGGGATGTTGGCTTTTGTTTAGGAGGCAGAGCCACCTTTCACCTTTGTGGTGCATTGCGCCAGGGCGCCGGCCTCTCAGGGCCGCCCCAGCAAGTGGGGGAGCTGCGTGGTTTTGCTGGCGGCCTCCCCTTTCCCTGCACGCCTGCCAGCTGTGCCCGCAGAGGCTTGGGATGGAAGCTGTGCCCCGCCAACAATATGGCTGGCGGGTACACAGCCTCTGTGGGGATTGCTCTCCTGCTGCAGCTTGTGGGAGAGTTAACCCCCCCTCAAGGCTGGCAGTGCGCACTCCCCCCCCCCCACTACCCGTGGTAATTTGGGGGCACGGGGAGGATATTTGAACCCTGGCGCTGCATCTGCTAAAGACAACCCTGTTAGGAGGGCACATTTGGCATTAGAGCAGGTCAAACTTCACCCATCATTTCATCTCAACATCAGGAAAAGCTTTACCTGTTAAAGTGTCAGGAATTTTAACAGAATAAATTTGGCAACCTGAGAAGAACTGGTTAGAGAAGGGCATGGCAGGGAGCCTATCCTAATGAGTTCCATCTCTCTCTCTTTTAGGCCGATACAGACAATACAGATTTGTATAAAAACATATATGCAGCCTTTTACTGGGATCTTGATGTGTACCGGAGACTGTTGCTGGACACAGATGCTGTCAACTGGAAGCAAACCTTTCGTCTCTTTGGTAGAAGACATTCTTTCTAAGGGAAAAGTTATGAGATGAGAGAGTCCCCCCCCTTTTAAAATGACATTACTGTCATTAATGTAAACTGTGGTGACTGGTTCTCATTGGAACTGGTAGGGCAGAAGGCAGGGAGACCATAATAGGCAGCATTTGCCTTCTACGAGAGGCAAAACTGAGACTAAGGAGGAAGCTGATAGAAGTGCCTCCCCCCCCCCCAGATTGGATGAAAGTAAAAAGCAGGTGGGAGGAGCTGGCTGTGGGCAGATAGCGCTTGAAGAAGAAGGCCCCATTCACCTTGAAAGACCAGCCTCCACTGAATATAAAGTGCAGAACCAGCACGGCCATCAGGCAATGGATGCCCGAAGGTGGTACCCTCGCTTGCCCCAATAATAATAGTAATAATAATAATATGAATGCTTTTAAAATGTCGATATCAGGTGTCAAATTGGAAGATGGGTAGGGGGCTTTAACATTTTACCCCCTACTGTGGTCCTGATGCACTGAACAACTTCTTGCCCTATCCTCAAAAAACATACACATATATCCTTCTCTTTGTTGTTGAATATTTTACTATTTTACAGGGAACCAGAATGGGATCTACGACGTCTCTAAAGATGCTGCCGCCACCAAGAAAAATCATCTGACTGCAACTCCCCACTTCACCTACCTGAACCCTAACCCAGATAAAATGCCTCAGCGCCAGTAAGTGTCCACCTTGCTCCCCCCTTTCTTCCTTTCTGGTTGAGGCACTGGTTAACCTGTGGTGCTTCCAGTTGGAGAAAATGGTCAAACCTCGCATTCACTTTTTCCAAGTCTGCCTTCTCCTGGCTGGCACAGCAAAGTTTCCTAAAAATGTTTCGTCTATTAATGGCTATGTTGACACCATAAAGCAGCCCATGTGTGCAAAAGCAAAATGGTTTCCTGCTTGCAACTTACTCAGGTTGCTGGCCAGTGTTAACATGTGTTGGACTAGATGATCTGAGCCAAAAAGGTGGTTCCTGGGTTCTTCAAACATCTCTGTCTATATTGTTCTTGCCTGTCATTTCTTCCAGGCTAGATCCCAGCTTCACAATTTCCACCTTGAAAAGCTCCCATGTTGACATCCTATATGAAACATGGCACCATGGGGGCAATGAACAAAGCCGACGGTACCTAGACAACATATTGACATGCTTCCCCAATATCTGCATCCTGGACAGCAATGGTCATCCTATCAGCTGGGGCATCACAGATCCACTTGGTGCACAAATACATGGCTACACCCTTCCATCCCACCGCCGAAGGGGCTACTTAGCTATAGTATTGAGGGCACTGTCCATGAAAAGCCATGTGGCAGGGTACCCTGTATATGGCCATACTGCCTTGAATAATGTCCAAATGCAGAGGTTGCTGGAATATATGGGCTTCCAGAGATTATCTGAATTGTGTCATCTCTGCATACATTCTTCAGTTTAGTAAAGGGAGGAGGAGAGAGTCCCAAAGTATCTCCTCTCTTTGACTTCAGTAGCTCTCTGAATGAAAGAGAAACAAAACCATCACTCCACCAATCCCGGAGTTTCCTGTCCCTCTCTTATACATATTGGTTTTAAAAAATATTTCACATAAGGTACCTTAAGCCATATATCAAGAATGGTCAACCAGCCAAGCAATGGTCTAATGATATAATAGTGAAATATTAGTATTTCCAATCCTTTTTTGGGGGGGGGTTGGTTGGTTTGTGTGTTTGTGTTTTGTTTGTTCTTGCTTTTATAATGTATTTTGTGTTTTTATGTTGTATTTTTATGTTGTGAGCCACCCTGAGATCTATGGATGAAGGGCAGGGTATACAAATGTAATAAAGAATGCATAAATAAATACCATTAGGCCAGCGGTGTCCAAAATTTTCAAAGAGGGCCAGATTTGATTAAGTGAGGAGCCATAAGGACCAACCAAAGTTGTTGATGGTGGGGATGCAAGGTGGTAAGACAATTTTGGAATGAGATAAATGAGGAGATCCTCAGGAGCTCTATTTCAAAAAAAGCAGTCATACTTATTGAGTCTATTAACAAACAACATCCCCAAGGACAAAAGGAACATATTTTTGTATATAACTGCAGCCGCAAGAATACTTACGGCAAAATATAGGTAAACAGAAAAAGTACCACAACTGACAGAATGGCAAATTAAGATTTGTGAGTTTGCAGAGATGGCAAAAATGACTGCGTCACTCAGAAGCTGCTCCAAACAAAAACGTTATACAGAATGGATTGCATAGGGGAATACATGAAGAAATATGGTCTTAAAGCAGAACTTTTAATAGGCAATTCTTAAGCGTGTAAGGACAAAAGAAGTAATTATAATTTTACAGTTTTCATGTTATTCTATCTTATTAAAGCAACTGAGGGGGTGAGGAAATCTTATGACGGGAAGAAGAGGGGAGGAGGGGAGGGTTAGATTGAATTCAGGAAGTAAAATAATATATGGGACAGCAAAGGAGATAATAGATTCTTATAGAATAGTAATATATGGTAACCAGAATAGAAATTTAAAAGGGGAAGTAAATGAATTTTTAGTATTTTTATTATTGTAATAGTTATTATTATTTCTTATTGGTAGGAGGCAATGTTAATTTAGGCTTCTTCGTTTTGCTGTCTGTATAATTTTCTTAAGAAAATAAAAATATATATGCAAAGTTGACCTTTTTTTAAGGGTGGAATTTCCTGAGCTTTTTTAAGGGTGGAAGTTGCTGAGCTTTTTTTCAGGATTTTACCCCAGGAAATAAACTGCCATGGGGGCTGGATTAAACCGACTGGTGGGCCGGATTAGACCCCAAAGCAGACTTTGGATATGCCTGCATTAGGCCAACCAAAATATCACAATATATTGCGCAGGTTTTTGAGTTCTCCCAAAAGTCACAGGTTGGCAATGGTGGCCAATCTTTTTTGGGACCATGGGCATATTTGCAAACCTGATAAAATGTCATTGACAACCGCTCACATTTGCACTGCAGCCACACACTCACTCTAAACCCTACCCACCCGCAGTCTCACCAGCAATTACACTTGAAAAAGACATTTTCTGTTTTTAAAAATGTAACACCAGGGGTGCTCTTTTTGGAGAGCGCACCAGCGGAAGAGTTAACCTTTCATCTTCCTGCAATTTCCAGGAAGATCATCCCACAACAATTACATTGGAGCCAGTAGTATGCTTTGTTTCCAAATCTAGTTGTAACAGAAGAGGGGAGGTATAAGAATTTTAAGGACATATATAAAAAAATTTTCTCTGCAAGGTCAAAGTGGGAAACCTCCCCATTGTCTCTTTCCTCACAAATCCTGTCCTCACAAATCCTGTCTTAAGGGCACATTCAAGATATGAGCAGGGTGTGAGCCTGTGACCAAGATTCAGGAATTAAGTAGTTATAATAACAAAAGAGTGGCCAAAACCCAGATAATGCAATCAGGTAACATGCCAGACAGGAGATAAACAACACACTCAGATTTCTGTTGTAGACCGCCTTTTCTGTGATGTAGATATGATGTACCTGGCGGGTGGTCTTGGGCTACACCACTTCTGTGATGTATGTATGATGTTTCTGGGATTGGTCCTGGACTCCAGGGCAGGCCATTTAAAATGTCTATATAAGGGCTTGCGCACATTTCTTGGGTTCCTCCTCCTCTCTCCTACGTGTTGGGGAGCACCCTGTTGCAACAGTTAATAAAGATCAGGCTTACTAGCTGCTTTACTTCTCAATATTCTCTGGTCTCTGTTATTTTCTACTACCAATAGAGAACCAACTAAAGGACTCTATATGGGTTCTTGGGTACCCCATAAGGGAAAAGGAGCAGGTTTTTTTGCTTATATCAAGGGGCAATTTTGGAAATCACACCTGGAGAGGGAAGAGTTAACCTTTTCTTCCTCAGCTATGCCCCCCATCACCTCTTCCCATACCAGGTCAGCTTAATCACCTACTATAGAAGGCTTTCTCATCTCTAAAAAGGAAGGACTGGTTGTTACTCAGGTCTGCTTCTATCCTTTGTTGTTGTTTAGTTGTTTGGTCGTATCCGACTCTTCGTGACCCCATGGACCAGAGCACGCCTGGCACTCCTATCTTCCACTGCCTCCAATACTTTGGTCACCTCATGAGAAGAGAAGACTTCCTGGAAAACACCCTGATGTTGGGAAAGATTAAGGGCACAAGGAGAAGGGGACGACAGAGGACGAGATGGTTGGATAGTGTTCTCGAAGCTTCCATCCTTAGGTGAACATTAAATCATAGTTGAGTTTTAACTGTGGTTTAAAGTTATGTATGAACCAGCTCACTGTGTACTCTGGATCGACTTATCAAAATTTGGCACCAAGACAGAAGATATATATATATACCCCTGGTGTATAACTTGGAGTGCATTTTCTTGGATTCTTACTGAAACAGATTGAAAGGGAGCTTCTACCCCACAGAGGAGGTTGGGCATCCTGACTTTTGCATGTTGTCAGAGCTCATCCCATTACCACATTGCAGTGAAATGAGAAAGGGACCCTGGTGAATGAATACCTAGCTGTCCTGCTCTGAACTTGAAACAAAGTAGATCTGTGCAGGGTTGAGAAGACTTGGCCAAGTGTAAGCAGGGGCGTACCTAGGGATTGGTTAGGTTGGCCCCCGCTCCTAGGGGGGCGTCAATATCACGCCCCTCGACTCTGGCTTGGAGGGGTGGAGCGCCCAGCAGGGCGGCTTCAGAGTTGATGATACAGCTCCTTGCCAAGGGCGCATGGAAGCCTGGACATAAGTCATAGTATATGCCGAATCTCTCATGTTCTCTGGACTTGTGACCATCTGAGTCAAGCAAAAGCATTTTGCAGCCAAACTTCCTTCTCTGTTGAGACACTGGGAAAAGGGCCAAGGCACCAGCCTGTTAATGGCTTATTGCTTCAGGAATTAAAAAAAAATGCTTAAGTGGATAAATTGTCTCAGCAAGGATGGCATTCCATATCATGCCAGTGGCCCAGCAATAGGCTGCTACCTTCTTCTCAAAGGCAGACGTGTCCCTTCAGGTAAGCACTGCAGCTGTCATTGTGGACCTCGGAAGGGGACAATCTAATCCCCCTAAATAAGTGTGACTCAAATCTTCTTGCCTACCAATTCAGCTCTGCCTCAGTGCTAGAAAAATGAAATGGTTTGACGAGCTGCAAAGGGGAGTTGGGGACTGTCTGAATGAGGGGCAGCCAGTGTCAATCTCCTCAGCCGGAATAGGAGTCAACTCCATATATCCCTGATCTACAGACATAATTAGTGAAGTAATTTGAGTACTAGAGATTTCGTGAGAAATGGCAAGTCATTCTGGTTGTGGGTTGTCCAGTAGCACTGAGTGTAAGGGTCTGATGCATTTCTTTCTGCGTTTTGTCCCCTTCAAGGGCTTCCTTCCCCCCCACGTTATCTTGACTGGAACCTGACGTAGCCCCCAACCCCTCTTTGGCCAGCCATGCAGATCCTGACCTGCCCCTCCAAGTTGAAGCTGCTTGAGACTGTGCTGCAACGGCACCTGCCCCAGGCTCTTCCGGTAATCCTCGCTCCTCTACTGCCGCCCCCTTTCCCCATCAATTTAACAATTCCTACCATTTTCTCATGGAGCAACATGGATTTTTGCTCTAGCTAACTCCCCTCCTTTCCTTGGCAGGCCAACGGAGCTGTGATGCACATCAACCGTAGAAATCCAGCTCAGCACGAAGTGGTGGTGGACTCTTGGCCAGAGTTTAAAGTTGTCCTTACCCGCCCACGTAAGGAGGTGAGAATTCTCCCATAACCCGTCACCTGAACCTGTGAGAAAAAGCCCAAGAGACGGTAGCTTCTGAGGCTGGAAAGCCATTGGAGATGCACTCCATGGTGGTGCCGGGCCTGTTCCTGCTTCCTTTGCCTTTCTCTTGCTCCTGCTCTCCCTCGTTAATAAGACCCAACCAACCCCCGCTACCTGCGTCCTGTCAATAGCCAAATGACTGTGCCACATTCTGCAGGTAGTGAAAGACAAGCAGGATTGCTACTCCAACTTTCATACTGCTTTCTACTGGGATGTAGACGCCTGGCGAACACTCTTGGAAAATGCAGAAGCCATTGACTGGGGAAAGGCCTTCCAGCTTAAAGGTAAAGCTCCTCACCCTCTACTTATTCCATTCCTGGAATAGCAAAACTAGCTTCCTGGTAAGGTGATGAGACATTGAGAGGTACAAAGGAAGTGGCCAAATTATGATCTAAGAAAGTAATCAATGCTCGTACCGAGCAATCATCTTGATGTAGATACTCTATAGCGGCTATGTCAGTTGCTTTTACTACCCCCGGTAAAATGACAAAGGAAGTGGCTCTGTGTGAGATGGAAAATGGGTGGGTAGTTTGAAGGGCAAAGGCTGAGTTAAGAGCAGAGGATTGGAGTGATGTGAGCTAGAAGCACATTAGCAAGCTGGGAAGAGAGAAAGAGAGCAATGTTTGATTTCTGTTTAAATAGAAGGCTGTGAGCATGGGAGAAGCGAGTCCCTCTTGGGGTGTTAATACTGCTCAGGTTGTGTATATGTGTAAATAAACCACATGCCACAGAGACACCACAGTCTCTGCTGTACCTCATTCCAAAGGAAACACCAACCCTGGGTAATCGCCTGGAATCCTGGAATTTCGCACTGCTCAAAGACTGGCTGGCACACAACACTATAATCATACGATAGCAAGAGAGGTGCAGACACAGAGCATTAGAAAATATAATTCCTCACCCCCAGGTTGACATCTCATTTTCATTGTGTGCAGGGCTCCAAGATGGCTTATATGAAGCTGCCAGAGAGATTGCAGAATCCAGAAGTGTCAGTCTTAAGCCATACTTCTACCGGACATTCCTGCATCCTGACCCATCTGCCTACTGTCAGAGCCGGTTAGTGAGTGCATATTATTTGTGGACTGAAAATAACAACAGCAAATATTCAGTATTCATTGGACTGTTTTCTGTTCTGGAAAAGGGCTGACTAGCTGAACACCAGCAATTTCTGCTTCTATTTTCATCAGAATTCTCAAACATTCCTCCTCATAATCAGTAAGCAGTGAATTGTAACCCAACACAAAGTTCCACATCTGATTGCTATGTCCTGGCTTAATTCTGCCCACAAAACAGGAGGAGAAAGTCACAGAGTCACTTCCTGAGCTTTCTCTTGCCACTTCCTGTTCATTTGTTCCAGTTGATGGTGATGAAATACTTTTTAAGCTTTCAGTCTGCTCAACCGCCATCACTGTCGCGCAGCAGTAAATTAATCATAGCAGAGAGTCTTCTTTATAAACAGAATAAAACTTTACTGAAGAAAATAAACTTATTCAGAAACCACATAGTTAAAGAGCATACACAGAGTGCTCATAGCAGCTATCTGACTCTTCACAGAGGTCCTGGAGCCACTGTGTCTGCCTCAGCTTTACATGGCAACAGCAACAGCACTGTTCACAGACTACTCCATACCCAATCCATACAGCTCTCTGACTGAGGCCCATAGAGAGGCTGGCTACTTTTACAGAGAGAATGAGTCTTCACCCAAGATGAGTCACAAGTCACAGTGACTTAGCAGTTTGCTGTTAGCAGGCTTAGGCTTGAATGATTGTGTAGGCCTTGTAGGCCTTACTGCTTCTTCTGCTCTCAAGAACCTTTGTCTCATGACAATCACTGCCTCTCTTTGTATTTCAGGTACAGAAGTGGCCTCTTCCACTTCGGCAGCCTAAACTCCTCTCATTCAGCTCTGCTCAATGAAAACTGGAGTGTTGGGCGCAATGATTGGAGCCTACGCTATCTGGACAGCCTGATCCACAACTTCCCTAGCGCTTGCCTCCTGGACAAAGAAGACCAGCTGGTTTCCTGGTGCCTTAGTGATCCAATGGGAAGTTTGGCGCATGGCTACACTCTCCCTCAGTACCGAGGTCAAGGCTGTGTGGCAGCTGTGACAAGGGCAACAGCTGTGAAGTTGCACGCATATGGGTTCCCCCTGTTTGGTGGGGTTTTGGCAGACAACCAGCCTAGCAAACAGACATTGAAGCGGCAAGGATTCCACATCTTGCCCTTGGCGAAGTATGCGCTTTTCTTTACACCAAGCCTCCAGCCCACAAGATAATACACTGCAACCTTTCACTCCCAGAACTGTGCACTTCAGGGTTATTTAACATCATGGCCATATTTAGTAGCCTGCTCTGGACATATTTAAAATTAAATTGAAATACATAGCAAAGCAGCTATTGCAGCTACTTTTCATACCCGATAAGAATTAAGGTTAAAAGTGGTTCCAAGGTGGCAATAAAAAGAAGTGGGGAGAGAGGGCACCCCTGTCTTGTCCCCCTTTCGATGCCGAACTCTTCGGTGATCTCGTTATTTATTAGCAATTTTGCTTTTTGGTTATCATATATCACCCTAATTCCATTAATTATTTTCTCTCCTATGTACAGACCTTTGAAAGTTTCCATTAGGAAATTCCATGATACTCTATCAAAAGCTTTTTCTGCATCAACCAATAACATGGCCATCTTTTTACTTGGTTTCATTTCCACATATTCCAACAAGTCAATTATTATTCTTGTATTGTCTTTTATATGTCTATCCGGTAAAAAGCCCGCCTGGTCTCTGCTGATTATTTTGTTTAGAGTCTTTTTTAATCTATTAGCCATCACCCCAGCATAAATTTTATAGTCTGTATTCAACAGGGAGATTGGTCTATAATTTTTCATGTCTGTCAACTCCACTCCCTGTTTCGGGATTAGAGTGATCAGTGCTTCTTTCCATGATTGTGGTATATCTTTCCCTCCCAGTATATTATTCATTATTCTTTGTAATATAGGGAGGATTACTTCTTCCAGGTTCTTATAGTACATTAGTGTGATTCCGTCAAGACCTGGCGATTTGCCACTTCATTTTTTTTATTATTTGTGCTATTTCATCTATTACTTTTAATAGCAATAAGAAAGGATAAAAATATAAGAGGAATTAACCTTGGAACTCGATACTACAAAATTAAAGCCTTTGCCGATGATGTAATCGTAACCACTGAAAACCCAGTGGAAAGTATCCAAAAAACGCTTGCACAACTGGAAGAATTTGGGAAGGTCTCTGGGTTCAAACTGAATAAAGGAAAATCCAAATTATTAACGAAAAATTTGCGTAAGTTGGAACAAGAGGAACTGGAAAATACAACAGGTTTAAAGGTAGCCAATAAGGTAAATTATTTGGGGGTTTGGATCACCAATAAGAATATAAACTTATATAAGGACAATTATGAGAAGAAGTGGAAGGAAATAAAAAAAGAATTAGAGACTTGGTGAAAATTGAATTTGTCCCTGTGGGGGAGAATATCCACAGTTAAAATGATGGTATTGTCAAAGATTATTTTTATGTTCCAAACAATACCTATAATTAGAGGCATAAAGTGTTTTAAGGAATGGCAGAAAGACCTTGCCAAGTTTATTTGGCAAGGGGAAAAACCACGCATAAAATTTAAGCTACTAACAGAGTTGAAGGAAAAAGGAGGCTTTGCGGTCGCTGACCTTAAACTGTACTTTGAGGCAGCGTGCTGGACATGGATTAAGGACTGGATATTAATTAAAAACACGGAAGTCCTAGATCTGGAGGGATGGGATATTGTGTACGGGTGGCATGGCTACATAGGCTATGACAAGGTTAAATCCCACAAAGGATTTTTAAATCATATTGTGAGAAGGGCATTATATAAAGTATGGGAGAGAAGTAAAAAATCAGTAGTAACCAAAACACCATGGTGGCTGTCACCAATGGAATCTATGTTGGTTCACAGGATAAATATGAACAGCGATTGGCTAACATATAAGGATTTAGTAGAGGAAACAAGTAAAGGACCTAAGCAAATTGAAACAGAAGGGAATAACCCGGCTGGAGTACTATCAATTAAAAGCCACCCTTGAAAAGGATAAAAGAACCAAAGGATTTGACAAAAAAATATCCTATCTGGAGAAGGATATTTTATATAATAATCAAAAGATACTTTCTAAAATGTACAAACTACTTTTGAATTGGCAAAGAAAGGAGGGAGATATCAAAGAAATTACAGTAAAATGGGAGAGGGACCTGGGACATACGACCAAACCCAATATTTGGAATGAATTATGGACTAAAAATATAAAATTCACGGCTTGTTTCCTTATAAGGGAAAATCTTATGAAAATGTACTATAGGTGGCACCTGACCCCTGTAAAACTTGCAAAAATAAATAAATCAAACAATAACAAGTGCTGGCGATGTAAGGAACAGATAGGAACATACTACCATATGTGGTGGTCCTGTCTAGAGATACAAAGTTTTTGGAACATGATTTATGAAGAGATAAAGAGATTGATAAAAACTACATTTAGCAAGAAACCGGAAGAATTTTTACTAGGAATGGTTTCAGTTAATATTCCCAAAAACAAAACTAGGCTATTTATGTATGCAACGTCAGCAGCAAGGGTTATAGTGGCAAAACACTGGAAAGGTAAAAATACACCCACTAAAGAGGAATGGGTAGTCAAATTGTGCCAGTACTTGGAGCTCGAAAAGCTGACAAATGCAATAAGAGATAAACCTAAAAAATTGGTAAAAGAAGAATGGGAATGTTTAAATAATTATTTAGGGGACAAGAGCTCAGCAAGAAAGACCTTTCTATGTTTAGAATGACACCGCATAGAGAAATGTTCCCTGATACCAAGATGAGGGATTCCTTTGGAATGCAGATAGAGATAATAGATAAGAATAATGATCTGTTGTGAGCTTGATGGAAGTGTACAATAGATGAGCTTTCCTGCTTTGGCTCATCTTCCTTTTTCTTTTTCTTTTTCTTTTTCCCCCTATTTTTCTTTTTTCTTTTCTTTTATCTTTTCCATAGTTGCTTATGTTCTGTGTCATGTACTTCGATATTTTTTGTAGTTTTTAAAGTTTTCCCCCACCATTACTATTAAGGAATTTTCATTTGTAATTTTGGTTGTCTATATTTATATGTACCTGTTTAAAGCAAAATAAAAGTTTTTTAAAAAAAGAATTAAGGTTAAAGTTAGTCCTGGTGTATATTCAGTTAGTCTAAAACACATTTCTCCTTCTGTCTCTTTTAAGTCAATCTTAAGTGTTTTTTTAAGTCTCTTTGAGTCAATCCGACTAATATTCTGTACCGCAGCATGTCAGGCAGAGCCCAACACTTTGGACACAAATATATCTTGTTTGGATGCCTTCAAAATCTAAGCATACCTATAGAGGCACCTTTAGGCAGGGCTCATTATATTTATCTCTCCCACATGGTGCCCAGTTTCACCAAACACATACAATGCATTTGAGACAGACATATATCAGTGATGCAAATGGTGGTTGAGTTGCCTGTCACCCCCTGCCCAATACCGCAGATATTATTATTTACTAAAGCACCACATCCATTTAATCATTCATTCACTTGCCTCACGTAAAGAGGGTAAATACCTTGTAAAGCATTGTAACATTACTAGGGATCTTTCATTCGGAGAATCAGCCGATTATTCTGTATCATCTGAATTACATCCCACTGGGCCTGCGGCTGCAACCCAAGAAACAATTTTGTGGAGTGAACCATTCAGTATAACATATACATAACACCACCATCCCTTGCTCCCCGAAGCAAAGCACCACTTAGACACACCAAGCTGGACAAGACACACACAGTAGGTGGGTGTTCAGCTTTGGTTTCTCATTGCTAATCTGCTTTTACCAACAGGAAGACCACAACAGAGTAGCTGAAAGCATGGTGGAGCATCAGTAGCTCATATAAGACTATGTTTAAGGTCTATCGTGAGCACTGAGCTGTTACACCTTCTTGCACCTGTGTTAAATACGGTAAATCCCTAATTTCAGGCTGTGTAGACACACCAACATTTAAAGTATATTCACACATACCAAGAATCCTGGGAACTGTAGTTTACCCATTGCAAATTTTGCTCAATATAGAAGAATGCATAGCTTTGCAAACTGCTGTGCATAAACAACAGTTTAAATTGCCAAATATGTTTTGTCTGGTTCTTCATCAGTGGCAAATACTGATAAATTAATGTAGAGTACACAATGAACTGGTTCACACATAACTTTAAACCATAGTTATGGTTCCTAAGACTGGAAGCAGACCTGAGTAACAGCTTTCAGAGATAAGGAAGCTTCTCTTGGCTTCTTTCAAAATCAATTGCATTATGAGAAGGATGAGTTCAGGAGTCACAACTGGGAAGCGTTAACCCCCCCCCCCTACACACACACAGACGTTAGCTGCACCCTATTGAAAATTTCCTCCATGCTGCTAGGCTTCAAAAAAGTGTCTATTGGTTGCAGTAGAAGGTATGAGGATTTTATAATCATACAATACTGAGGCATCTGAATATAGACTGTATTTTTAATCAAGGCTTATATTGGCTTATATCTTGATCAGGTTCCTAAATTCTAAAAATGGGCTTAAATTCACAAATGTTTCATGCCAGGCAGAAGACCAGCTGCCTAAGTACTTTGGCAAGATGTTTATCCTCCTGGACAAGGGGCCCCCCTGATTTATAGCAGAAAACAATTCTCAAAGTCGTAAAAAGGGAATTACAGGCTGAGAGCAAGGTTACACTGACTCTACATAATTAAGAGTTGGTAAATAGTAAAATAAAACCATTAAACTTGAGCCATATCTTCCTAAGGTTAAAGGCCAAGAGCAAATGGAAAAGAAAGCAACTGGCTGGAGAAGGGGAAGAGGCTTTTTTCCTATTTTATTTTGAGGCTGTAAACTATTCCTTCCTTTTACTTTAAGGAGGTTTATTCTCCTAAAAAGCTATCTATGATAATGTATGAAATATGCTGGCTTAAATGTAATTATGCAAAGGATCTAGAAAGAAAGAAATGTTAAATTCTTATTTCATAGAGTCATATTGCTGTAGGAGACCAGAGGGGCAAAACGAGCCCAGCCCCCTGCCAGACAGGAGACGCCATCGAGCACTCCTGACAAATGGTTGTCAGGCCTTTGTTTAAAGACCTCCAAAAAGGAGATCTTTCATTGATGATGCATGAGAATGTGAACCCAAGGTCTCTGACATCTGTTCAAGATAAAAATTTAAAATTATTAACCATCTGTTTTGGAGGGCAATAGGGCAAGGAGGGCAAGAGGTGAGCTGGTAATTAAGGATCCTTGTTGAGACAAATGTAAGATATATGACTACTTATTTGTCATTTATAGATAGAAGAATATATAGCTTTTTGTATCCCATAAAAGGCAATAGGAAATGGGTGTATCTTTTACGATTGGTTCTAGCAGGCAGCCAATAGGAAATTCAACCAGGCTGATTGGACAGAGGCAGCCAAAGGAGGAGCAAGGGAGCTGGGCTGAGGGAATATAAGTGCTGGCCATAATGGCAGGAGGCCAGGCCAGAGCTTGGTAACCATATACCACTGTGCCTCTCATTTATTTGTCTGACAAATAAATTATTATTTTAATTTCTCTATTGCTGCGTTGAATGTTTCATTCCAGCTAAGCGTTAACCACAAGCAGGGTGCTACAATACCAAGAGAGGTGCAGACACCGAGCATTAGAAAATATAATTCCTCACCCCCAGGTTGACATCTCATTTTCATTGTGTGCAGGGCTCCAAGATGGCTTATATGAAGCTGCCAGAGAGATTGCAGCGTCCAGACGTGTCAGTCTTAAGCCATACTTCTACCAAACAACCCTGCATCCTGACCCATCTGCCTACTGTCAGAGCCGGTTAGTGAGTGCATATTATTTGTGGACTGAAAATAACAACAGCAAATATTCAGTATTCATTGGACTGTTTTCTGTTCTGGAAAAGGGCTGATTAGCTCAACACCAGCAATTTCTGCTTCTGTTTTCATCAGAATTCTCAGATGTTCCTCCTCATAATCAGTAAGCAGTGAATTGTAACCCAACACCAAGTTCCACATCTGATTGCTATGTCCTGGCTTAGTTCTGCCCACAAAACAGGAGGAGAAAGTCACAGAGTCACTTCCTGAGCTTTCTCTTGCCACTTCCTGTTCATTTGTTCCAGTTGATGGTGATGAAATACTTTTTAAGCTTTCAGTCTGCTCAACCGCCATCACTGTCGTGCAGCGGTAAATTAATCATAGCAGAGTCTTCTTTATAAACAGAATAAAACTTTACTGAAGAAAATAAATTTGTTCAGAAACAGCATAGTTAAAGAGCATACACAGAGTGCTCATAGCAGCTATCTGACTCTTCACAGAGGTCCTGGAGCCACTGTGTCTACCTCAGCTTTACATGGCAACAACAACAGCACTGTTCACAGACTACTCCATACACAATCCATACAGCTCTCTGACTGAGGCTCCTAGAGAGGCTGGCTACTTTTACAGAGAGAATGAGTCTTCACCCAAGATGAGTCACGAGTCACAGTGACTTAGCAGTTTGCTGTTAGCAGGCTTAGGCTTGAATGATTGTGTAGGCCTTACCAGTGGTGTAGCGTGGGTTGTCAGCACCTGGGGCAAGGCAAGTAATTTGTGCCCCCTAACCTGTGGATTTGCGCCCCTAACCCATGGATTTGCCCTAACCCCAGATGTTGCGCCCGGTGCGGCCGGCCCCCCCTGCACCCCCCACGCTACGCCACTGGCCTTACTGCTTCTTCTGCTCTCAAGAACCTTTGTCTCATGACAATCACTGCCTCTCTTTGTATTTCAGGTACAGAAGTGACCTCTTCCACTTCGGCAGCCTAAACTCCTCCCATTCAGCTCTGCTCAATGAAAACTGGAGTGTTGGGCGCAATGATTGGAGCCTACGCTATCTGGACAGCCTGATCCACAACTTCCCTAGTGCTTGCCTCCTGGACAAAGAAGAACAGCTGGTTTCCTGGTGCCTTAGTGATCCAATGGGTTGTTTGACGCATGGCTACACCCTCCCTCAGTACCGAGGTCAAGGCTGTGTGGCAGCTGTGACAAGGGCAACAGCTGTGAAGTTGCACGCATGTGGGTTCCCCCCTGTATGGTGGGGTTTTGGCAGACAACCAGCCTAGCAAACAGGCATTGAAGCGGCAAGGATTCCACATCTTGCCCTTGACGAATTATGCGCTTTTCTTTACACCAAGCCTCCAGCCCACAAGATAATACACTGCAACCTTTGCTCCCAGAACTGTGCACTTCAGGGTTAGTTAACATCATGGCCAGATTTAGTAGCCTGCTCTGGACATATTTAAAATTAAATTGAAATACATAGCAAAGCAGCTATTGCAGCTACTTTTCATACCCAATACAAATTAAGTTAAAGTTAGTCCTGATGTATATTCAGTTAGTCTAAAACACATTTCCCCTTCTGTCTCTTTTAAGTCAATCTTAAGTGTTTTTTTAAGTCTCTTTGAGTCAATCCGACTAATATTCTGTACCACAGCATGTCAGGCAGAGCCCAACACTTTGGACACAAATATATCTTGTTTGGATGCCTTCACAAGAGGCACCTTTAGGCAGGGATCGTCATATTTATCTGTCCCACAGAGGTGCCCAGTTTCAGCAAACACATACAATGCATTTGAGACAGACATATATCAGTGACACAGAGGCTGGTTGAGTTGTCTGTCGCCCCCTGCCCAATGCTGCAGGTATTATTATTTACTAAAGCACCACATACTGTACATTTAATCATTCATTCACTTGCCTCACGTAAAGAGGGTAAATACCTTGTAAAGCATTGTAACATTACTAGGGATCTTTCATTCGGAGAATCAGCCGATTACTCTGTATCACCTGGATTACATCCCACTGGGCCTGCGGCTGCAACCCAAGAAACAATTTTGTGGAGTGAACCATTCAGTATAACTCAGGGGTCTGCAACCTTTAAGACAAAAAGAGCCACTTGGACCTGTTTCCGAAGAAAAAAAAACCTGGGAGCCGCAAAACCACTGCGACATTTAAAGCATGTGCGCCGCTGCCCTCCGATCTGACAGCGGGTGGGAAGGTGACGTCGGGACGGTGCGTGACTAACGCACGCACAGCCCCCATGCGACGTCACAGCCAGTACAGCGCCCGCCACAGTGGGGAGTGTCGGGGCGCACAATGCGCCTCCTCCCCTCGCTAGTATCCGCCCCGGAGCCACGGCAAAGGTGTAAAAGAGCCACATGCGGCTCCGGAGCCGCGAGTTGCAGACCCCTGGTATAACTTATACATAACACCACCATCCCTTGTTCCCCGAAGCAAAGCACCACTTAGACACACCAAGCTGGACAAGACACACACAGTGGGTGGGTGTTCAGCTTTGGTTTCTCATTCCTAATCGGCTTTTATCAACAAGAAGACAACTGAGTAGCTGAAAGCATGGTGACTGTTTCACCGAACAAAACTTACATACAGGAGTCTTTTATTATTTTTATGTTTCCTTAAATTGGAAATTATTATTTTTATTTACTGGATTTGTTAGTCACTTTATCTTACATAGGGCAACCCAAAGCAACTTACAAAGAAAAGAACAAGAGTGAGAACTGGTGCTTTAATAAAAAATTACACTGCATTTTCCCCCCATTCTCCATTAGTGATAAAACAAATTGCATTCAAAAATTGCAAAAAAAGAGAAAAAAGTCAGAGAAATCCTCATGGGTTGGATGCATTGTTTTTCTCTCCAATTGTTTTTTCCATTTAGTTTACTCTCTGTAGACCTTTCCTAATAAATATAAGAATTCTCTCATTATTCACCTTTACCACATTTTAAAATTTATCCCTCCAGAAATTGGAAGATCATAAAGATATCTAGTTTAATTATGCTTCACATAGAAACTAGAACATAAGAGCCCTCTGGATTGGTCAATCAAGTCCAGCATCCTGTTCTTATCATGGCCAACCAGATTATTTATATACATTTACCAAACAAAATATCTAAGATAATTCATTCTATGTTAATATGTAACTACAAGTCCATTCAATTTATCCACATATATTTCCTCACAAAATATCTTAGATACATCCTACAGACATAAAAATAAATTATTTCTCCAAGACAAAAAGACAGCCCAACATTGCGATTTGCTGGTCATTTCGCAATTGTTGGGTGTAGCCCCAATATTCTTCAAACCTGGTACAAGTACAGGTTTTTCCCCTGGCCTGCCAAAAGTTGATTTATTTAAAATTTGACATATTCTTAGAGTGTCAGTATCAGATTTGCTTTCCAATACTTTATGGAAACAATTCTAGCTGCCAATTCTAGCTGATGGAAGAGAAACGTATCTTTATCAGAGAAGCAAGTTGTTGGAAGTTTTGTAGCCATGGAGGGAAAAGCAGCTTACTTCAATCCCAACCCCTACCAATACCCTCCCCAATGGTTCACTAATTGTAATTGACAACAGAACTATTTAAATAATCCCTGTAGTTCTGTTAGACTTGTTGCAGAATGATTAAACCAATGACTGAACCCTCTTCTGAGTCCAACCTTCATGCCAACGCACAAGCACGCTAATAGTCAAGATCCGTTTTACGGATCATTTGAACAGCATGACAGGGACTGTCAGTAAATCATATATTGCTCAGGTGATCATTAGCTGTTTACAGTGGACCCTCTGGTTACAAATTTAATTTGTTTTGGGGGCCCGTGCAGACCCCAAAGAATCCGTAACCAGAGGCGCCGCTTCTGCAGACGCAGAAAGCACGATAGAGCATATACACCCAGCGTGCAGAGTGCTTCTGCGCATGCGCAAGCAGCAAAAAACTGGAAGAATACAAAAGGTCTGTGTTGCTATTTTGGACAGCAGGTGAGCAGTATGACAGGGACTGACAGTAAACCATATATTGCTCAGGTGATCATTAACTGTTTACAGTGGACCCTCTGGTTACGGATTTAATTTGTTTCGGTGGTCCGTGTGGACCCCAAAAAATCCGCAACCAGAAGCGCCGCTTCTGCGGACACACACAGCATGATAGAGCGTTTCTGCCTATGCACCCGGCGTGCAGAGCGCTTCTGCGCATGCGAAAGCAGCAAGAACTGGAAGAATACACTTCCGAGTTTGCCGCTTTCGCAACCCGAAGATTACATATTCAGAGCTGTATGTAACCGAAGGGTCTACCGTAGTTTAAGTTGCCATTCTTCTTTAGCTGGGAGTTTGCTTGCTTTCCAAATCCTCCATTATTTCCTTCAACTCATCCTGGTGAAAGAAGCTGCAGCTAGCACTTCTCTCCCGATCTTTTGAAGCAAACCCACCTCATTCTTATCCAGGAACACAGCCAATTCCTCTGCATCCGTGGGATCCAATCCCACAAGGCCTGTGGCTACAATCGCAAGGAACAGTTCTGTTAACGGTTCACTCACTCTAGTATAAATTTATGTAAATTACCCCTCCTAATCAAAGGGGTAAAGTTACCAAGTTACCAAGTTACCAAGCTGGAAAGAGGACTCCAACTGCAAAGGTCTGTGTTGCTGTTTTGGACAGCAGGTGAGCAGTATAAGAGAGCTTCTTCCTGTAGTTCACAAGAGAAGGTTTTTGTTTATCAGAGTTGAGCTGGAAGGAAGGTGAGGGCTTTCCTGTTATAGTTAGAAGCTCAGGGGGAGCTGTGCCATCTGACACTGGGATGTAAACATAGGGGTTAAATAAGTAATAATAAAAATAATGCCCATCTGACTGGGTTGCCCCAGCCACTTCAATGACAAAAGACTTCTCGGTTTGGGGATTCTGGTGAGCAGCAAAGACCTGATCTCTCTCCCAGGTGCTTATCACAGGCATTGTTTCTGCTGGTACCTGCCCATCGGCTTTCACCTCCCAAGCTATGTTGATCCTATCCTGTGCGTCCAAGTTGCAGTTGCTGGAGACGCTGCTGAAGAGAAACCTCCCTCAGACAGTTGCGGTAATCTTGAGTTTTGTAATCTGGTTTAAGAGCTAGGAATGGGGGCAGGTTCCTGTCAACATCTCTTGATCTTTCCAAAACTCCACATTTTGAAGCTGAGAACACCATTATATGTTACATTTTTAGGTGCATGCCTTAAGAGTTTACGTTCAAAACGAAGGTGCTTGAAAATGTGTCTATCATGTTGATATGCTCAGCAGAGAGTTAGGATTTGTGAGAAATATGTGTAATATGTGACACGGCCTTGTGGGCTCCTAGATTTTGTTAATCAGCTGGTTAACAGGAAGTCCTCAGTCAAGGTAATACCATTCAAGGGCTAGTCACAAACAGTGGGGATTCATGCAGCAGATTAAATTCTGAATTAGGGGCCACACCACCGATTCTCTCCTCAAATGTTTGTCCCAGGCTGCTTCTTTCAGCTGGAACACCAAGGGAAATTGACAGATTCTCCTGTCCCTTGTGCTCACTCAGATCAGGACACCCCACTCAAGGCATGCAGCAGATACAAGCCTGACACACCACACCACTTTTTCTCTCCCCGACCCCACACATTTCTCCCAGCCTGCCTCCTTCAACTGCAGCACCAACATCCTCTGACTTTTGACAGGTCTATGGTGCAGTCGTGAATATAAACCGTGGGAACCCAGTGGGCCATGAGGTGATTGTGGATTCTTGGCCAGATTGCAAAGTGGTCCTGACTCGTCCACGGACAGAGGTAGTAGCCTTTGGGGATTTTGTGGGAGGTGCTTTGTGGGATGTCAGCAGGAAATGCTGCGTGTTCTGTGCTGGGACTCTGAGCCAGGCTCAAAATGAAAGGGGATGTTGGCTTTTGTTTAGGAGGCAGAGCCACCTTTCACCTTTGTGGTGCATTGCGCCAGGGCGCCGGCCTCTCAGGGCCGCCCCAGCAAGTGGGGGAGCTGCGTGGTTTTGCTGGCAGCCTCCCCTTTCCCTGCACGCCTGCCAGCTGTGCCCGCAGAGGCTTGGGATGGAAGCTGTGCCCCGCCAACAATATGGCTGGCGGGTACACAGCCTCTGTGGGGATTGCTCTCCTGCTGCAGCTTGTGGGAGAGTTAACCCCCCCTCAAGGCTGGCAGTGCGCACTCCCCCCCCCCCCACTACCCGTGGTAATTTGGGGGCACGGGGAGGATATTTGAACCCTGGCGCTGCATCTGCTAAAGACAACCCTGTTAGGAGGGCACATTTGGCATTAGAGCAGGTCAAACTTCACCCATCATTTCATCTCAACATCAGGAAAAGCTTTACCTGTTAAAGTGTCAGGAATTTTAACAGAATAAATTTGGCAACCTGAGAAGAACTGGTTAGAGAAGGGCATGGCAGGGAGCCTATCCTAATGAGTTCCATCTCTCTCTCTTTTAGGCCGATACAGACAATACAGATTTGTATAAAAACATATATGCAGCCTTTTACTGGGATCTTGATGTGTACCGGAGACTGTTGCTGGACACAGATGCTGTCAACTGGAAGCAAACCTTTCGTCTCTTTGGTAGAAGACATTCTTTCTAAGGGAAAAGTTATGAGATGAGAGAGTCCCCCCCCCCTTTTAAAATGACATTACTGTCATTAATGTAAACTGTGGTGACTGGTTCTCATTGGAACTGGTAGGGCAGAAGGCAGGGAGACCATAATAGGCAGCATTTGCCTTCTACGAGAGGCAAAACTGAGACTGAGGAGGAAGCTGATAGAAGTGCCTCCCCCCCCCCAGATTGGATGAAAGTAAAAAGCAGGTGGGAGGAGCTGGCTGTGGGCAGATAGCGCTTGAAGAAGCAGGCCCCATTCACCCTGAAAGACCAGCCTCCACTGAATATAAAGTGCAGGACCAGCACGGCCATCAGGCAATGGATGCCCGAAGGTGGTACCCTCGCTTGCCCCAATAATAATAGTAATAATAATAATATGAATGCTTTTAAAATGTCGATATCAGGTGTCAAATTGGAAGATGGGTAGGGGGCTTTAACATTTTACCCCCTACTGTGGTCCTGATGCACTGAACAACTTCTTGCCCTATCCTCAAAAAACATACACATATATCCTTCTCTTTGTTGTTGAATATTTTACTATTTTACAGGGAACTAGAATGGGATCTACGACGTCTCTAAAGATGCTGCTGCCACCAAGAAAAATCATCTGACTGCAACTCCCCACTTCACCTACCTGAACCCTAACCCAGATAAAATGCCTCAGCGCCAGTAAGTGTCCACCTTGCTCCCCCCTTTCTTCCTTTCTGGTTGAGGCACTGGTTAACCTGTGGTGCTTCCAGTTGGAGAAAATGGTCAAACCTCGCATTCACTCTTTCCAAGTCTGCCTTCTCCTGGCTGGCACAGCAAAGTTTCCTAAAGATGTTTTGTCTATTAATGGCTATGTTGACACCATAAAGCAGCCCATGTGTGCAAAAGCAAACTGGTTTCCTGCTTGCGACTTACTCAGGTTGCTGGCCAGTGTTAACATGTGTTGGACTAGATGATCTGAGCCAAAAAGGTGGTTCCTGGGTTCTTCCAACATCTCTGTCTATATTGTTCTTGCCTGTCATTTCTTCCAGGCTAGATTCCAGCTTCACAATTTCCACCTTGAAAAGCTCCCATGTTGACATCCTAAATGAAACATGGCACCATGGGGGCAATGAACAAAGCCGACGGTACCTGGACAACATAGTGAAATGCTTCCCCAATATCTGCATCCTGGACAACAATGGTCATCCTATCAGCTGGGGCATTACAGATCCTCTTGGTGCACAAATACATGGCTACACCCTTCCATCCCACCGCCGAAGGGGCTACTTAGCTATAGTATTGAGGGCACTGTCCATGAAAAGCCATGTGGCAGGGTGCCCTGTATATGGCCATACTGCCTTGAATAATGTCCAAATGCAGAGGTTGCTGGAATATATGGGCTTCCAGAGATTATCTGAATTGTGTCATCTCTGCATACATTCTTCAGTTTAGTAAAGGGAGGAGGAGAGAGTCCCAAAGTATCTCCTCTCTTTGACTTCAGTAGCTCTCTGAATGAAAGAGAAACAAAACCATCACTCCACCAATCCCGGAGTTTCCTGTCCCTCTCTTATACATATTGGTTTTTAAAAATATTTCACATAAGGTACCTTAAGCCATATATCAAGAATGGTCAACCAGCCAAGCAATGGTCTAATGATGTAATAGTGAAATATTAGTATTTCCAATACTTTTTTTGGGGGGGGTTGGTTGGTTTGTGTGTTTGTGTTTTGTTTGTTCTTGCTTTTATAATGTATTTTGTGTTTTTATGTTGTATTTTTATGTTGTGAGCCACCCTGAGATCTATGGATGAAGGGCAGGGTATACAAATTTAATAAAGAATGCATAAATAAATACCATTAGGCCAGCGGTGTCCAAAATTTTCAAAGAGGGCCAGATTTGATTAAGTGAGGAGCCATAAGGACCAACCAAAGTTGTTGATGGTGGGGATGCAAGGTGGTAAGACAATTTTGGAATGAGACAAATGAGGAGATCCTCAGGAGCTCTATTTCAAAAAAAGCAGTCATACTTATTGAGTCTATTAACAAACAACATCCCCAAGGACAAAAGGAACATATTTTTGTATATAACTGCAGCCGCAAGAATACTTACGGCAAAATATAGGAAAACAGAAAAAGTACCACAACTGACAGAATGGCAAATTAAGATTTGTGAGTTTGCAGAGATGGCAAAAATGACTGCATCACTCAGAGGCTGCTCCAAACAAAAACGTTATACAGAATGGGAATGCATAGGAAAATACATGAAGAAATATGGTGTTAAAGCAGAACTTTTAATAGGCTATTGTTAAGCGTGTAAGGACAAAAGAAGTAATTATAATTTTACAGTTTTCATGTTATTCTATCTTATTAAAGCAACTGAGGGGGTGAGGAAATCTTATGACGGGAAGAAGAGGGGAGGAGGGGAGGGTTAGATTGAATTCAGGAAGTAAAATAATATATGGGACAGCAAAGGATATAATAGATTCTTATAGAATAGTAATATATGGTAACCAGAATAGAAATTTAAAAGGGGAAGTAAATGAATTTTTAGTATTTTTATTATTGTAATAGTTCTTATTATTTCTTATTGGTAGGAGGCAATGTTAATTTAGGCTTCTTCGTTTTGCTGTCTGTATAATTTTCTTAAGACAATAAAAATATATATGCAAAGTTGACCTTTTTTTAAGGGTGGAAGTTCCTGAGCTTTTTTAAGGGTGGAAGTTGCTGAGCTTTTTTGAGGATTTTACCCCAGGAAATAAACTGCCATGGGGGCTGGATTAAACCGACTGGTGGGCCGGATTAGACCCCGAAGCAGACTTTGGATACGCCTGCATTAGGCCAACCAAAATATCACAATATATTGCGCATGTTTTTGAGTTCTCCCCAAAGTCACAGGTTGGCAATGGTGGCCAATCTTTTTTGGGACCATGGGCATATTTGCAAACCTGATAAAATGTCATTTACAACCGCTCAAATTTGCAATGCAGCTACACACTCACTCTAAACCCTACCCACCCGCAGTCCCACCAGCAATTGCACTTGAAAAAGACATTTTCTGTTTTTAAAAATGTAACACCAGGGGTGCTCTTTTTGGAGAGCGCACCAGCGGAAGAGTTAACCTTTCATCTTCCTGCAATTTCCAGGAAGATCATCCCACAACAATTACATTGGAGCCAGTAGTATGCTTTGTTTCCAAATCTAGTTGTAACAGAAGAGGGGAGGTATAAGAATTTTAAGGACATATATAAAAAATTTTTCTCTGCAAGGTCAAAGTGGGAAACCTCCCCATTGTCTCTTTCCTCACAAATCCTGTCCTCACAAATCCTGTCTTAAGGGCACATTCAAGATATGAGCAGGGTGTGAGCCTGTGACCAAGATTCAGGAATTAAGTAGTTATAATAACAAAAGAGTGGCCAAAACCCAGATAATGCAATCAGGTAACATGCCAGACAGGAGATAAACAACACACTCAGATTTCTGTTGTAGACCGCCTTTTCTGTGATGTAGATATGATGTACCTGGCGGGTGGTCTTGGGCTACACCACTTCTGTGATGTATGTATGATGCTTCTGGGATTGGTCCTGGACTCCAGGGCAAGCCATTTAAAATGTCTATATAAGGGCTTGCGCACATTTCTTGGGTTCCTCCTCCTCTCTCCTACGTGTTGGGGAGCACCCTGTTGCAACAGTTAATAAAGATCAGGCTTACTAGCTGCTTTACTTCTCAATATTCTCTGGTCTCTGTTATTTTCTACTACCAATAGAGAACCAACTAAAGGACTCTATATGGGTTCTTGGGTACCCCATAAGGGAAAAGGAGCAGGTTTTTTTGCTTATATCAAGGGGCAATTTTGGAAATCACACCTGGAGAGGGAAGAGTTAACCTTTTCTTCCTCAGCTATGCCCCCCATCACCTCTTCCCATACCAGGTCAGCTTAATCACCTACTATAGAAGGCTTTCTCATCTCTAAAAAGGAAGGACTGGTTGTTACTCAGGTCTGCTTCTATCCTTTGTTGTTGTTTAGTTGTTTGGTCGTATCCGACTCTTCGTGACCCCATGGACCAGAGCACGCCTGGCACTCCTATCTTCCACTGCCTCCAATACTTTGGTCACCTCATGAGAAGAGAAGACTTCCTGGAAAACACCCTGATGTTGGGAAAGATTAAGGGCACAAGGAGAAGGGGACGACAGAGGACGAGATGGTTGGATAGTGTTCTCGAAGCTTCCATCCTTAGGTGAACATTAAATCATAGTTGAGTTTTAACTGTGGTTTAAAGTTATGTATGAACCAGCTCACTGTGTACTCTGGATCGACTTATCAAAATTTGGCACCAAGACAGAAGATATATATATATACCCCTGGTGTATAACTTGGAGTGCATTTTCTTGGATTCTTACTGAAACAGATTGAAAGGGAGCTTCTACCCCACAGAGGAGGTTGGGCATCCTGACTTTTGCATGTTGTCAGAGCTCATCCCATTACCACATTGCAGTGAAATGAGAAAGGGACCCTGGTGAATGAATACCTAGCTGTCCTGCTCTGAACTTGAAACAAAGTAGATCTGTGCAGGGTTGAGAAGACTTGGCCAAGTGTAAGCAGGGGCGTACCTAGGGATTGGTTAGGTTGGCCCCCGCTCCTAGGGGGGCGTCAATATCACGCCCCTCGACTCTGGCTTGGAGGGGTGGAGCGCCCAGCAGGGCGGCTTCAGAGTTGATGATACAGCTCCTTGCCAAGGGCGCATGGAAGCCTGGACATAAGTCATAGTATATGCCGAATCTCTCATGTTCTCTGGACTTGTGACCATCTGAGTCAAGCAAAAGCATTTTGCAGCCAAACTTCCTTCTCTGTTGAGACACTGGGAAAAAGGCCAAGGCACCAGCCAGTTAATGGCTTATTGCTTCAGGAATTTTTTTAAAAAAATGCTTAAGTGGATAAATTGTCTCAGCAAGGATGGCATTCCATATCATGCCAGTGCCCCAGCAATAGGCTGCTACCTTCTTCTCAAAGGCAGACGTGTCCCTTCAGGTAAGCACTGCAGCTGTCATTGTGGACCTCGGAAGGGGACAACCTAATCCCCCTAAATAAGTGGGACTCAAATCTTCTTGCCTACCAATTCAGCTCTGCCTCAGTGCTAGAAAAATGAGGAAATGGTTTGACGAGCTGCAAAGGGGAGTCGGGGACTGTCTGAATGAGGGGCAGCCAGTGTCGATCTCCTCAGCCGGAATAGGAGTCAACTCCATATATCCCTGATCTACAGACATAATTAGTGAAGAAATTTGAGTACTAGAGATTTCATGAGAAATGGCAAGTCATTCTGGTTGTGGGTTGTCCGGTAGCACTGAGTGTAAGGGTCTGATGCATTTCTTTCTGCGTTTCGTCCCCTTCAAGTGCTTCCTTCCCCCCCACGTTATCTTGACTGGAACCTGACGTAGCCCCCAGCCCCTCTTTGGCCAGCCATGCAGATCCTGACCTGCCCCTCCAAGTTGAAGCTGCTTGAGACTGTGCTGCAACGGCACCTGCCCCAGGCTCTTCCGGTAATCCTCGCTCCTCTACTGCCGCCCCCTTTCCCCATCAATTTAACAATTCCTACCATTTTCTCATGGAGCAACATGGATTTTTGCTCTAGCTAACTCCCCTCCTTTCCTTGGCAGGCCAACGGAGCTGTGATGCACATCAACCGTAGAAATCCAGCTCAGCACGAAGTGGTGGTGGACTCTTGGCCAGAGTTTAAAGTTGTCCTTACCCGCCCACGTAAGGAGGTGAGAATTCTCCCATAACCCGTCACCTGAACCTGTGAGAAAAAGCCCAAGAGACGGTAGCTTCTGAGGCTGGAAAGCCATTGGAGATGCACTCCATGGTGGTGCCGGGCCTGTTCCTGCTTCCTTTGCCTTTCTCTTGCTCCTGCTCTCCCTCGTTAATAAGACCCAACCAACCCCCGCTACCTGCGTCCTGTCAATAGCCAAATGACTGTGCCACATTCTGCAGGTAGTGAAAGACAAGCAGGATTGCTACTCCAACTTTCATACTGCTTTCTACTGGGATGTAGACGCCTGGCGAACACTCTTGGAAAATGCAGACGCCATTGACTGGGGAAAGGCCTTTCAGCTTCAAGGTAAAGCTTCTCACCCTCTACTTATTCCATTCCTGGAATAGCAAAGCTAGCTTCCCGGTAAGGTGATGAGACATTGAGAGGTACAAAGGAAGTGGCTCTGTGTGGGATGGAAAATGGGTGGGTAGTTTGAAGGGCAAAGGCTGAGTTAAGAGCAGAGGATTGGAGTGATGTGAGCTAGAAGCACATTAGCAAGCTGGGAAGAGAGAAAGAGAGCAATGTTTGATTTCTGTTTAAATAGAAGGCTGTGAGCATGGGGAAAACGAGTCCCTCTTGGGGTGTTAATACTGCTCAGGTTGTGTATATGTGTAAATAAACCACATGCCACAGAGACACCACAGTCTCTGCTGTACCTCATTCCAAAGGAAACACCAACCTTGGGTAAGCGCCAGGAATCCTGGAATTTCGCACTGCTCAAAGACTGGGTGGCACACAACACTATAATCATACGATAGCAAGAGAGGTGCAGACACAGAGCATTAGAAAATATAATTCCTCACCCCCAGGTTGACATCTCATTTTCATTGTGTGCAGGGCTCCAAGATGGCTTATATGAAGCTGCCAGAGAGATTGCAGAATCCAGAAGTGTCAGTCTTAAGCCATACTTCTACCGGACATTCCTGCATCCTGACCCATCTGCCTACTGTCAGAGCCGGTTAGTGAGTGCATATTATTTGTGGACTGAAAATAACAACAGCAAATATTCAGTATTCATTGGACTGTTTTCTGTTCTGGAAAAGGGCTGACTAGCTGAACACCAGCAATTTCTGCTTCTATTTTCATCAGAATTCTCAAACATTCCTCCTCATAATCAGTAAGCAGTGAATTGTAACCCAACACAAAGTTCCACATCTGATTGCTATGTCCTGGCTTAGTTCTGCCCACAAAACAGGAGGAGAAAGTCACAGAGTCACTTCCTGAGCTTTCTCTTGCCACTTCCTGTTCATTTGTTCCAGTTGATGGTGATGAAATACTTTTTAAGCTTTCAGTCTGCTCAACCGCCATCACTGTCGCGCAGCAGTAAATTAATCATAGCAGAGAGTCTTCTTTATAAACAGAATAAAACTTTACTGAAGAAAATAAACTTATTCAGAAACCACATAGTTAAAGAGCATACACAGAGTGCTCATAGCAGCTATCTGACTCTTCACAGAGGTCCTGGAGCCACTGTGTCTGCCTCAGCTTTACATGGCAACAGCAACAGCACTGTTCACAGACTACTCCATACCCAATCCATACAGCTCTCTGACTGAGGCCCATAGAGAGGCTGGCTACTTTTACAGAGAGAATGAGTCTTCACCCAAGATGAGTCACAAGTCACAGTGACTTAGCAGTTTGCTGTTAGCAGGCTTAGGCTTGAATGATTGTGTAGGCCTTGTAGGCCTTACTGCTTCTTCTGCTCTCAAGAACCTTTGTCTCATGAAAATCACTGCTTCTCTTTGTATTTCAGGTACAGAAGTGGCCACTTCCACTTCGGCAGCCTAAACTCCTCTCATTCAGCTCTGCTCAATGAAAACTGGAGTGTTGGGCGCAATGATTGGAGCCTACGCTATCTGGACAGCCTGATCCACAACTTCCCTAGTGCTTGCCTCCTGGACAAAGAAGAACAGCTGGTTTCCTGGTGCCTTAGTGATCCAATGGGAAGTTTGGCGCATGGCTACACTCTCCCTCAGTACCGAGGTCAAGGCTGTGTGGCAGCTGTGACAAGGGCAACAGCTGTGAAGTTGCACGCATATGGGTTCCCCCTGTTTGGTGGGGTTTTGGCAGACAACCAGCCTAGCAAACAGACACTGAAGCGGCAAGGATTCCACATCTTGCCCTTGGCGAAGTATGCGCTTTTCTTTACACCAAGCCTCCAGCCCACAAGATAATACACTGCAACCTTTCACTCCCAGAACTGTGCACTTCAGGGTTAGTTAACATCATGGCCATATTTAGTAGCCTGCTCTGGACATATTTAAAATTAAATTGAAATACATAGCAAAGCAGCTATTGCAGCTACTTTTCATACCCGATAAGAATTAAGGTTAAAAGTGGTTCCAAGGTGGCAATAAAAAGAAGTGGGGAGAGAGGGCACCCCTGTCTTGTCCCCCTTTCGATGCCGAACTCTTCGGTGATCTCGTTATTTATTAGCAATTTTGCTTTTTGGTTATCATATATCACCCTAATTCCATTAATTATTTTCTCTCCTATGTACAGACCTTTGAAAGTTTCCATTAGGAAATTCCATGATACTCTATCAAAAGCTTTTTCTGCATCAACCAATAACATGGCCATCTTTTTACTTGGTTTCATTTCCACATATTCCAACAAGTCAATTATTATTCTTGTATTGTCTTTTATATGTCTATCCGGTAAAAAGCCCGCCTGGTCTCTGCTGATTATTTTGTTTAGAGTCTTTTTTAATCTATTAGCCATCACCCCAGCATAAATTTTATAGTCTGTATTCAACAGGGAGATTGGTCTATAATTTTTCATGTCTGTCAACTCCACTCCCTGTTTCGGGATTAGAGTGATCAGTGCTTCTTTCCATGATTGTGGTATATCTTTCCCTCCCAGTATATTATTCATTATTCTTTGTAATATAGGGAGGATTACTTCTTCCAGGTTCTTATAGTACATTAGTGTGATTCCGTCAAGACCTGGCGATTTGCCACTTCATTTTTTTTATTATTTGTGCTATTTCATCTATTACTTTTAATAGCAATAAGAAAGGATAAAAATATAAGAGGAATTAACCTTGGAACTCGATACTACAAAATTAAAGCCTTTGACGATGATGTAATCGTAACCACTGAAAACCCAGTGGAAAGTATCCAAAAAACGCTTGCACAACTGGAAGAATTTGGGAAGGTCTCTGGGTTCAAACTGAATAAAGGAAAATCCAAATTATTAACGAAAAATTTGCGTAAGTTGGAACAAGAGGAACTGGAAAATACAACAGGTTTAAAGGTAGCCAATAAGGTAAATTATTTGGGGGTTTGGATCACCAATAAGAATATAAACTTATATAAGGACAATTATGAGAAGAAGTGGAAGGAAATAAAAAAAGAATTAGAGACTTGGTGAAAATTGAATTTGTCCCTGTGGGGGAGAATATCCACAGTTAAAATGATGGTATTGTCAAAGATTATTTTTATGTTCCAAACAATACCTATAATTAGAGGCATAAAGTGTTTTAAGGAATGGCAGAAAGACCTTGCCAAGTTTATTTGGCAAGGGGAAAAACCACGCATAAAATTTAAGCTACTAACAGAGTTGAAGGAAAAAGGAGGCTTTGCGGTCGCTGACCTTAAACTGTACTTTGAGGCAGCGTGCTGGACATGGATTAAGGACTGGATATTAATTAAAAACACGGAAGTCCTAGATCTGGAGGGATGGGATATTGTGTACGGGTGGCATGGCTACATAGGCTATGACAAGGTTAAATCCCACAAAGGATTTTTAAATCATATTGTGAGAAGGGCATTATATAAAGTATGGGAGAGAAGTAAAAAATCAGTAGTAACCAAAACACCATGGTGGCTGTCACCAATGGAATCTATGTTGGTTCACAGGATAAATATGAACAGCGATTGGCTAACATATAAGGATTTAGTAGAGGAAACAAGTAAAGGACCTAAGCAAATTGAAACAGAAGGGAATAACCCGGCTGGAGTACTATCAATTAAAAGCCACCCTTGAAAAGGATAAAAGAACCAAAGGATTTGACAAAAAAATATCCTATCTGGAGAAGGATATTTTATATAATAATCAAAAGATACTTTCTAAAATGTACAAACTACTTTTGAATTGGCAAAGAAAGGAGGGAGATATCAAAGAAATTACAGTAAAATGGGAGAGGGACCTGGGACATACGACCAAACCCAATATTTGGAATGAATTATGGACTAAAAATATAAAATTCACGGCTTGTTTCCTTATAAGGGAAAATCTTATGAAAATGTACTATAGGTGGTACCTGACCCCTGTAAAACTTGCAAAAATAAATAAATCAAACAATAACAAGTGCTGGCGATGTAAGGAACAGAAAGGAACATACTACCATATGTGGTGGTCCTGTCTAGAGATACAAAGTTTTTGGAACATGATTTATGAAGAGATAAAGAGATTGATAAAAACTACATTTAGCAAGAAACCGGAAGAATTTTTACTAGGAATGGTTTCAGTTAATATTCCCAAAAACAAAACTAGGCTATTTATGTATGCAACGTCAGCAGCAAGGGTTATAGTGGCAAAACACTGGAAAGGTAAAAATACACCCACTAAAGAGGAATGGGTAGTCAAATTGTGCCAGTACTTGGAGCTCGAAAAGCTGACAAATGCAATAAGAGATAAACCTAAAAAATTGGTAAAAGAAGAATGGGAATGTTTAAATAATTATTTAGGGGACAAGAGCTCAGCAAGAAAGACCTTTCTATGTTTAGAATGACACCGCATAGAGAAATGTTCCCTGATACCAAGATGAGGGATTTCTTTGGAATGCAGATAGAGATAATAGATAAGAATAATGATCTGTTGTGAGCTTGATGGAAGTGTACAATAGATGAGCTTTCCTGCTTTGGCTCATCTTCCTTTTTCTTTTTCTTTTTCTTTTTTCCCCTATTTTTCTTTTTTCTTTTCTTTTATCTTTTCCATAGTTGCTTATGTTCTGTGTCATGTACTTCGATATTTTTTGTAGTTTTTAAAGTTTTTCCCCACCATTACTATTAAGGAATTTTCCTTTGTAATTTTGGTTGTCTATATTTATATGTACCTGTTTAAAGCAAAATAAAAGTTTTTTAAAAAAAGAATTAAGGTTAAAGTTAGTCCTGGTGTATATTCAGTTAGTCTAAAACACATTTCTCCTTCTGTCTCTTTTAAGTCAATCTTAAGTGTTTTTTTAAGTCTCTTTGAGTCAATCCGACTAATATTCTGTACCGCAGCATGTCAGGCAGAGCCCAACACTTTGGACACAAATATATCTTGTTTGGATGCCTTCAAAATCTAAGCATACCTATAGAGGCACCTTTAGGCAGGGCTCATTATATTTATCTCTCCCACATGGTGCCCAGTTTCACCAAACACATACAATGCATTTGAGACAGACATATATCAGTGATGCAAATGGTGGTTGAGTTGCCTGTCACCCCCTGCCCAATACCGCAGATATTATTATTTACTAAAGCACCACATCCATTTAATCATTCATTCACTTGCCTCACGTAAAGAGGGTAAATACCTTGTAAAGCATTGTAACATTACTAGGGATCTTTCATTCGGAGAATCAGCCGATTATTCTGTATCATCTGAATTACATCCCACTGGGCCTGCGGCTGCAACCCAAGAAACAATTTTGTGGAGTGAACCATTCAGTATAACATATACATAACACCACCATCCCTTGCTCCCCGAAGCAAAGCACCACTTAGACACACCAAGCTGGACAAGACACACACAGTAGGTGGGTGTTCAGCTTTGGTTTCTCATTGCTAATCTGCTTTTACCAACAGGAAGACCACAACAGAGTAGCTGAAAGCATGGTGGAGCATCAGTAGCTCGTATAAGACTATGTTTAAGGTCTATCGTGAGCACTGAGCTGTTACACCTTCTTGCACCTGTGTTAAATACGGTAAATCCCTAATTTCAGGCTGTGTAGACACACCAACATTTAAAGTATATTCACACATACCAAGAATCCTGGGAACTGTACCCATTGCAAATTTTGCTCAATATAGAAGAATGCATAGCTTTGCAAACTGCTGTGCATAAACAACAGTTTAAATTGCCAAATATGTTTTGTCCGGTTCTTCATCAGTGGCAAATACTGATAAATTAATGTAGAGTACACAATGAACTGGTTCACACATAACTTTAAACCATAGTTATGGTTCCTAAGACTGGAAGCAGACCTGAGTAACAGCTTTCAGAGATAAGGAAGCTTCTCTTGGCTTCTTTCAAAATCAATTGCATTATGAGAAGGATGAGTTCAGGAGTCACAACTGGGAAGCGTTAACCCCCCCCCACACACACACACAGACGTTAGCTGCACCCTATTGAAAATTTCCTCCATGCTGCTAGGCTTCAAAAAAGTGTCTATTGGTTGCAGTAGAAGGTATGAGGATTTTACGATCCTGTGCCAGGGTTTGGAATTTGTGTTTCAAACGTGAGTGCGGGTTCTGGGTCAAATTCTGGTTCATTTAAAAATCTTGGACTTAGGGGGACAGCCTGGAGCAGGAGTTCATTTCTACAGATAAATGTAGTGACTGTTTCACCGAACAACACTTACATACAGGAGTCTTTTATTATTTTTATGTTTCCTTAAATTGGAAATTATTATTATTATTTACTGAATTTGTTAGTAACTTTATCTTACACAGGGCAACCCAAAGAAACTTACAAAGAAAAGAACAAGAGTGAGAACTGGTGCTTTAATAAAAAATTACACTGCATTTTCCCCCCCATTCTCCATTAGTGATAAAACAAATTGCAGAGAAATCCTCATGGGTTGGATGCATTGTTTTTCTCTCCAATTGTTTTTTCCATTTAGTTTACTCTCTGTAGACCTATTCTAATAAATATAAGAATTCTCTCATTATTCCCCTTTACCTCATTTTAAAAATTATCCCTCCAGAAATTGGAAGATCATAAAGATATCTAGTTTAATTATGTTTCACATAGAAACTAGAACATAAGAGCCTGCTGGATCGGGTCAATCAAGTCCAGCATCCTGTTCTCATCATGGCCAACCAGATTATTTATATACATTTACCAAACAAAATATCTAAGATAATTCATTCTATGTCAATATGTAAGTACAAGTCCATCCAATTTATCCAAATATATTTCCTCACAAAATATCTTAGATACATCCTACAGACATAAGAATGAATTATTTCTCCAAGACAAAAAGGCAGCCCAACATTGCAATTTGCTGGTCATTTCGCAATTGTTGGGTGTAGCCCCAATATTCTTCAAACCTGGTACAAGTACAGTTTTTTCCCCTGGCCTGCCCAAAGTTGATTTATTTAAAATTTGACATATTCTTAGAGTGTCAGTATCAGATTTGCTTTCCAATACTTTATGGAAACAATTCTAGCTGCCAATTCTAGCTGATGGAAGAGAAATGTATTTTTATCAGAGAAGCAAATTGTTGGAAGTTTTGTAGCCATGGAGGGAAAAGCAGCTTACTTCAATCCCAACCCCAACCAATACCCTCCCCAATGGTTCACTAATTGTAATTGACAACAGAACTATTTAAATAATCCCTGTAGTTCTGTTAGACTTGTTACAGAATGATTAAACCAATGACTGAACCCTCTTCTGAGTCCAACCTTCATGCCAACGCACAAGCACGCTGATAGTCAAGATCCGTTTTACGGATCATTTGAACAGCATGACAGGGACTGTCAGTAAATCATATATTGCTCAGGTGATCATTAACTGTTTACAGTGGACCCTCTGGTTACGAATTTAATTTGTTTTGGGGGTCCGTGCAGACCCCAAAGAATCCGTAACCAGAGGCGCCGCTTCTGCGGACGCAGAAAGCACGATAGAGCATATACACCCAGCATGCAGAGTGCTTCTGCGCATGCGCAAGCAGCAAAAACTGGAAGAATACACTTCTGAGTTTGCCGCTTTCGCAACCTGAAGATTACATATTCAGAGCGGTATGTAACCGAAGGGTCTACTGTAGTTTAAGTTGCCATTCTTCTTTAGCTGGGACTTGGCTTGCTTTCCAAATCCTCCATTATTTCCTTCAACTCATCCTAGTGAAAGAAGCTGCAGCAAACCCACCTCATTCTTATCCAGGAACATCGCCAATTCCTCTGCATCCGTGGGATCCAATTCCACAAGGCCTGTGGCTACAATCGCAAGGAACGATTATGTTAATGGTTCACTCACTCTAGTATAAATTCCCCCTCCTAATCATAGCAGTCCCTAAAGTTACCAAGCTGGAAAGAGGACTCCAACTGAAAAGGTCTGTGTTACTGTTTTGGACAGCAGGTGAGCAGTACAAGAGAGCTTCTTGCCTGTAGTTCACAAGAGAAGGATTTTGTTTATCAGAATTGAGCTGGAAGGAAGGCGAGGGCTTTCCTGTTATAGTTAGAAGCTCAGGGGGAGCTGTGCCATCTGACACTGGGGTGTAGACATAGGGGTTAAATAAGTAATAAAAATAATAATGCCCATCTGACTGGGTTGCCCCAGCCACTTCAATGACAAGAGACTTCTCAGTTTGGGGATTCTGGTGAGCAGCAAAGAACTGATCTCTCTCCCAGGTGCTTATCACAGGCATTGTTTCTGCTGGTACCAGCCCATCGGCTTTCACCTCCCAAGCTATGTTGATCCTATCCTGTGCGTCCAAGTTGCAGTTGCTGGAGACGCTGCTGAAGAGAAACCTCCCTCAGACAGTTGCGGTAATCTTGATCTTTGTAATCTGGTTTAAGAGCTAGGAATTGGGACAGGTTCCTGACAACATCTCTTGATCTTTCCAAAACTCTACATTTTGAAGATGAGAACATCATTATATGTTACATTTTTAGGTGCATGCCTTAAGTTTCTAAGTTCAACAAGCAGGTGCTTGAAAATGTGTGTATCATGTTGATATGCTCAGCAGAGAGCTAGGATTCGTGAGAAATAGTGTAATATGTGACATGGCCTTGTGGGCTCCTAGATTTTGTTAATCAGCTGGTTAACAGGAAGTCCTCAGTCAAGGTAATACCATTCAAGGGCTAGTCACTAACAGTGGGATTCATGCAGCAGATCAAAATCTGAATTAGGGGCCACACCACCGATTCTCTCCTCAAATGTTTGTCTCAGGCTGCCTCGTTCAGCTGTAACACCAAGGGAAATTGACAGATTCTCCTGTCCGTTGTGCTTGCTCAGATCAGGACACCCCACTCAAGGCATGCAGCAGAAACAAGCCTGACACACCAGACCCCACACATTTCTCCCAGGCTGCCTCCTTCAACTGCAGCACCAACTCTGACATCCTATGACTTTTGACAGGTCTATGGTGCAGTCGTGAATATAAACCGTGGGAACCCAGTGGGCCATGAGGTGATTGTGGATTCTTGGCCGGATTGCAAAGCGGTCCTGACTCGTCCACGGACAGAGGTAGTAGCCTTTGGGGATTTTGTGGGAGGTGCTTTGTGGGATGTCAGCAGGAAATGCTGCGTGTTCTGTGCTGGGACTTCCTCTAAGCCAGGCTCAAACCGAAGGGGATGTTGGCTTTTGTTTAGGAGGGCACCTTTGGCAGGGGTCATTCCACATCAAATCCACGCAAAAAACAAGGGTTTCATCACCCACTGTCTTGAATTTTGATGAAACTTGGTGTACACCCTTCCCTTATGGTTGAAACAAACCCCCTTAAATTTCCCCCCTCTATCTCAAATGGTTTTAACTTTATAGCACTTCAAAGTTTTGTGAAATCTGCGCTGTCTGTCCCTCTTGAGACCCTCGGCACATGTACATTTCATTTTTTCTCCATAACCAATGATCAGATCAGTTTTTCTAGTGTTGAAGTGGTTTTGATCAATTGTGTTTGATCTGTGCAAATCCATTGTGAAAATTCAATGGGATTACTTCCTGATAGCCAATTTTCACAACTTCATATTCAAATATCCCCAAATTAAAACAAGTATGCACTTTACTTTTGGGGGAAAACTTATAATAACCAATATTATGTTAATTTTTATGAGGAACACCTTTCTTTCATTAATCTCTCCTATTACAGCTATGGATTGTAGGAAAGTTGTACCCAGTAGCCATTTCCACCCCCCACGATGTCCAAAAAACGTAAAATTTTCATTACAAGGAATAAAAAACCCATTAATTTCATTCTTTGTTGAGAAAGAGCATGTCTTTGCAATAATTTTCAACATCACAAACTTTGAGTTCCATCATGGCCACACGCTGAAAATTGAGGTTTTCTAAACCTGGTTTTTCCAGCAAAAAAAATACATTTATAATTTTTTTTAGGCATTTATAAAATCTTTTGAGTGCTGGTGTGTTTTTTTCCTGAAATCATCATCCTCTTATTGAGCTCTGTGTAAGATTTCAAAGAGATCTGATCATTGGTTATGGAGAAAAAAATTAAGTGTACAGATCCTGAGGGTCTCAAGAGGGACAGACAATGCAGATTTCATGAAACTTTGAAGTACTATAAAATCAAAACCATTTGAGATAGAGGGGGGAAATTTAAGGGGGTTTCTTTCAACCATAAGGGAAGGGTGTACACCAAGTTTCATCAAAGTCCGAGCCAGTGGATGACATGACTGCATTGACATGACGTGGAATGACCCACAGGTGAAAGTTCACTCATCATTTCATCTCAACATCAGGAAAAGCTGAAATATACTCAAGTGATTTCATGCTCTTTATTCAGCTCATAGTGGTGAGGAGGAATGAATGAATGTCCCCTCAGAGTATCTGCTTTATATACATTATTTACACAATGGGCTGCACATGATTGGCTAATTCCGGAATTCTACTGTAAGCCAATCAGGTTGTGGATTCACTTCTATCTGGAGCATGATTGGGTGGTTCCTGCCAACCAATCATACTGCTGCATTGTTCTAGGACCAATCAGACTGCTGCATTCTGAATCCTATTGTTCTAGGACCAATCAGACTGCTGCCTTTTGGATCCTATTGTTCTAGGACCAATCAGACTGCTGCAGTTTGGATCCTATTCAACTCAGTACATAACACCCCTCCCCTCTAAGTTCCAGTCCTGCCCAGGAGGTCGCATTCATAGTCCTCAAGGTACGCCGGTGGCCTACGTGTGCGTTGCGGCCTGGGGTGTTCCCTGGTCCGGGGTTCAGGTTCTGGCTCGTGTTCCAAGGATGCTGGCTGTGATGGGGCTGTTTGGTCTGGCGCAACCGGCTCGCTCAGTCGTGGTTCTGGCTCCGGTGTCCTTTCGGCCTCACGGGTCCTCTCTGTATTTACTGATTCTGCCTCTCCTACTTGCCCCTGCTGCTCTATGGGCCTCACTGCCCCCCTCTTCCCTTGGGACTCCTCTGACCTGTCCTCCTCCTCCTGGTTTTCTCCCGGGAATCGTCGCCGTATCTGGTCGCAGTGGCGGCACCAGCATTGCCCCCCATCTGTTAGCACCTCGTACGACACAGGGCCAGTGACCCTGGTGACTGTGGCGGGTACCCATGCAGGGCCTGCCCCAAAATTCTTTGCGTACACTGGGTCCTGGGCCTCGAAGGTCCGGGGGTTCCTGCCTTCCCCCACCACTACCTCATCCTGAGCTCTATCGGGGTGAAGGCGGTCCAATCTGATTGCAAGGCGCCGACCCATTAGTAGTTCAGCGGGGCTCCGCCAGTCGTTGAGCTGGGGGTGCTGTGCTGTGCTAGAAGGAATGTGGCAAGGCGGTACTCCCAATCCCCTTGCGTCATGCGGCGAAGGGTGTCCTTGGTGGTCCGCACCATGCGTTCTGCTTGGCCATTGGTGGCAGGGTGGAATGGCGCCGAACGGATGTGGCGGATGGCGTTCTGCGCTGTAAAGGTTTGGAATTCTCCTGACGTAAATGCAGTCCCGTTGTCTGAGACGAGAGTGTCAGGGAGCCCGTGGGTTGCAAACAGCCTGCGTAGTACCCGGATGGCTGCGGACGTAGAAGTGGACGGTACCAGTGCGACTTCCAGCCATTTGGTGTAGGAGTCCACCACTATGAAGAATGTTTTCCCCTGAAAGGGGCCAGCGAAGTCCACATGCAGGCGTGACCATGGTGCTCGGGCGGACTCCCAGGACTGGACTGGGGCCCTTGGGGGATCTGGGCGGGATTCTTGGCAGGCCTGGCAGTGTTTGACCCAGGCCTCTATCTCTCCGTCGATCCCCGGCCACCACACATAACTCCTGGCAAGGGCCTTCATTCTTACTACCCCTGGGTGTGTCTCGTGTAGGGCTGTGAGGACCCTTTTGCGGAGGGGCTGGGGAACAACGACCCTGCTTCCCCATAACAGGCACCCCTTGTGGGCCGACAGTTCATGTTTGCGGGTTGTGTAGCCAGCGAATTCTGGCCCGGGGCTGCTGCTGGGCCATCCCCTCCACACCCAGTCCAGGACCCGGGAGATGACCCTATCTTTCTTGGAATGGTCTGCAACTTCTTGTGCCTGAATGGGGCGGTCGGGAAGCAGCTCCAGGCTCATAACCTCTTGTGCAGGTGCTGGGTCGGGGCCTGTTTCCGGTAGTGGTAGCCTGCTGAGGGCGTCCGCATGGCCCATCGCCTTCCCCGGACGGTGAATCAGTGCATACTGGTAGCTGGCAAGGAAAATTGACCACCTGAGGACGCGAGGAGACAGCACTTGGGGGGTCTGCTTTTCGGGGGCAAACAAGCCAAGCAACGGCTTGTGGTCAGTCACCACAGTAAAGGGCCGCCCGTACAAGAAATCATGGAATTTTTTTACTCCCTTCACGATTGCCAGACCCTCCTTGTCGATTTGCGAGTAGTTCCGCTCGGTTGCATTGAGTGTCTGGGAAAAGTATGCCACCGGTACCTCTCTTCCATCCGGGAGTTGGTGTCCCAGGACAGCGCCAATGCCATAGGGCGAGGCGTCGCATGCTAGCACCACTGGCAGCCTCTCGTCGAAGTGTGCCAAGACCGAGTTTGAGACAAGCAAGTCCTTGACTGCCTGGAATGCGGCCTCCTGGCGGTGGCCCCACACCCAAGGGGCCCGCTTGTCCAGGAGTCTGTGTAGGGGCTCCGCTACCGCCGCCTTGTGGGGAAGGAAGGAATGGTAAAAGTTCAATAGTCCCAAGAAGGCCTGAAGTTCAGTCTTGTTCTTGGGCGCTGGGGCATCACAAATGGCCCGTACCTTGTCCCCAGTTGGGTGGACCCCTTCTGCATCCACCATAAATCCCAGAAAGTCCACCTGAGGCACTCCTAGTAGACATTTTTCCCGCTTCACCTTGAGACCCGCTGTCTGGAAACGGTGCAGAACAGTGCGGAGGCGGTCCTCAAACTCCTCTGGTGTGGGCCCGGCAATCAACACATCATCGAAGAAGGGGGTGACGCCAGGAATCCCTTTAAGGAGCGAGTCCATTAGATTCTGGAATATGCCTGGTGCCACACTGACACCGAATTGCAGCCGCTTTACCCTGAACGCTCCTCTGTGCGTCACAATCGTCTGTGCCTCTGCTGTGGCCTCATCAACTGGCAGCTGTTGATATGCTTGGGCCAAGTCCAGCTTGCCAAAAATTTTCGACCCAGCCAGGGTGGCAAGGACATGGCTGACCACTGGCACTGGGTATGCATGGGCCGTGAGGGCCTTGTTTATGGTACATTTGTAGTCTGCGCAGATGCGGACCGAACCATTAGGCTTGACGGGTGTGACAATTGGGGTTTCCCAGGGGGCATTAGGCACCGGCTCCAGCACTCCTTGCTCCTCGAGTCGGTCCAATTCCTCGTCTATACAGGGTTTCAGGGCGAACGGGACCCGGCGGGCCTTGAGCCTGACCGGTCGTACTGCGGGGTCAAGCTGTAGAGCAATGGGGGCCCCCGTATACTGTCCCAATTTCCCATCAAAAACCCCTGGAAATTCCTTGCATATGGCGTCCACGTCCACTTGTAAGCTCGTGTGGTTCACCCCGGTGACGGCTAGCCCCAGTGGTCCAAACCATGCCAATCCCAGTAAGCTAATGTAGGGGCCCTTGACCACAAGCAAGTCCAGTCGCCGCGTCCGCCCTCGGTATTGCACCCTGAAGGTCCCCACCCCCATGGTGGGGACCTTACGTTTCTGGAAGTCCCGGAGGGTGAATGGGGCCGGCCTGAGTTTGGGACCCCCAGTAGGACACAGTTTCCTTAAGGTCCTTGCCGAGATTATGGATAGAGTTGAACCCGTGTCAAGCTCCATGCGGCATGGGGCCCCCTCTATCTGTACCTCTACATAAATTTTCTCTACGTTGGGGTGGGGCAACTGGTATACCTGGAAGTCCGTGAGCTCCGTCGAGTTGCCTTGGTGCGTTGGGCCCCGGGACCTGGGGCTCTTGGATTGGTCATCTGATGCCTGGCGTCGGGTGGGCCGAGCCCGACACACCCGGGCGATGTGTCCCAACTTTCTGCACTGCCTGCACTCCGCGTTGCGGAAACGGCAGGTCCTCCTCTCGTGACTTTCTCCACAGCTTGCGCAGTTCCCTCCTTCTCGTCGAGGCAGCTGTGGTATGTGGGCTGCTTGAGTGCGCTGCTGTACTCGGTGCACCTCCTCCCTGTTGGATCCTGAGTCGTTGGTGAGGTCTTCATGGTGGACCCTCGGTTGGGATGGCTGGCTCCGCCGTGCCTCTTGCGTCGACCTCTCGGCAGCTTCCGTTGCCAGGGCCTCCTCCAGAGCGACCTGGAACGTTAGGTTCTTCTTAGCGTAGAGGCGTCGTTGCAGCTTCTCATCCTTCAGGCCACCGACGAGGCGGTCACGAAGCATGTTCTCCAGCTCTGAGAAGTTGCAGAACCGGGCAGCTTGGCAGAGAGAGGTCACAAACCCAGTTATGGTTTCCCCAGGGGCTTGCCGCTTTGCGTAGAAGGCATTTCGACGAGCCACCACTGAGGGCTGTGGCGAAAAGTGCCCCTTCAGCTGTTCCATTATTGTTTTGTATGGAACAGTAGCAACGTCTTCAGGCGCAAGGAGAGCCCGGGCAATTTCAAACGTCTCCTCTCCGCAGACGCTGAAGAATATTGCCCTCTTCTTGGCGTCTTCTTCATCGGTGACCCCTTTGGCTTCTAGGAGGAAGGTGAAACGGGAGGCGTACGCTTCCCAGTCTCCAGATGCTGGGTTGAACGGCGAGAAGCTGCTGTCGGTTGCCATTCTGAGTTCCTTGTGTCCCGGAGCTGAAGCCTGGATACACGGTGCGAGGCAGCGGTGCGGCAGGTGGCGGTGCTGCGGTGCTGTGTGTGGCAGTCAGCTCAGCGGGATCCCACCTTCGTCGCCAGTGAAATATACTCAGAGTCGCAAAGTGATTTCATGCTCTTTATTCAGCTCATAGTGGTGAGGAGGAATGAATGAATGTCCCCTCAGAGTATCTGCTTTATATACATTATTTACACAATGGGCTGCACATGATTGGCTAATTCCGGAATTCTACTGTAAGCCAATCAGGTTGTGGATTCACTTCTATCTGGAGCATGATTGGGTGGTTCCTGCCAACCAATCATACTGCTGCATTGTTCTAGGACCAATCAGACTGCTGCATTCTGAATCCTATTGTTCTAGGACCAATCAGACTGCTGCCTTTTGGATCCTATTGTTCTAGGACCAATCAGACTGCTGCAGTTTGGATCCTATTCAACTCAGTACATAACAAAAGCTTTATCTGATAAAGTGTCAGGAGGCAGTTAAAAGCGCAGGAATTTTACCAGAATAAAGTTGGCAACCTGAGAAGAATTGGTTAGAGAAGGGCATGGCAGGGAGCCTATCCTAATGAGTTCCATCTCTCTCTCTTTTAGGCCGATACAGACAATACAGATTTGTATAAAAACATATATGCAGCCTTTTACTGGGATCTTGATGTGTACCGGAGACTGTTGCTGGACACAGATGCTGTCAACTGGAAGCAAAACTTTCGTCTCTATGGTAAAAGGCAGTTCTTTCTAAGGGAAAAGTTATGAGATGAGAGAGTCCCCCCCGCCCCTTTAAAACGACATTACTGTAATTAACGTACCGTAAACTGTGGTGACTGGTTCTCATTGGAACTGGTAGGGCAGAAGGCAGGGAGACCATAATAGGCAGCATTTGCCTTCTACGAGAGGCAAAACTGAGACTAAGGAGGAAGCTGATAGAAGTGCCCCCCCCCCCCGATTGGATGAAAGTAAAAAGCAGGTGGGAGGAGGTGGCTGTGGGCAGATAGCACTTGATGAAGCAGGCCCCATTCACCCTGAAAGACCAGCCTCCACTGAATATAAAGTGCAGGACCAGCACAGCCATCAGGCGGAGTGAGGCAGCGGATGCCCGAAGGTGGTACCCTCGCTTGCCCCAGTGCTGATTTCCAGTGAGATGTTGTCAAAATTGCACGAAATCTTGTGGAGTGAGATCTCACCCCCATCAGCATGCTCTCACCCAAATTCAGTATCAATACCTGTGCCTCTTCTCTGCCAGTGGATGGTGGTGGCAGTGGCAAAGTGACACTTCCGGTTTCACCTCAGATGGCAAAACGAGATGTGGTGCCCCTGATAAAGTGTCTCATACACTTAAGTGCTGTTGAGAAATGCAGTCAAAAAGCGGAAGCCCATTGAGGAGGAGGGAGGGACTCAAAAGGAATGTGAAGAGGATAGAGAAAGTAGTGGTTAAAGATTTGGGAAGAGGGAGGCATTTTCACCTGCTACTTCAACATTTGCAAGGAAAGAGCAATGTGAATATTGAGAGGCCATGATGGTTTCCGGAGGAAATGTGAAGCAAGAGAGAGAAAAGCTGGAACTGTGAAATCAAGGAGTACGTGGAGTTTTAGCCAGGAGGTGAAGAATATCAGTGAGTGGAAATGAGAGGAAGGCAAAGGAAGAAAAAAGAAAGAGCTAAAGAGTGAAAATACTTTTTGTGATCACTTCAAAGAGATCCTTTAAGAAAAGGAAGTCACTGGAGTGTAACCAAAAGGAAATGTAGGTAAACCAAAACATGGGAGGAAACCACACAGGCAGCTGAATTAAGAATAGAAGTCTGGGTGAACAGGACAACAGGCAAAATAGAAAGAAGAGAACTGCAATAGTCAAGCATAGAAAAAATAAGATAATAAACTTGGGATAGCTCAGTCGGTAGAGCATGAAACTCTTAATCTCAGGGTCATAAGTTCAAAGCTCCACGTTGGGAAAAAGATCCCTGCACTGCAGGCAGTTGGACTAGATTACCTATGTGGTCCCTTCTAACTGTCTTTTCGCACCTTGGCTGTGAATTTTTAAATGGCAAATAAAAGGTAGCTAAGCAGTGTGGTAACATCTGAATATATTTTTATTTGATTTCTAGGGCTATACCCTGGATTAGACTGAAGCCAACCCAATCCACAATTAACATGTGCTCATTATGGCTATTCCAATCCCTTTTCATCATATCTATCCCACATACAGACTGCAGGATGGGGAAATGGTCAGTATTCCTTGCTCCTTGTTGTTCAGGACTGCAGAGGCAGAGAGGGTGTGACTACACCTTAGGCCCAAACTAGGCATGAGTGACATTCACACAAATCAGCAATGGCATCACATGGCAACACGAGAACGGGCCTTCTTTGTAGTGGCTCCCTGTCTATGGAATCCTCTCCCCAGGGAAGTTCGCCTGGCACCATCATTATACACCTTTAGGCACAAGGCAAAAACGTTCCTTTTTAACCAGGGCTTTAGTTGATCTTATTGACATCCAACACCCTTTTAGAATGTGTCTTTTTTTTGGGGGGGGGGTTACTGGGTTATTGCTTTTGGTTTGATTTTATATGTTGTGGTCTTGTGTGAACTGCCCTGAGACCTCCGGGTACAGGGTGGTGTATAAGTTGAATTATTATTATTATTATTATTATTATTATTATTATTATTATTATGGCTTTTAAAATGTCAATATCAGGTGTCAAATTGGAAGATGGGTAGTGCCATCAGGGGACTGCCATCGGAAAGGGGGAGGGAGGCAGGGGGATACAGGGAGCCTTCGGCGCTTCTAAGAAGCAGCTCCTCGTCTGGCAGTGGAGAAAGCCACACCTCCAGGGAAGCAGGGGGAAGGGAAGGCTCAAAGATGCTACGGGGAGCCCAAGCGCCTCAGCTAGCCCGGCCGGCCAGGAGGCAAACACGCTGCTTCCGTCGCCCTGCTTGCGCACAGGGGTGAAACGCAAGGAGGGGAGGCGGAGATTTGGGGTGTCTAAGTTCCTATGCTGGTGGAGAAACTGGAAGGGGCCACTCCCGGAATCTGCAAGTGACTAAGATGGACATGAACTTTGGAGTTATGCACCGTAAATAGTTTGCACCAATAAAACCTGAAAAAGAAAGGTCGGAGTCTTGCCTGGTTACTCACGAGCTTCCACCTGCACATCTGACAGGTAGGGGGCTTTAACATTTTGCCCCCTACTGCGGGCCTGATGCACTGAACAACTTCTTGCCCTATCCTCAAAACACACACACAATTATCCTTCATTGTTGAATATTTTACTATTCTACAGGGAACCAGAATGGGATCTACGACGTCTCTAAAGATGCTGCTGCCACCAAGAAAATACATCTGACTGCAACTCCCCACTTCACCTACCTGAACCCTAACCCAAATAAAATACCTCAGCGCCAGTAAGTGTCCACCTTGCTCCCCTCTTTCTTCCTTTCTGCTTGAGGCACTGGTTAACCTGTGGTGCTTCCAGTTGGAGAATCTCCATAGCCAAAATACTATGGTCAAACCTTGCATTCACTCTTTCCAAGTCTGCCTTCTCCTGGCTGGCACAGCAAAGCACCAAAGGTGGCACTACAAGTTTCCTAAAGATGTTTTGTCTATTAATGGCTATGTTGACACCATAAAGCAGCCCATATGTACAAAAGCAAACTGGTTTCCTGCTTGCGACTTACTCAGGTTGCTGGCCAGTGTTAACATGTGTTGGACTAGATGATCTGAGCCAAAAAGGTGGTTCCTGGGTTCTCCCAACATCTCTGTCTATATTGTTCTTGCCTGTCATTTCTTCCAGGCTAGATCCCAGCTTCACAATTTCCACCTTGCAAAGCTCCCATGTTGACATCCTAAATGAAACATGGCCCCATGGAGGCAACGAACAAAGCCGACGGTTCCTGGACAACATGGTGAAGTGCTTCCCCAGTATCTGCATCCTGGACAGCAATGGTCATCCTATCAGCTGGAGCATCATGGATCCTCTTGGTGCACAAATACATGGCTACACCCTTCCATCCCACCGCCGAAGGGGCTACTTAGCTATAGTGATGAGGGCACTGTCCATGCAAATCCATGCGGCAGGGTGCCCTGTATATGGCCATACTGCCCTGAATAATGTCCAAACGCAGAATTTGCTGGACTATATGGGCTCCCAGAGATTATCTGAATTGTGTCATATCTGCATACATTCTTCAACTTAGTAAAGGGAGGAGGAGAGAGTCCCAAAGTATCTCCTCTCTTTGACTTCAGTAGCTCTCTGAATGAAAGAGAAACAAACCCATCACTACACCAATCCTGGAGTTTCCTGTTCCTCTATTATACGTATAGGTTTAAAAAAATATATCATGCAAGGTACCTTAAGCCATATATCTAGAATGGTCAACCAGCCAAGCAATGGTCTAATGATATAATAGTGAAGCACTAGCATTTCCAATGCTTTTTGGGGGGGTGGTATTGGTTTGTGTGTTTGTGTTTTGTTTGTTTGTTCTTGATTTTATTATGTATTTTGTGTTTTTATATTGTATTTTTATGTTGTGAGCCGCCCTGAGATCTATGGATGAAGGGCAGGGTATACAAATTTAATAAAGAATGCATAAATAAATACCATTAGGCCAACCAAAATATCACAATATATTGCGCATGTTTTTGAGTTCTCCCAAAAGTCACGGGTTGGCAATGGTGGCCAATCTTTTTCGGGACCATGGGCATATTTGCAAACCTGATAAAATGTCATTGACAACCGCTCACATTTGCACTGCAGCCACACACTCACTCTAAACCCTACCCACCCGCAGTCCCACCAGCAATTACACTTGAAAAAGGCATTTTCCGTTTTTTAAAAAAACATAATACCAGGGGCGCACTTTTTGGAGAGCGCACCAGCGGAAGAGTTAACCTTTCATCTTCCTGCAATTTCCAGGAAGATCATCCCACAACAATTACATTGGAGCCAGTAGTATGCTTTGTTTCCAAATCTAGTTGTAACAGAAGAGGGGCAATTTTGGAAATTGCATCTGGAGAGGGAAGAGTTAACCTTTGCTTCCTCAGCTATGCCCCCCCCATCACCTCTTCCCATACCAGGTCAGCTTAATCACCTTCTACTATAGAAGGCTTTCTCATCTCTAAAAAGGAAGGACTATTCGTTACTCAGGTCTGCTTCCATCCTTAAAAGGTAAAGGAACCCCTGACCATTAGGTCCAGTCGTGACCAACTCTGGGGTTGCGGCGCTCATCTTGCTTTATTGGCCGAGGGAGCTGGCGTACAGCTTCCAGGTCATGTGGCCAGCATGACTAAGCCGCTTCTGGCGAACCAGAGCAGCGCACAGAAACGCCGTTTACCTTCCTGCCAAAGCGGTACCTATTTATCTACTTGCACTTTGACATGCTTTCAAACTGCTAGGTTGGCAGGAGCAGGGACCGAGCAACGGGAGATCACCCCGTTACGGGGATTCAAACCGCCGACCTTCTGATCGGCAAGTCCTAGGCTCTGTGGTTTAACCCACAGTGCCAGCCGCTTCCCTTGCTCCCATCCTTAAGTGAACATTAAATCATAGTTGAGTTTTAACTGTGGTTTAAAGTTATGTATGAACCAGCTCACTGTGTACTCTGGATCGACTTATCAAAATTTGGGACCAACACAGTATACACACACACACACACACACACACACACCTGGTGTATAACTTGGAGTGCATTTTCTTGGATTCTTACTGAAACAGATTGAAAGGGAGCTTCTACCCCACAGAGGAGGTTGGGCATCCTGACTTTTGCATGTTGTCAGAGCTCATCCCATTACCACACTGCAGTGAAATGAGAAAGGGACCCTGGTGAATGAATACCTAGCTGCCCTGCTCTGAACTTGAAACAAAGTAGATCTGTGCAGGGTTGAGAAGACTTGGCCAAGTGTAAGCAGGAGCGTACCTAGGGATTGGTTAGGTTGGCCCCCGCTCCTAGGGGGGCGTCAATATCACGCCCCTCGACTCTGGCTTGGAGGGGTGGAGCGCCCAGCAGGGTGGCTTCAGAGTTGATGATACAGCTCCTTGCCAAGGGCGCATGGAAGCCTGGACATAAGTCATAGTATATGCCGAATCTCTCATGTTCTCTGGACTTGTGACCATCTGAGTCAAGCAAAAGCATTTTGCAGCCAAACTTCCTTCTCTGTTGAGACACTGGGAAAAAGGCCAAGGCACCAGCCAGTTAATGGCTTATTGCTTCAGGAATTTTTTAAAAAAATGCTTAAGTGGATAAATTGTCTCAGCAAGGATGGCATTCCATATCATGCCAGTGGCCCCAGCAATAGGCTGCTACCTTCTTCTCAAAGGCAGACGTGTCCCTTCAGGTAAGCACTGCAGCTGTCATTGTGGACCTCGGAAGGGGACAACCTAATCCCCTTAAATAAGAGGGACTCAAATCTTCTTGCCTACCAATTCAGCTCTGCCTCAGTGCTAGAAAAATGAGGAAATGGTTTGACGAGCTGCAAAGGGGAGTTGAGGACTGTCTGAATGAGGGGCAGCCAGTGTCAATCTCCTCAGCCGGAATAGGAGTCAACTCCATATATCCCTGATCTACAGACATAATTAGTGAAGTAATTTGAGTACTAGAGATTTCATGAGAAATGGCAAGTCATTCTGGTTGTGGGTTGTCCGGTAGCACTGAGTGTAAGGGTCTGATGCATTTCTTTCTGCGTTTCGTCCCCTTCAAGGGCTTCCTTCCCCCCCACGTTATCTTGACTGGAACCTGACGTAGCCCCCAGCCCCTCTTTGGCCAGCCATGCAGATCCTGACCTGCCCCTCCAAGTTGAAGCTGCTTGAGACTGTGCTGCAACGGCACCTGCCCCAGGCTCTTCCGGTAATCCTCGCTCCTCTACTGCCGCCCCCTTTCCCCATCAATTTAACAATTCCTACCATTTTCTCATGGAGCAACATGGATTTTTGCTCTAGCTAACTCCCCTCCTTTCCTTGGCAGGCCAACGGAGCTGTGATGCACATCAACCGCAGAAATCCAGCTCAGCACGAAGTGGTGGTGGACTCTTGGCCAGAGTTTAAAGTTGTCCTTACCCGCCCACGTAAGGAGGTGAGAATTCTTCCATTAAAAAAGCCCAAGAGACGGTAGCTTCTGAGGCTGGAAAGCCATTGGAGACGCACTCCGTGGTGGTGCCGGGCCTGTTCCTGCCTCCTTTGCCTTTTCTTGCTCCTGCTCTCCGTCGTTAATAAGACCCAACCAACCCCCGCTACCTGCGTCCTGTCAATAGCCAAATGACTGTGCCACATTCTGCAGGTAGTGAAAGACAAGCAGGAATGCTACTCCAACTTTCATACTGCTTTCTACTGGGATGTAGACGCCTGGCGAACACTCTTGGAAAATGCAGACGCCATTGACTGGGGAAAGGCCTTTCAGCTTCAAGGTAAAGCTCCTCACGCTCTACCTATTCCATTCCTGGAATAGAAAGCTAGGTTCCTGGTAAGGTGATGAGACATTGAGAGGTACAAAGGAAGTAGCTCTGTGTGAGATGGAAAATGGGTGGGTAGTTAGAAAATGGGTGGGCAAAGGCTGAGTTGAGAGCTGTGACCATGGGGGAAGCAAGTCCCTCTTGGGGTGTTAATACTGCTCAGGTTGTGTATATGTGTAAATAAACCACATGCCACAGAGACACCACAGTCTCTGCTGTACTTCATTCCAAAGGAAACACCAACCCTGGGTAAGCGCCAGGAACCCCTGGAATCTCACACCGCTCAAAGATTGGGCTGGCACACAACACTATAATCATACTATAGCAAGAGAGGTGCAGACACAGAGCATTAGAAAATATAATTCCTCACCCCCAGGTTGACATCTCATTTTCATTGTGTGCAGGGCTCCAAGATGGCTTATATGAAGCTGTCAGAGAGATTGCAGAATCCAGACGTGTCAATCTTAAGCCAAACTTAGTTTTCAACTTATTTGCCCCACCTCCACTTTAAACTTTGAGTGGTGCTGGAAGTAGCCTTCTGGGCAGGAAATTATTATCCAGAACTTTCATTCCAGATCCTCTGTTTGGTGGCGTCTGGCAAGCAGTGAAGAAGGTAAAACTCTTGGAATATCTCCTTTAACTTCATTCTTAATTGAGAGAACCCCAGCAGAGATTTAAAATCACAGAACACATAGCAGAGTAAAGCATGGAAATATAGGTACGGTAGTTAGACCTTTAAAACTGAAGTTCCTTCCAAAGTTTCCCTCTTCCCCTAGCATAGAAAAAGACCACATTTGGTAAGTCAAGAATGGTTTACTTACAAACCCTTCAAAGGTCAGATTTGTGTGCTTCAGAAAGTTGCACAGGCAATAAAACTTGGCTTAGTTGCAAAGTGGTGAAAGTTCCAAAATTACTGATATAGGAACATAAGAGTGGCTTGAAAGAGCCATGCAGTCTGAACTGGAGCAACCAGTTCACTCACTGAGCTTCTCAAGTAGACTGGGAGAGAACAAAGGCTTGATTACATAGTTTCTCCCAAGGTGAGAGGAAGTGGACATAGATAAGTTTGGTAGGATAGTTTATGGTATTAACCCCTTCATGCATTAATTAGACATAAGTGTTGTTGGTTATATGAGCCTGGTTATCCCACATTATCTCTTATGATCAAGCACTAATTCTAGTAAATCAAAAAATGTTCCCAGTTTAGTTTTTTTCAACTAAGACACATAATCAAACTATTATTAATAAAACATGGAACACCATGCCTTGAAACTCCATTTGAAAACTCCATTTGTTACAAGTCAACCAGAAATAAACAATACAAAATATATCTAATTCTGTCTGCACTGAAAAGAGAACAATTACAACCAACATATAAAAGGAAATGGGGAAGGGAGCTGATAAAATATAATCTTACAATGCAGCAAACTGAGTAGGAATAGTTGTTCAAATCTATACCATCAGTACCAATTAGGGCTAATTTGAAGGGAAATTTATTCAATACAACCTATCAATGGTACCTTCTCCTACACAGACTGAGTAAAATACACCACCTTAATATGTTTTGTTGGAGGCACAAGGGAAGTAAAGCTGTGTTCTTGATGCCATCTAGGGATCAACTTTAAATAATAACTACTTTCCTTTGCCTTGGGGGATTCAATAAACTGGTCCAACTTCAGGTCAAGAAACACGCATCATTTGGCTTTGGCTCTTTCCCCTTCTGGTCTTGGACCTCTCTGTCCACAACAATAGTAAACAAAGCAGACATTTAGCTGCCGAAATAGCTAAAGGACACAGATAGCTCACATTTTTCACATGTTTATATAACAGGCTGCATCTCCAGCTCTAGTTGGGACCAAGGGGGATGATATACTCCCTAGGTACAGGCAGAGAGGACCACTTCAGTTGTATTAACTCAGTCCTGAGCTAGCTCACTTGACGGTGGTACATGTTTCTCCCATGAGGTGGGTTATTCTAAGAGACAGTGTCTGGTTCATGGGCACCAAATGAACTTCATGGCTGAGTAGGGATTTCAAATCCTGTTTGCTCAAAAAAAGAAAAAAAATTGGGGTGTAGTTGTTATTATTAATAAATAACCACAACAAATTAATACTCTGCTTGCTTTCCCCCCTATTTAAATCTTGCTATCCGGTCATGAGCATCTGAACCGAATTGCTTAAATCTTAAATCGCTTTTGACTCCCTCCATCCGCAATACTAGGTTGAGCTTGCGCTGAATGCAGTTTTGCTATCCTAAAATCAGGAGACAAAGACCTACAGTGAGATAGCTAGTTTACAACTCATGTAACTTGAATTGTTTGCATGGTTTGGGGCTGGCTGTGGAGGAGAGCAGTTCTCTCATGTCTTTACCAGCTATGTTGCAGAGGGATATTAAACAGAGCAAACTTGACCGATATTTTGTCCGTCAGATATTTTGTCCGTCAGACCTCTTATTTCTGTGTGTGATCCCTGATATGTTTCAGACCTACCTGCAAAAAAGGGTACAAATCTGCATATGCAAATTATGTTCACATATGTGTCTTCTTTTGCATGTGCAGCAGAGGGCTGAATCCCCACACAGTATACTGGCCCCAGAAAATCCTGCTGGCATCCCTGTTCAGTAGTAAATCATCCCTTGGACTATGCAGTTAATCAATTTACTTTATCACCAATAGCCATTACAAAACCAAACAAGTTTTAAAGGCGCATACAGTTCAAAAATAAACAGAATGGAATGCCACATAAAGCCTGGCTTTAAGAGCTATTTATCCTGGTTGGTTGGTTTTGCAAAGCAAATTGGCACAAAGCAACTACCATGTTAACTGGGGCTAGACCACCTTGGTGCTCTAAACAAGCATTTATTCTTCCATCCAACTTGCAGAAGCTGTTTCTAGGAGAAGCCCTGGGCAGACTGCAGACAAACTGGGGCCGGAACTGCAAGTGGAGACCAGCTGGTAGGCGTTGGCATCTGTCCAGAGTTCTTGCCTCCCACCACAGAACAACGTCCACTATATGAATGAAGGAATTCTCCAAACGGCAATGATGTCAAAGCAGCAGGGACTCCTCTTCAGTTGCTCTTCTCAGAGGCAATATTCATGCCACAGACTGAAAGGGAGGCATTTGAACCATGCCTACCCTCTAGGGAGTCCTAACTTGGCATCCTGCATGCCCTCTCCACCCACCGTGCCAAACAGCTGGAATGGGCTAGGCTCCCTCCAGCGCCACTATGGCGGCACTGGAGCAGACACAATTTTACGGTCAACTTAAGCAAATGATCCATCTGGAGGCGAGTCTGTCCCACGGCTCTCAGCTTTCAAGGCCAGCACGTTCTCGGCCAGAAGGAAGGAAGAAGAAAATGAACACAGAGAAAGGAAACGGGGGGATAGGATAAATGGGAATAATTGTTACTGAATTTATCTGCATTTCTTCCTACACGGACCTTTTCTCTCTCTCTCTCATTGCTGTAGAAGGACCTAGCTGAGCATGGGAATGATGGATCAAAGCAGTGTCTGGAAGTAAGACCACTGGGATTCCCCCAAGAATCCCAGAACTTGCTAAAGGAAGAGCAGTATAAGGAAATATAAGAATTTGTTATATAATAAATGAAATTATATAATATTTAATGAAATATATATTTATTGATAAGACTCCAGTGCTCAGTTATTCTTCAGTCATGGCTGCAGTAAATGCACTGGGTTTTAATTTGTACAAGAGTGGGGGCAGTCATCCAAAGAAAAGAGAACTGACTGTATTCATTTGCTAAGTAGAGTTGGACATGTTACTGTCTCTTAATTTAATGTACCTCACAGGGTTGTTGTGGAAAAAAGAGAGAGAGGCTGGGTGGGCTTCCAGGTCACCTCAGAGGAAGTGTGAATTCATGTGGGGTTGGGGCATTGATAGTGGCACCCAGCAGCTAAAGCCTCTGCTTCTCCTCAGGCTCTTATTTGAAACATCCTATTAATTCTCCCTGAGAGTCAAGCTACAGATGCAGTCATGGGCAAGTGCTGAAGAGCTACTCGCTTCTGGATAACCCTATGTGACAAATACTATTTCTATTTATCCAGAACACTGAGTACCCAAGGATTCCAAATCTCTCTCTCTCCAGGCAGTCTGGGGGGCAGGAGGTTGTATTCTTCCTCAACTCAGTTCAAACTGCCAGCTTTATTCAATTTGCTCCAGCAACTTTGACTTCATCTAGTTCACCACAATAACCTTGACTGAAATAACTTTTGATATAGCTTGTGGGGAGATTAATGGTGTGTCTGGTTCAACCAATTCACAGGCTTTGTCAAATGTTACCTAAGAAAGAATTCACACATACTAAATTCTGAATGTGAATTGGAGCCCATAGTCAGTTAATAGGGAAACACCTCCAGGTGAAGTTTGCAACAGGCCTATTTACATGTTGCAAAATAAGGTTGATTCAGTCACCACTTCTTCCGCCAAAAGGAAAGAAAAAAAGATAGGGGACTGACTGAGTACTGTTGGTCAGAATCAGGGATGCAGGGAAAATTTGATTCAGACTGCATTTTGCACTTCCAAAACCAAAGATGAACTAAAACACAGCTGTCCTTTGAAATTTACCCTTTTCCAAATTTTTGCAAGGAAGTTTTCCAACCAATGTTTACAAAAGTGCATATAACTGTGAATAAATGAAGATATTAGTGAAAATAATATACAAAAATCCATTATAGGAAGGGAAATTGACTTGAGAAAATGGAACAATACCAACTTCACCATCTCAGACAATATAGCCATGTTCAAAAATGAACACCCTCCTAAAATTAATGTACCTATTTCCAAAACCTCCCAATCTGGATTCCCTCAACCCAACTTCCTCCACAGGAAAAAACTACTCTTGTTTATTTTCTCACACAAGTCTTCTCCTTAAGCACTTCTTTCTCTTCCATCACTTTTCCAACAAAAAAGACACTGGGACTCTTACACTTGGCTTTAAGAACAGAAAAGACGCTCCAATGGATTAGCGAGAGAGAGAAATCTAGTCCAGTATCCAGTTCTCACAGTGGCCAGCTAGATGTCTATGAGAAGCCCACAAGCAGGGCATGAGTTCAGAGTACTAGTACTCTTCCCACTCATGTTCCCTAGCAACTGGTGTTCAGAAGAATACTGCTTCTGCTACTAGCGTAGTACACACCGAGCCACCATGATCAGTAGCCATTAACAGTAAAATGTTAGGCATGTATATGTGGATGGGGAGACCAAGGGTGCACATGCAAGCTTCATCCCCAACAGCCATGCACACATGCTCCTCTATCAGTCCATGTCTTCCCCAGTGTTGAGTAGGAAAGATCTGTGTTGGGTTGTTCTTGAATTCACTTAAATATGAGTAGGACACCTCATGTGATTGGGGACCCTAATAAAGCAGTGTTCCTAATCACATGCAGAGTGTCTGCTCAGTTTTATTCCAGTCGCTATGACGGTGCTGTGATTTAAGTGGTTTCATCATATGGAACTACATATGGTCATAATTCAATTTTATTTTTAATCAGGGGTAGAAAACTCTTCTTTATGTCCTGCCCCGACACAGTATTTGGAAAACGTGAAATGGCAGTGGAAGCGGGAGATAAATATTAATTGTGCTTTTACGCAACAGACATCACATGGCCATCTAAAGAGAGGGGTCTAGTCCATTAAGTCCAAAGTCTAACTATACGTAGAAGCACCACTGAATATTGGGAAGATGTATGTTAATGGTTCAACCATTCTAGTAAATTTGCACATTCCCCCCACCTTGAAACAAAGCAGTCCAAAGATCTAGCTGGGTGGGCAAGACATTGAGTGAGTAGGTTTGTGTTGCTGCTTTGGTTCATGGAGGACCGTAAGTGAGCAGTTGACAATGTCACAACGCACCAGAAGTTAATAAGAGAATCTGTAACTTTCAACAGGACCACAGGTGAGCAGGTGACAGTGTAACAGATCATCAGCGGCTCAAAAGAGAATATATTTTTTCTGTCTGTTGAGCGGGAAGGGGGGATTCCTGTTACAATTAGAAGCTCAGTTGTGTCAGCACAGGGCTTTAAAAAAATCTGTAATTTCAGTCACATAGGAAGCTTTACAGAATGGGGTTTACAGTGAGGTACAGAGAAGTGGTCTCTCTCTCTTTCTCTCTCTCTCAGGTGCTGTTTCTTCTGGTACCTGCATCAGTCTCCCACGCTATGTTGATCCTATCCTGCTCTTCCAAGTTGCAGATCCTAGAGGGACTGCTGAAGAAAAGCCTCCCTCAGACACTTCAGGTGATCCTGAGCAATGTATTTTGGATTATTTAGCTCGGAATATGAGACCAAATTCCTGCCAAAATCTTGCATCTTCCGAAAGATCCACATTTGGAGTCTGATAAGTCTGATAAGTTTCCGTGTGCTGTGCTGGCTCGCCAGATGCAGCTTGTCACGCTGGCCACGTGACCCGGAAGTGTCTGCGGACAGCGCATGCCTATAGAGTGAGATGAGCGCACAACCCTAGAGTCTGGCAAGACTGGCCCGTATGGGCAGGGGTACCTTTACCTTTACCTTTAAGTTTGTTTAAGTCAATAAACAGGCGCTTGAAAATATGGGTATTATACAGATACACTGCACAGAGAGATAAGATTGGCCGCAGCTCCTTGTTGAGGGCACAGCTGATGTGAACTGAGTGTGTGATGTCTGAAATGGCCCTGTCAATTCCTACACTTTTTTGTCAGGTGGGAGGTAGAATGCCCTCACTAGGGATGAGGGAGAAACTCAATTCAGTTTGCACGACCTAATTTGCGCTTCCTGAAACAATACATGACAAAACACATTCTACGTTTTTCTGAATCTTGCAATGTTGTTCTTCACACAGTGGCGTAGCAACCACTGCCGGCACTATTGTCTCCATCCAAGTTACAATGACAAGATGCATATAGTAAAGGATTCATAAAAAGGCACTGTATTGGAGAAATTGCTTTCTAAAAATATGTAAATTAGTTATAATTGTGCATATTAGGTGAAATTAACACCAAAAAGTACCATTAATTTTTATGAGGACTTTTTATTTAATCCACACTAATGTGGAAATGAGGTAGACTGAAGATGGGAAAAATGGGGGGGGGGGACTGAGAGAAATGAAAAATCAACAGATTTTCCTATCCCTAGTGCTCACTCAGGACACCCCAATCAAGGCATGCAGCAGATACAAGCCTACACAAACTACTAATTTTCTCTCCGACCCCAAACATTTCTCCCAGGCAGTCTCCTTCAACTGCAGCACCAACTCTGACATCATGTGACTCTTGACAGGTCTATGGTGCAGTCATGAACATAAACCGCGGGAACCCAGTGGGCCATGAGGTGATTGTGGATTCTTGGCCAGATTTCAAGGCGGTCCTGACTCGTCCACAGAGAGAGGTACTAGCCCTTGGGGATTTTGCAGGATACATTTTGTGGGATGTCAGCAGGAAACACTGCATGTTCTGTGCTGGGGCCTCCTCTAAGCCAGGCTCAAACTGAAAGGGGATGTTGGCTTTGGTCTAGGAGCGCACCTTTGGCATTAACAGCTGCCAAAGGGAGCAGGTGAAACTTCATCCATCATTTCATCTCAACATCAGGAAAAGGTTTACCTGTTCAATTGTATGTCTCTCTTTTAGGCTGTTTCAGACAATGCGGATTTCTTGAGCAACATATATGCAGCATTTTATCGGGATCTTGATGTGTACCGGAAACTGTTGCTAGACACAGATGCCATCAACTGGGACCAAACCTTTGCTCTCTGCGGTAGCAGGCTGTTATTTCTAAGGGAAGAGTTACGAGATGAGGAGACACGGTTTAGTTACTTAATATGAATTTGATGAGGAAGTGACTGAAGTGAATGTAATAGAGAAATATGAGCAAAATAAAATACAAAACAATACATTGGGGAAGTAACATATGAGCTACGTTCCAGGTTTTACTACTGGTGTATAAAGCCCTACACAGATTTGGTGGTAAAGCATGCTGTGATGTGAGCATGGGCTTTCTAGTATAGTAGTACCAGAATTTTCTGAAGTTTACTCGTCTTAAAAGCAAAGCAAGCCCCAACATTGATATGTTTTTGATGGTTATTGAAACTTTTGTTTTCTCCCAAGCATTCCTGAATGAGTCCATTCTATTTGTGCTCTTTCAAATTCTGGTTGATTTTTATTTCTTAATGCTGTGTTGATAACCTATATAATGTTTAGTATACTGTTTCTCTACACCTTTATTTGTACAGTATTTTGCATTTTTATAGCTAAATATTCAAGTGCAGTTGGTTTTTTATTGGAGACTTTGTGGAGGAAGCTCCTCAAAGAGTTGAGAATACATTTTAAAAGAAAACCAGTCAATAAATATCTACAGTAAAGAGAGACAACAATACAGTGGTAGCTCAGGTTACATACACTTCAGGTTACATACGCTTCAGGTTACAGACTCCACTAACCCAGAAATAGTACCTCGGGATAAGAACTTTGCTTCAGGATGAGAACAGAAATCGTGCTCTGGTGACGCGGCAGCAGCAGGAGGCCCCATTAGCTATAGTGGTGCTTCAGGTTAAGAACAGTTTCAGGTTAAGAATGGACCTCCGGAACGAATTAAGTACTTAACCCGAGGTACCACTGTAATGGGTTTTAGCAATACTGTACTTAGAGTAAGTGATAGGGTATTTTGTGATGCAGTTCTCCAGCCAAGTAATGCGATGCACATACTAAAGTGTGCATTAAGATGCATATATTAATGAAAACAATCTATGTGTATGTGAGAGAAGAAATTTGCACTTAAAATGTGGATGAATTTTCATCAAATGTGGAGAATTGAACAAGGTTGAAAAAATAAGAAACTGAGGGAAATCAAAACTGATAGATTCACCCTTCCTTACCAGCTGCACATGTATTCCTTCCATAGCCTCCAAGGACAATGGGACTTTTCATTGTCCAAGGACAGAAAGGGAGCAATGAACCTTGGATGACCTGAGTGATGGCAGTTCAGTATATGTGCAGCTAAAAATTTCTTGTCCTACCTGACAATACCACTCTCTTGGTGACATATACCACTTTGTATAGGGAACCATGATGGAATATATGAGGTCTCTAAAGAGGCTGTTGCTGCCAAGGAAGTCCAGTTGACTGCAACCCCCTACTTCACCTACCTGAACCTCAACCCAGATAAACAGCCTGAGCCCCGGTGAGTGTCCATTGTGCTCCCTACTTCCTTCCTGGCTGAGGCACTGGCTAACCTGTGGTCCTTCAGTAGGAGAATCTCCATAGTCAAAATGCGTATGGACAATCCTGGCGTTTACTCCTTAGTTTGCCTTCATGTAGCTGGGACAGCAAGGCACCAAAGGCAGCACCAAAGGGGGTGGCACTGCCCACTCAAGGAAGGGAAGAAGAATACCACACAAAAGCAGGTTTACATCAGGGGTCAAGTTTAGAAAAGGAATCCCAACAGCAGAGCGAGCAGTTCTTCATGGAACAGGAACCATCTTAGAAGAGGCATGCTCTGCTGAAGGGTGTGTATGAATCACTTCCAACCTGCCATCTGTTATTTTTCAGCCCGCCATCTGTCATTTTTCCACATACCGGTAATAGTGTTTGATTAATAGGATGCATTTTCAATCACTTTTAATGGGGTTCTTTTTTATCTATTCAACTAAACAATTAATTGGTCATTAGTTTAAACTCCTGGGTGTTAGGGCAAACAACAGGGAATTGGTATGATTTTCATGCCAGCTTGCTGGTGGTTTTGTTAAGACTGTTGAACTAAGGAGACTTTGAGGATCAGCCAGGAAGATAATTTCTGCATTCTTATGTTCAGCTCTCTCCTCATTTCTCATCTTTCTGCTCTCCTAGGCTAGATCCAGGCTTCACTTTTTCTTCCTTAAATAGTTCCCACATTGACCTGCTGGATGAAACGTGGCACTTTGGGGGCAGTGAACACAGCCGGAGATATCTGGCCAACATGGTGCAATGCTTCCCCAGTACCTGCATCCTGGACTCCAATGGTCATCCTATCAGCTGGATCATCATGGAATCTCTGGGTACACTGAGACACGGCTACACCCTTCCATCCCACCGCCGAAGGGGCTACTCATCTATGGTGCAGAGGGCACAGGCCAGGCGTGTCCATGCAGCTGGCTTCCCTGTATATGGCCTTGTTGCCCTAGATAATACCCCCCAGCAGAAACTGCTGGTCTCCCTTGGCTTCCAGAGATTATCTGAATTGTGTCATTACTGCATCCATTCTCCAGCTTATCAGTGAGAGGAGGAGAGAGCAACAGTCATTTTCCAGGATCCTGTTCAATCCTTTCACTTACCAGTCCTCTGAATGGGAGAGAGGGAGATTATCACACCCTTTCAAGAACCATTCCCCGTTACTCTATTTTCCATTTAAATGCTACCTCTATTCCTGTTGATTAAAAACTTTGGTGCTGGGTTTGGACTGAATCAGACGACGTTGGGTTTTTGGGTGAATACCCATGACCCCCATTTTGAGTGTCTATTGCTCCATTAGTGAGGTGCTGCAAAATGCAGTGTTTTCTCTGCAAAACACTGATGCCAAACTTTTCTCAAAGTTTGGCCCCTGTTTAGAGCGAATCAGACGATGTTTGGTTTTTGGATGACCCCTGAGTTTGAGTGGCCCATTGCTCTGTTTATGGGGCACTGCAAAACTTTTGCCAAAGTTTGGCTCCAGTTTGGGCCATCACCACCCAGTAGGCCTGAATCGACTATACATTTGATGTAAAAAAAATTGTTTTAGTATTTTAAAGTTGTAAACCACCTTCGGTAACTTGGCAAGAAGGCAATATATATATCCAATGAATAAAATGTTTTCTGTCCTGGTAGCAGGGTTGTCTGTTTTTTCCATTTGTTGCTGGTCATGAAACAACGCCAATATGCCAAAATAAGAGGCTTTAAATGCCATCTCTTTGGATGCTGACATATTCATTCATTGGTGTTTTAATTTATTGACTGGAACTCCTTGTCTATTGACATTAAGGAGGCACCATAACTGTTCTCTTTCTGCGACCTGCTTAAAACGTTTTTGCTTAGGCAATCCTACCCATATAGGTAGCAAATTCACTTTAATATGAGTAGGATACCCCATGTGATGGGGGACTCTGATAAAGCAGCGTTCCTAAACATGACAGCAATGTCTGCTCAAGTTTATTCCTGTAGCCAGGACGGTACTGTAATTTAAGTGTTTTTATTATGCAGAACTGTGCGTGTTCATAATGTCTGACACAGCAGTTGTAAAGGATGAAATGGCAGTCAGAGGGAGAAGAGCAATGTTAATTATATGCTTCACAACTGAAATCACACGGCCATCTAAAGAGAAAGGCCTAAAGTCCATTAAGTCCAGGGTCTTAATGTGTGTAGATGCACCACTGAACATCAGGAAGATGGCTGTTAATAGTTCATTCATTCTGGTAAACTTACACATTCCCTCCCCCCTCGTTGAAATAAAGCAGCCAACACAAAGAGCTTGCTGAAGGAGACTCTGACTGAGCAGTTTGACAGCACACCAGAGGCTCTTAAGAGAATCTGTAAGTTACGGAAATTATGGGGGTGGGGCACATCTTTAAAGTTGTTAAATGTTACAAATGTTATGCATAAATGTATCCTTTAGACTTGACAGCTCAGGGAAGTTACCTAGCTTTAAAAATCATATAAATCAACTCCTTTGCCAGTTTCCTTCATTCCACTGTCAATTTGCTTCATTGGCCAAGGACTTGGAAACCATTCGGTCCCCGCCATAATCCCTCAAGCGGGGGTCACGTACTCACAGGAAGGTACTCATAGGTGTCAATCGCTGGGCAAAGGCACTCCTCCGGACTTGCCCAGGTGGCAGACTATGCAAATCAAACTTCTATTGTCCCTTTGTAGTACGTGCTTAGAATGTACTTCCCAATACATATCCTGTATCCACCTGTTGCCCCAACACATTCCTCCTATGTTAATCATGTACAACCCCTCCCCTTTTCTGATGTAGCAATGATGTAGTGATGATGCTTAATGAACTGTATGCTGGGATAAGATAGAAACTTTTAAAAGTCCTTGTCACCCCATCCTCGGGGGTTCAAAATTCCTCTTTGAACCTGTTGCGCAATGTACCACTCAACACTGTACCACTCAACAAGAAGACACGGAGGACTACAGGTGAGCAACTGACAGTGTGGGAGAACACCAGTTGCTCATAAGAGAATGTTTTATTCTCTATTTATTGAGGAAGGGATTCCTGTTACATTTAGAAACTCAGTTGTGGCACCATTGTTGGTTAAGTAAGTCCATCATTTCAGTGAAAAAGAAGGCATCTCAGTTTGGGGATTACACTGAGGTACAGAGAACTAGACTCTCTCTTTCTCTCTCAGGTGCTTACAACCCACACTGTTTCTGCTGGTACCTGCTTCAACCTCTGCCTCCCAAGCTATGTTGATCCTATCCTGTCCTTCCAAGTTGCGGTTCCTGGAAGGACTGCTGAAGAAAAGCCTCCCTCAGACACTTCAGGTGATCTTGAGCCATGTATTCTGGGTTATTAGCTAGGAATATGGGACCAAATTCTTGCATCTTCCCAAAGATCCAAATTTGGAATCTGAGAAGATTTTTAAAATCCAATAAATAGGTGCTTGAATAGGGTACCATACAGATATACTCCACAGAGATCTAATATTGGCTGCAGCTCCATACTGAGGGTACAGTTGGTGTGAAATGTGTACATAGTATGTGAAATGGCCATGTGAATTCCTACAATTAGTTCATTGGGTGATAGGTACTAAGTCCTCACTAGGGAAGAGGGAGGAAATGTGATTCAGTTTGCATTTATAGGTGAACTTACCTAATTTGCACATTCTGAAGCAATGCATGACAAAACTCAGCTGCCCTTTGAAATCTACATTTCTCTTAATTTTGCTATGAAGTTCTCTAGCCAAGTAACATTCACAAGACTGAGAGGGTAAACTGTGCGTTAAAATGCACATGTAAGTAAAATGACATTGTATTGCGGAAATTGCTTTCTAAAAATGTGTGAATTAATAATAATCATGCATATTAAGCGAAATTAACACAAAAATGCCAATGAACTTTCTTTTTTTTTTTAAATGCAAACTGATGTAGAAATGTGGAGGACTGAGCTTAAGACGAGAAAAATGATGAACTGAGAGAAACAGAAAATCAACTGATTCTTCTATCCCTGTTCATCACTCAGGACACCCCACTCAAGGGCATGCAGCAGATACAAGCCTGAAACACCACACCACAGATGGCCTCCCCAGATCCCACACATTTCTCCCAGGCTGCTTCCTTCAACTGCAGCACCAACTCTGACATCCTATGACTTTTGACAGGTCTATGGTGAAGTCATGAACATAAACCGTGGGAACCCAGTGGGCCATGAGGTGATTGTGGATTCTTGGCCAGATTTCAAGGCGGTCCTGACTCGTCCACAGAGAGGGGTAATAGCCTTTGTGCAAAGGGTAGCTCAATGGGTAGAGCATGAGCCTCTTAATGTCAGGGTCATAGTTTGGAGTCCCAGGTTGGGCAAAGAGATTCCTGCATTGCAGGGGGTTGAACTAGATGACCCTCGTGGTCCCTTCCAGCTCTGTGATCCTCTGATTTTGTGGGAGGTGCTTGGTGGGATGTCAGTAGGAAATGCTGTGTGTTCTGTGCTGGGGCCTCCTCTAAGCCAGGCTCAAACTGAAAGGGGATGTTGGCTTTGGTCTAGGAGCACACCTTTGGCATTAACAGCTGCCAAAGGGAGCAGGTGAAACTTCATCATTTCATCTCAACATTTGGAAAAGCTTTACCTGTTAAACTGTATGTCTCTCTTTTAGACTGTTTCTGACAGTTCGGATTCCTTTAACAATATATATGCAGCATTTTATCGGGATCTTGATGCATACCGGAGACTGTTGCTTGACACAGATGCCATCAACTGGGACCAAGCCTTTTCTCTCTGTGGTAACAAGCTGTTCTTTCTAAGGAAGGAGTTATGAGATAAGGAGACTCAGTTTAGTTACTTAATCTAAATTTGATGAGGAAATGGAAGTGACTAAAGTGAATGTAATGGAGAAACATGAGCAAAATAAATACAAAACAATATATGGGTTGGCAGGCGGACACATGAATTAGATTCCAGGTTTTTCTACTGATGTATTCTGGATCTGGGTATCTGAGAAGCTGTCTCGCCTCCTACAGCCCACTCCAGTCTCATGAGGATTTATTTATTTTTTAAATGAAAGCTGATATGAAATGTAGAGAACTGAACTTCACGCTGGGAAAATGAGAAATGGAGAGAAATTAAAAGTGACAGATTTGCCCTTCCCTACAGACTGCACATGTATTCTCTCCACAACACCACAAGGACAATAGAACTTTTCACTGTCCAAGGGCAGAAAGAGAGCAACATACATTGGATGACCATCTGCGTGATAGCAGTTCAATATATGTGTACCTAACAATATATGTGTTGCGTCACCCAGCAACACCATTCTCTTTCTGACTTTTTACTGCTTTGTACAGGGAACCATGATGGGATACACGAGGTCTCTAAAGATGCTGTTGTTCTCAAGAAAGTCCAGTTGACTGCAATTCCCTACTTCATCTACCTGAACGCCAAGCCAGATAAACAGCCTCAGCCCCGGTGAGTGTCCATTGTGCTCCCTACTTCCTGGTTGAGGCACTGGCTAACCTGTGTGCTTCCAATAGGAGAATCTCCATAGTCAAAGTTGGATGGCAGTCTGCCATGGATACTTTAGTTGAAATTCCTGCATTTCAGGGTCCCTTCTAACTCTACAATTTTATGATTCTGCCTATGGACAAACCTGGCATTCACTCCTTCTTGTAGTTGGGATAGCAAAGCACCAAAGGCGGCACTCCAAAGGGGTAGCGTTGCCCACTCTAGAAAGGAAGGAGGAATGGCACACAAAAGGCGATTTGCATCAGGGGTCTAGTTTAGAAAAGGCATCCTAAGAGCAGAATGAGCAGTTCTTTCTGTGACAGGCACCATCTTAGATGAGGCATGCTCTGCTGGGGTGAGATTGAAGGGAGGGGAACACAACTAATCAAACAGTTCCTGATATCTGCCATTTACACACACACACACACACAAAATCAGTTGGGGGATGCATTATGTTTGCTTGTAATAGGTATCAATTGGTCATTAGTCCAAACTGCTGGATGTTAGGGCAAACGACATGGAATCAGCATCATTTTCATGCCAGCTTGCTGGTGGTTTTGCCAGGGTATCTGTCTGGAGTGTTGAACTAGGGAGACTTTGAGGATGAGCCAAGAAGATAATTTCTGCATTATGTTCAGCTCCCTCCTCATTGCTCATCTTTCTGCTCTCCTAGGCTAGATCCAGGCTTCACTTTTTCCTCCTTAAATAGCTCCCACATTGACCTGCTGAATGAAACGTGGCACTATGGGGGCAGTGAACACAGCCGGAAATACTTGGCCAACATGGTGCGATGTTTCCCCAGTACCTGCATCCTGGACTCCAATGGTCATCCTATCAGCTGGATCATCATGGAATCTTGGGGTGCAAGTGCACACAGCTATACCCTTCCATCCCACCGCCAAAGGGGCTATTCATCTATGGTGCAGAGGGCACATGGCATGCGTGTCCATGCAGCTGGCTTCCCTGTTTATGGCCATGTTGCCCTAGATAATACCCCCCAGCACAAACTGATGGACTCCCTGGGCTTCCAAAGATTATCTGAACTGTGTCATTACTGCATCCATTCTCCAGCTTCTCAGTGAGAAGAGGAGAGAGCAACAGTCGTTTTCCAGGATCCTGCCCAGTCCTTTCACTCACCAGTCCTCTGAATGAGAGAGACCTATCCACTAT